TCCAGTAATTGTGTTGTCACCAGACGGGGACTGGCCCGGAGCGGGTCTGCCCTGGGCCGGCTGGTGGTGTGAGGGGTCTTGACTTTGTGCAGGAAAGATTTCCTAAGACGAGTCCAGGTGATCTGGAGAGGCTGCTGGTTGAAGCCGGGGACAGCGCAACAAAGGCAGGCCTTCGGGTAGAAGGACCGACAGGAGCGAGCCCAGGCAGGGCTGCTGTCTGCTCGCAGCCAGAGGGAAGGGGGCCTTGGGGACAGGGAGGGGGCGGGCAGGGTAGGGTAAGGCCTGCTCCGCAGCAGCAGGCCCCAGAGGGACTGGGCGGGCCCTAGAAGGAGCCCAACCGGGCGGGGCATTGGTCTGGAGGTTTTCTATCTTCTGCAAATGAGAACGCAGGGGAGGGTTTCAGTGGAATGTCCACCAGCTTTCCCAGTGAGTTTTTAATATGCTCCTGCATCAACAGGAGCATAGAGGGGGGTGTGGGATTATGCCCAGGTCAGCTCTCCTGTCTTACTTTTACCTTGGGTCTTTCTGGCTCTAATGGGTTTTTATCATTTGTTCCCGAGTCATCCCTCCTTGTGTTTGGCTGGCACAAACGGCATTAATTTGGGTCTCTGGGCTCTATCCCACCGACCAGGAAGATTTAAGGTATGTACTCTCTGGTCAGGAAAGAGGCATCAACCATTCGCTCGCTCTCAGTGTCCTTGGTTTGAGGAGATGTGGTCTTGTGATTCACTAGCCGGGTGTGAGGTGTTCAAACTGTTTGGCTTTGTTTAATTATTGCATCTCAGCTTCCCCGTTCCACGAGCCCAGGAATTGTCCTAGCTTCTTACTTTCCTCCCTCCACATGATTAACATGTGAGCTTTCAAATATACCAATTGAAAAGCATAACATACAGGGACAAAAACATTTTCTTTGCACATATTTCCAGTAACTTGAAAACTACACATCCCCACAGATATGTTATACAAATGTGTTTGCACGTGGTTTGTGAGTAACCTTTCTTCTTCTTTTCCTTTTACAGTTTCTTCTCACGGGGCACGCTGCCCATTCACACCTAGTGTAAGGGGTCATTTATTTTATACTTTAAACTGTACTTTGTTTCTAATTTTACAATGTTTTTTCTTCGTGCCCCGCCCCCATTTGGAGGATGGATTTGGGGCTTTGGTTTATCTTTGCTGTTCTCTGTGTTCTCAAGTTTTAGTTTGGAGCCGCTCCTAAACGCTTCTGTCCGGCTGCTGCCTGCTTTCCTTTCCCTGCTCTCTTTACACACTTATGACTGTTTACCTTTGCTGATTAACAAGATGCATCATGTCTGCCCCCAACCTGACAAAACGCCGGGCATACTCCTCTCCCTCCTCGCTCGCCCTTCCTGCCCACCCCCACGCCAGGCCCAGAGGGAGTTTACCGCTCTCTCCCTCAGCATCTGGGTTCCGCTGAAATCCAACATCCCCCCTTGAATACTTTGGTTCTCAGCAGAAACGTATCGGTCGCCGCTACCGACAGCCCTTTCCTGCTGATGCCTGTACGACAAGCCAGACGTCTGGCCAGCGACAAAGACGAGAACGCGCAAGTCCAAGTGTGATTCGGTTTTTAAACAGATTGCTCCTCGAACAGCCTTCCGGAATGAATTAGGTTTGAGAACTGAGGTTCTGCTGGAGTTTAATCTCCCCTGGAGTGTGTCTCTGTGTGAGGGGCTCATTGCTCGAAGTGGTCCCTCTTTTCGCCCATCTTGGGTCTGCGTCTGGCGTGTCTGCTGGCGGGTTTCCGTCTTTTCCTATTTTCCTCGTATCGGGCACCTGCGTGCTCTACTCTCTGAACTCCTCCTGCACATCCAGCACCGTTCTTTTGCTCAGAAAGGGGGAGGCCATCTTGACTGGGCAAATGATTTTAAAATATCCACATTCAGTAAAATATTTCACATATGAAATAAAGTTTGCACCAACCAAACAGAACCCAAATAAAAACTCTTGGTGGTCATCACAGAACTGAGGGGACTCACGGGGCTTCTTCTGTGTCGCGGTCACCATGGTGTCCTCGCTAACCTCACATCCACTCCTTGAAGGCAGAAGTCGTGAGCTGCCCGGCCCGGAGCTCGGGGGAACCTCAGGGCGCCCGAGCACGAGGCCCTCAACCCAAGGAAAGCCCGTCAACCACGACACCGAGGTCCTCGGAATTAACTTCCACGCAGAATGCAACGCTCACCAAAAGGTAAGTGATTAAACCTGGTAGCTTAAAACGTACATAAATGCTACTAGAACTAAACCACGGTATGGTTTAAAACTTGACTAACAAAAGATTTGAGGGAAGTCTTGGGTTGGCCAAAAAGTCCATGTGGGTCTTTTTCTGTAAAATAAAAGACACATTTTTCACTTTCACCGATGACTTTATTCATTTTGGATATTTTCAATATGTCGCTATCTCCCATGTGGTATAATGTCGATTGTCCTCGATGTCTCAGTTTGATCTCTGTCGACTTCAGCGGGTCCCCCCGCGCGCGGGGCGCCGTCCAGTGAGGGACCAGGACGAAACTTCGCAAACCGCTTTTGTCACGTTCTACCCGTCACAGCCCCTTCTCCACACTCTGCCCGCATCTCTTTCTCTTTCAGTTGCATTTTTACCTTTCTTGAAATAACAAAGCATAATATGCCAAATATGTTGCTCATTTTTCCATCTTCAATATTAAAATGGCTACACAAAAATCCACCAATTTTGATAAGTTTTTTTATTTTTTAAAAAAGATTTGGCTTATTTATTTTTAGGGAAGGGAAGGGAGGGAGAGAGAGAGGGAGAGAAACATCCATGTGTGGCTGCCTCTCACACGCCCCCTGCTGGGACCTGCCCTGCAACCCAGGCCTGTGCCCTGACTGGGACTAGAACTGGCGACCTTTTGGTTCACAGGCCGCGCTCAATCCACTGAGCCACACCAGCCAGGGCTGCTAAGTTATTTTAAATGCACGCTGATATGACAGCTGTCACAATACAACCTAACAAAATTGTTTTGAACGAAATTAAAGACAACTCAGTGCTACCAGAGCCAGCTTGTGGAAAATAACCAGACAAACCTTTTGGCCAATGCAATATATATATCTTTTACCTCTGACCTTTTTTGGAATTGCTGGGTTCACTAGGGCAATAAAAAGCAGATTAGCTCACGCAGGTGTCACTCAGCTGTTTGAAGGACCCACCCATAACCAAAGGGTTGTGGGTGTGATTCCTTGTCAGGGTACACACCTCGGTTTTGGGTCCGATCCCCAGGCCAGGCACATACTGGGGCATGTGCAACCCCCCGTTCAGTCGCCTATGAGAGGCAACCAACTGATGCTTCTCTCTCACATCGATGTTTCTCTCTCTCTGTTCCACTCTGCCCTTCCCCTCTCTCTCTCTAAAAGCAATGAAAAAAATGTCTTTGGGTAAGGAAAAAAAATTTTGTTAAAGAAGATTAACTTCAGCACTCGAGGACTTTTAAAATTCTCTGCAGAGAGACCCTATGCACCTCCCCCTTCAGCCTCAGAGGTGCCCCGGAGGCCTCAGGAGAGCGGCTCCCAGCCCGGCGCGCGGCCTCCCAGCCCCGGTGGGTTCACGGAGCTCAGCTCTCACTGGGCAGCGGCCAGCGATTCCCAGCAGACCGCGGGGCACTCTTCCCTGCCCTTTATCTGCGGCGCGGGCTGGCGGGCGCCAAGCAGGGCAGGACAGACTTTCGGTTTACTTGGTTGTTCTCTTTCCCACTATTAGTAAGATAAACATTATGTTTAAGTTTTCTCTTCATTAATAATGAAATCACTGAAAGCTTTATGTTTTCCTCTGAACACAGATTTCGCTACGTTCTACAGAGCTGGGTGCGAAGGTATCTACCTTTACAGTTTTATATATAATTTGAAATTTCATCTTTGAAATTCTCTTGGATTCAGGCTTTTTTAAAAGGGAATTTGCTAATTTCTAACTAATAACATTTGTTTTTTAAAAATTTATTTATTTTTAGAGAGAGGGACAGGGAGGGAGAAAAGGAGAGAAACATCAATGCATGGCCGCCTCCCACACCCCCCCCACCCGCGGGGAGCGCGGCGGTAACCCAGGCCTGTGCCCTGACTGGGAATCGAACCTGCAACCCTTTGGCACTCAATCCACTGAGCCACACCAGCTGGGGCAGGGGTTTTTTTTCTCTTTTCTTTTCTTTTCTCTCTCTCTCTTTCTTTCTTTCTTTTATGGCTCACTTAGAATTGTTGATCAAATCCTGTGTCCCAGCAGATTTCTTTCTTCAGCTTGTATAGGCTTCCGCACGTATGTGCGGCCAACTACATGATTATTTCTTGCAAATATTCCATGGACTTGAATAGATGCAAAATTCTCTCTCTACACATGGCAACAGACTGAGCGAGCCGTCTGTACTTCTCAAGCGCTTCACGCTCACACCCGTTTCCTGCCCACGCCGCTGCCCGCCCGTGGAACCCGCGGTACGGAAACCGGGGGAGGCGCGCGGCCGAGAGGCCGAGGGGGCGGGGCCGAGGCGGCCGGTCCGGTTGCCAGGAGCCGGGACCCGGACACAATGGGGTCTGGGAGCTGGGCCAGGCGGGGGCGGGAGCCTGGCACCCGCCTGCCGTGACGGCCGGGAGCCACAGGAGCAGGTTAGTGCATCGGCTGGCGGGGAGGGGCCCCTCTCCGGGCCGCGGGCTGCCCGGGCCACCCCCCGCGCGGCACCTGCGCCCGACGCCCTCAGACACGCGCCCCCACGGGACCCGGGGAGCTCCCTTCCCGCGGAGTTTAGTCCAAACCCGGCGCGGCCCGCACCGTCTTGCTGAACCCGCCGCGTTCGCGGGCAGGGGGTGGGCGGCGGCCTCGGCCTCTGCCCGCGCCCCCACGGAGCCGGGAAAGCTACCGTTTGTTTTCCTGGCGCCCGGGATACGGCGCAGCCCCGCCCCGGGTTGGGGCCGAGAAGAGCGTCCCCGGGGGCCGGGGCTGCCCCCTTCCGTCCACAGGTGCCGCCGGCCGTGAGCACCCGGCTGCCATGGGCTCGGACGTCTGGGTCGGCCCTTGGCGGCCGCACCGGCCCCGCGGCCCCATCGCGGCGCTTCACAGCGGCCCGGGGCCCAAATACAAGCTGCCCTCCAACACGGGTACCGGGCGCGCGCGGGACTGTGCGGGGCGGGCGCGGGGGCAGGGCCAGCGCAGTCCGGGCCGCGTGAGGCGCCCTGCCCCGGCCAGGGGAGCGGGAGGGCGCCTCTTCGCTGGGGCGGGAGTGGCCGGGCCCCGGCTGATGCTGAGACGACCCGCAGGCTACACGCTGCACGATCCGTCGCGGCCCCGCGCCCCCGCCTTCACCTTCGGCCTGCGCCTCCCCGCGCAGCAGACGTCGTGCGGCCCCGGGCCCGTTCACTTGGTGCCTGCGCGCATGACGGCGCGCGGCCTGGACGGCACGCCCGCCTACTCCATCCACGGCCGCCCGCGCCCGGCAGCGCCCAGCCTCACTCCCGGACCGGGTCAGGACCCCTGGGCCCCGGCCTCCCCAGTGACTGGAGCCCTCCCCGGAACTCCCCACCTGATCCGCGAGCCCAGCCTCGGGACCCCAACACTGCCAATTCGGCTCCCCTATATCGATCTCCGAAGAGCTCCAAGCCCCCGGGTTTGGGCAAATCGTGGGTCAGTTTCCCCTCATCCCAGAACCCAAGCTCGGTCCCACCTACAGCCCCGGCTCACCCCACAGGCAGGTACTTCCCGGAGCGGGCGGGCAACGCGACGTACCCCAGCGCACCTCGTCACACCATCGCCCCCCGAAACTGGGGCACCCCCGCGGGGCAGCACACCCCAGGTGAGAACACGACGGCTCCGCCCCGAGGCCCTTCCCACCTGCACCGGGAGCCGCTCTCAAGGCGCTGGGGCTGCCCGGCCCTCCCAGAGGCGGGGAGGCCCTGACCGGTCCGCAAAGACCGCCGCCCCGACCACCCCTCGCTGGCTGCTCCCCAGGCCCCGGGACCTACACAGTCCCCTCGCTCCTCGGCCCGCGCGTCGTTGGTAAAGCCTCGGCCCCGACCTACTCCATCTACGGCCGCAGCGCAGTGGGCAGCGTTTTCGAGGACCTCACCAAGGTGCGGGCGGGCACAGGGGGCCAGGAGGCGAGGGGCGCGGTCAGGGGTGGGCGAGAATGGAGGCAGACCCAGCGCCCCTTCTGCGCTCCCGCAGACCCCGGGGCCCTGCGCCTACCACGTGGTGAACCCTGGCGTCTACAAGTCTCGGGCCCCTCAGTTCACGATGCTGGCGCGGACTTCGCTCCCCCAAGACAACAGCCTGACCCCTGGGCCCGCAGCCTACAATGTGGACCAGGTGACCGGAGGCCCAGGGACAAGGGTCAGATGCAGAGGAATGAGGGTCCGGTCCCAGGAGGGAGGGTCTGAGGTCCGAGATTTGGGATCGGGGGATCTTGGCGCGGCGCCGCACGGCCGGCTCCGCCAGGTCAGCGACCTCTCCCGGGTCCACAGCACCGGAAGCCTCGCGGCTGGAGCTTCGGGATCCGGCACTCGGACTATCTGGCCCGCATCGTGCCCCACGTGGACGACTGAAGGGCCGATGCGCGGGGCGCACAAACTTCTGCTTAAAGCTTCCGGAGCCAAACTTGTGTCCGCCTCTCTGTGCCCTGGGCGAGGGCGGGGACGGGGGCGCGCGCAGCGTCCGGGGCGGGCGGGGGCGGGCGCGGGCGGGCGGAGCCTAGCAGGGAGCGCCGACGAGCCCCAGAGGCTCCAGACGGTGCGGGCCAGCTCGCTCGAGTCTGTCACGGGGCGCGGAGCGGCTGGAGCTCAGCGGGAAGGGTGAGGACTGCTGTTCGGGCAAGGTACGGGCCGGGGACCATTTATGAGGTCGAGAAGGGGTAGCCAGACACGGTGGATTGCATACGGACAACACGGTCACGGGACAGGGGCGGACTCGAGAAGCGGGAACAGGGTGGGGTCAAGTTCCCGGGGCCGCCCCGTGGGACGCAGGGCAGCGGCGGGTTGCAGCTGCGTCTCGCACCCCGCAGGCCGGGAGCGATGGAGACGCCAGGGACCACAGAACCCCCTGCACCCACCCCCGCGGGTGACCTCTCGTCGGGAGGGCCCCGGAGCCCCACTGACACACCGCCAGAGCCCAAGCAGCTCCCGGAGCTGATCCGCCTGAAGCGAGACGGAGGTCGCCTGAGCGAGGGGGACATTCGGGGCTTCGTGCGCGCTGTGGTGGACGGGCGCGCTCAGGGTGCACAAATAGGTGTGTGGGGACGTTGGGCGCCTTGGACTCCAGCCCCGAGACTGAGTTCCCGCCCTGAGCTCGCCCCGCCCCGCCCCGCCCCGCCCCCGCGACACCCTTCACTGAGGTCACGCCCTTCCACGCGGCCCACACCGCTGTCCCCCGTGCTCAGGGGCCATGCTCATGGCGATCCGGCTGCGAGGCATGCATCTGGAGGAGACCGTGGCGCTGACCGAGGCCATGGCCGACTCCGGGGAGAAGCTGGAGTGGCCGGAGGCCTGGCGCCCGTATGTCGTGGACAAACATTCCACAGGGGGCGTGGGCGACAAGGTCAGCCTGGCCCTGGCACCTGCCCTGGCTGCCTGTGGTTGCAAGGTGAGCAGACACGGCTCCAGACCAGGAACTCTGACCTCAAAGAGGCCAGCACCTCCCCACCTCTAACTGGTCTGGACAGAGCCCTCAAAGGCAGGACCCAGGCTTCCAGCTCCCCCAGGACAGAACTTGGCTCCCCTTCCAGCTCTCTTAACAGGACCAAGTGACTTAGCACCCCTTCCCCGCAGGACCCCAGAAAGGGCTCCCAAGGGGGAAGCTTGGCACTCCTCCCTCAGCCCCCCAGAGTCCCCCCCAACCCAAACCAGGACGACTTTCCCCTTCCCTCCCCACCAGCGGAACACCCCCGACCGCCCCGTCGTAAATACTTACCTCCTGAGGCCCTGCCCAGGGGAGGGGACGGGGCGACGCAGGTGTTCTCCGCGTCCCTGTGCCGCAGGTACCCATGATCAGCGGACGCGGCTTGGAGCACACCGGGGGCACCCTGGACAAACTTGAGTCTATTCCCGGATTCACCGTCATCCAGAGCCCAGAACAGGTACGTGTGGGCCACTGGTTGGTTATGGATCTGGGCTATTGAAGTAAACATTGACCAGAATCGCTGAAGGATCGCTGATGGGTTGTTAATCAGGGTAACTAACGAGGATATTAATCAGTTACTCATGGATTATTGGGCTTTGGTCAAGGTTATCAGTGGGACTCCTTCAAAATCATTAATGGGCCAAAGGATATTGATCACCATCGCTGATGGGTTGAGCCAGTCATTAATGAGGACTTATCAGAATTGTTCATAAGTCACTGGCCATGCTTTTGGCCATGTGTCAAGGTTGCCGGTGGGTCCTTGATTGGGGTCAGTGGCGAGGTGACTGACCACAACAGTCACTGGGGGTCCTGACTGACATGAGGAGGGTTGTCAGATGCGAGGTCTGCTGGAGAGCGTGGGCTGCTGCATTGTGGGTCAGAGCAAGAAGCTGGTTCCTGCAGACGGGATCCTGTACGGAGCCAGGGATGTGACAGCAACCGTTGACAGCCTGCCACTCATCACAGGTAAGCCGGCTGCACACTCCAGGGTCTACGTTCTGCGTGTGAAAAATCCCTGACCACCACTGGAACAGGAAGGGGTGTTCGCATAAGGGGAAAGGGGGGCCTCCCCCAACCCCAGGGTTAGTGCCCCCTTGCCACAGGATGTCTGACCAACAGCGTAAGAGGGAGGCCTGGCTTGTGCACAACAGTCCGGCCCTGTGGCCCCCATCACAAGGGCATGACCCCCAGTGCCGAGGTTCCCTGACCCTCCTGACAGGGTGCCCTGAGGCAGGGTGCCCCGCACCTCTCGGGAAGCGCCAGGCAGCCCTGCATCTCTAGCCCCCTCTGCCTCCAGCCTCCATCCTCAGTAAGAAGGTGGCAGAGAACCTGTCTGCCCTGGTGATGGACGTGAAGTTCGGAGGGGCTGCGGTCATCCAGAACCGGACAGAGGCCGGGGAGCTGGCAAGAGCACTGGTGAGCACTGGTGCCCACGGGCCCGTGTGGCCTCTTCACGGGGCGCCCTTGTGGTTGTGGCCGCCCTGACGGGGAGCCCCGTCATGCGCGCCCACCCGCCCTTTCACAAGCCGAGAAGCCTGCTCCCTGAGCACCTCCCAGTCCACGTCCACTCAGCAGCCCTGCGTCACCACGGCCTCTGTCAGGACCACTGCCAGTCCATCCTTCACCCCCCAACTTGGTGACTTTACCCAGGCAAGGCTGACCCAGCCTCAGGGCTGGGGAATCTTCCATGGCTGCAGGCCAGGTACCGGGGCTTCCTGAAGCCCAACACTGAAGTCAGGCACGTTGCCTACTTCAGGCCTCCCCCGACCCCCACCCAAAGCCTTCTGTGACCCCCTCATTCCTGGTTGCCTACTTCAGGCCTCCCCTCACCCCCGACCACCACCCAAAGCCTTCTGTGACCCCCCCACTCCTTGGGAACTGGCAAGCAAGGGTGCAGCACCAGCTGGAGTGAGACAGCACGCGGGCTACAGGAAGCCCCGCGGGAGGCAGGGCAGGGTCCACAATGAACCGCATCTCCACAGGTTGATGTAGGGGCAGGCCTGGGGCTTCCGGTTGCAGCGGCTCTGACCTCTATGGACAACCCCCTGGGCCGCAAGGTGGGCAACAGCCTGGAGGTGGAAGAGGCTCTGCTTTGCTTGGACGGTGCGGGGCCACCGGACCTGCGGGACCTGGTCACCAGGCTCGGTGAGTGGACGGGTAAGAAGCGTGGGGACCCCAGCTAAGGAACCGCCCCCGCTGCACCTAAGCCCCGGGTTGCCGCCGGTAGGGGGCACCCTGCTCTGGATCAGCGGACAGGCGGAGACCCAGGAGGAGGGCACCGCCCGGGTGGCCGCGACGCTGGATGATGGCTCGGCCCGAGACCGCTTCGAGCGAATGCTCGCGATGCAGGGTGTGGACCCGGGCCTGGCCCGAGCCTTATGCTCCGGAACCCCCGCGCAGCGACATCAGCTGCTGCCCCGCGCCCGGGAGCAAGAGGAACTGCTCGCGCCTGCCGATGGTGAGCTCCCGCAGACCCGCGCCCCGCCCGGGCCCAGGTCCCTCCCTCCCTAAGCCCCGGGCCCCGCCCCCGCCCGCCCCAATCCCGCCCATCGCCCTCTCCCTGCAGGCACTGTGGAACTCGTCCGGGCCCTGCCGCTGGCGCGCGTGCTGCACGAACTCGGAGCCGGGCGCAGCCGCGCCGGGGAGACGCTCCGACTCGGGGTGGGCGCCGAGCTGCTGGTCGGCGTGGGCCAGAGGCTGCGCCGTGGTGAGCGCGTATTCCGGCCCCTCCGCACCCCCCCTCGATCGCCCCTGTCCGCCGGCCTCCCTGCCCGCTAACGGCCAGTCCCGCCTTTCGCAGGGACGCCGTGGCTCCGCGTACACCTGGACGCGCCGGCGCTTAGCGGCCTGCAGCGCCGCACCCTGCAGGAGGCGCTCGTGCTCTCGGACCGCGAGCCCTTCACCGCCCCCTCGCCCTTCGCTGATCTCATCTTGCCGCCAACCGTCGTGCAGCAATAAAGCCCGATAACCGCAAAGCCGTTGTCCTTTCCTGGAACACCTCGGGGAGGAAAAGGGAGGGCGGGATCCCGGGCCGCCGGGAGGGCCGTTCCGAGTGAGGGGCGGGCCTGCTAGGGGCGGGCCTGCTAAGCCCCGCCTCCGACACGTGACTTGTGGTGGGCCCTACCACCCCCGCACACTCGGCTCGCGGCAATTCAGATTGCGCGTGCGCGGCCCGTTGACGCGTGCGCACTGGCGTCGAGCGCGGCGACCCGGCAGAGCCTCGGTTTCCTACGGGCCCCGTACGAGTGGGGCCGGGCACGTGAGGCCGCGTTCCTTGACTCGAGGTTCCCGACTCCGGACGGCCCGAGGTGCTGACCCTGGGAAGGCCCAGGGTGCAGGGGACGGAGGGGCGGGCGCCTGGGGAGTGACCGCCGCTGGGCAGACAGCGGCGCGTCGCCGGAGGCCGCCCGGGAAGCGTCCGCAGGTGCGTTCGCCTGCCAGGCCCATCCCGTGCACCGCCTACAGCCCGTTTTGTAAGAGAGGAAGTAGGTACAGAGGGACGTGCCCAAGGTCACCCAGCCCAGGGCTGAGCCAGGAACCGGAGGACCAGGGTTTAGGGGTCTTGAGAGGGCCCTCTCGGCAGCAGCTGAGCGGGTGAGGGGGTATTCGGGCCCAGCGAACTTCCAGAGGCCCGTGCAGAAAGGAGGCCACCGAAGCCAGCGGCAGGACGTGGACGGAGCCACCCGCGTTGCCATCGGAAACCTGGTGGTGGACTTTTTGTGGCTGGCAAGTGACCTCGCTTCTCCGCCCGGGAGAGTGCGGGAAAGACGGCTGGGAGGCCCGAGGGATGAAGCGGCACGGGTGCCGGGTTAACTGCCTGCTCTATGGGCAGACCCGGGAGGGGACGCGGTTTCTGCAGTAGGTGGGGGAAGGGGCCAGAGACCGCGGCCGAAATGGTCTCTGAAGCGGAAGGTTGTGGACTGCGAAAGAGCAGAGCCGCCCGTCTTTGAGGGTTGAAGCCCGACTCACCAGCTTCTCTGAAATGGGGATTTATTGCAAACAGATACGCGCGCTGAGGAATTGGGGGAGGCCGTGCACCTGGGATGCTTGGTCAGCTCAAATGCTACAACACGGGTAAGTGCCGGGTGTCTGGAGCTGAGGGAGCAGGCCAGGGTGGGACGAGACAGAAAGGCTGCCGGCTACCAGACTGGAGGGGCAGGCGTGGGCTTGATGCCCAAGCTGGAGTTTGAGGTTTCAGGGGTGAAGCTGTTCAGAGCTCAGCCGGGAGCCCAGGTTTGGGAGACCGGCCCCACGGCCAGAGCACCTTCAGCCTCCTGACCCCTTTGCTCTTTCCCAGGGGCATCAGGCCCGCGCTGCTCCTGGTCCAGACACCCAAGGCTTGGCATGGGCTTTCTCCGCTTAAGCCCCCAGCCCCCCCTAGGACTGCAGGGGGCAAGGCCTTCCACGTGATGTGCCAGCTCTTGTCAAGACAGGGCCCTGCCCAGGCAGGCAGGCAGGGTAAGCCCCAGGGCCCTGGGCTGCGAACCAGACTGCTGGTCACAGCCTTGCTTGGGACGGGCCTGGGCGGGGCCTGGCTGGCCATGAGGGCTGAGAAGGAGCGGCGGCGGCAGCAACAGCGGACCGAGGCCCTGCGGCAGGCCTCCGTGGGCCAGGGCGACTTCAGCCTGCTGGACCACCGGGGCCAGGCTCGGCGCAAAGCCGACTTCCGGGGCCAGTGGGTGCTGATGTACTTCGGCTTCACTCACTGTCCCGACATCTGCCCTGACGAGCTAGAGAAGCTGGTGCAGGTGGTGCGGCAGCTGGAGGCTGAGCCGGGCCTGCCCCCGGTGCAGCCCATCTTCATCACGGTGGACCCCGAGCGGGACGACGTCGCAGCCATGGCCCGCTACGTGCAGGACTTCCACCCGCGGCTGCTGGGCCTGACCGGCTCTGCTGAGCAGGTGGCCCAGGTCAGCCGCAGCTACCGCGTGTACTACAGCGCCGGCCCCAAGGATGAGGACCAGGACTACATCGTGGACCACTCCATCGCCATCTACCTGCTCAGCCCCGACGGCCTCTTCACAGACTACTACAGCCGGGCCAGGTCGGCCGAGCAGATCGCGGACAGCGTGCGGCGCCACATGGCCGCCTTCCGCAGCGTCCTGCCCTGAGCGGCCATTAAAGGGTGCGGTGGAGCCGTGTGTGCGTCTGAGCTGCGCCTGGTCCCTGGTGGGGGTACTAGAGACGGGCAGCCGTCTTCTCTGCACAGAGCAGCAGCCTTTTTAAGGGGGAGGTGGGATGACAGCACTTTATTAGGCTGGGCCAGCCAGGGAGCAAGCGTGGCGTGAGCAGCTGCGTGCCCAACGTCCGTGGGGGCCAGCCCATCTGGGCCCATCCCCAGCCTCAGGGCTGCCCGCTCAGGGTTGAACCATGGAGGGGGCAGCGTAGGTCTGGAAGCGCTTGTGGGCCCGCTGGTGCGTGAGCAGCCTCAGGGACATGGTATCCACAGCCGCCTCCAGCCCTGGCTGCTGCGTGATCTCCACCGTGTGGTCGTTGGCCTGTAAGGGCAGCGTGTCAGCAGGGCCCGGGGACCCCTTCCCTCCTCAGCCCCGAGGGCCACTCACCAGCTGCAGGGAGGCCAGCATGGCGCGACACACTTCGAAGGCAGGCTGGCCGGCCACCAGCTTCGCAAAGGGACACCACTGGTTGAGCTGGCTGAACCTTGAGACCATCTGGTCCCCGTAAGTGTGGATGTCGAAGGGCACGTGCTGCTCCTTTAAGGGGGAGGGTAAGGACCTGAGGCCGACGGCACCGGGAGGCCCCAGCGCCCAGGCAGCAGCCGGCCCGGCCGCCTCACCTGCTCCTGGAGCAGGGGCTGGATGCTGCTCTCCCAGTCCCGGACGCGCTGGCTCAGCTCTGTCTCCTGGACGAACTTCTGGGACGTTGCGATGAAGAGCTCCTGCGGGGAACCAGCGGCTACGGCCTGCTGTCCGGGCCCCGCCCGGCTCCCACCTGCTCCCACCTGTTCCCGGCAGCACTTACCACGTTCCTTCGGACCAGGTCCTCATAGCGCAGGGACGTCGGCGTGGCCTCTGCTCCTGGAGAAGGGTCAGCTAGGAGCCACGGGCCACGCCCACCTCCTTCCCCTGTCCTGGGGAGCCCCCGCCCCTGGCCTCCCCGCCAGCAGCCACTCCCGGACCTACCCAGGCCTGCAGCTTCCCCAGGCTCCGCCCCCTCAGGGTCCGCGTACTCCTCAGGCTCTAGGAAGTCGTCTGCTGGGAGCAGGGGCAGCCCCCGCAGCAGGCAGTCAGCCGGCCAGCCTGTCCTGAGCCGGCCCACCTGTCCTGAGCCGGCCCGCCTGTCCTGAGCCGCCCCGCCCCGTGCACACCCACCTGCGTCCCCCAAGTCCTCCAGGGAGTCCTCCAGGCGGTCCTCCTCCGCGGGCCACAGCCCCTCCTCGGCCCTTGGCAGCCACTGCGCAGCCACCTGTGCAGAGACCGTGAAGCCACTGCCGCGTCCCGCCCCCAGGGGCTGTGTGGGGCCCACCATGGCCGGCACTTGCCTGCCTCCTGCGCAGTTTCTGAAGGGACTCCAGCTGCTCCCTCACGTGCTTCCAGTACAGGACCTCCATGTCTGCGCACAAAGGCCTCATGAAGGGCTCTGTCCTGCCCGGCCCCCCGGCCGCCCCCCCCGGGGCCTCGGGCGTCCCGGGGTGGAGGGGGGCAGGCACAGCACGGCACCACTGTCCCTCAGAGGACATGCAGGGCCCCAGCCCCACCTGCAAAGGACGGGCCCTTCCTCCGGGGCCGCCTGCTGTCAGCATGGTCAGCATCTGCGAGAGAAGGGGGTCACCAGGAGCCAGGCCGAGGCCCCTCCTGCCCGGGCCCCGCACGCCCACTCACAGGTGGCCAGGTACCACTGGTGGAAGTCCTGCAGCTTGGCAGCGCCCTTCCTCTTACGCTTCTGCCCCGGCGCCTCCTCCACGCAGGCAGGCACGGAGTAGGGCCTCCCTGGGGGCGCAGACGGTCTCAGAGCCCAGCGGCGGGCCTCAGGGCCGCCCCCAGCCCCCACCAGGCTCCCGGGGGGCACGGGGCACTGCCCCCACCGTGGGCGCCCAGCAGACCCAGCCACAGACCCCGGGTGGGAGTGTCCCCCCGCAAATTACCTTTCTTGAAGGGCTTAGAGTCCAGGGAGTTGAAGGGGTCCAGGCTTTCCCAGGGGTCTGCTGTCTCCTAAGCAGGGAATGCAAGCAGGCTCGGGGACAGCGGGACATGATGCAGCCTCCCCCCAAAGCCCCACACTGAGTGCAGGGACAGCCAGGGAAGGACTGGCCACACTCGGTCCCCAGTCCCAGGGAGGAGGGCCTTGCACAGGCAGGAGCGAAACGGGGGTGGTAAGGCCCGGGCGCACCCTCCCCGCCCGGGGGCCGGGACCACCTCACCTTTGGCCGGGACACAGGCTCCAGGGCCTCCCGCCTCTCCCGGAGCTCAAACCTCCTGGGCTGGGCAGTGCCCTGCAAAGACACGCAGCAGGGATGCCCCTCCTCTGCTCCGAAGGCAAGTGCCCTGCAGAGACTGTCTTTGGGGGCAGGAATTTCAAACAGTACAAGGGCTACAAAGTAAAACCTCTACAAGAAACTTCAGGAAAACACTAGCAAACTAACGGCCAGTACAATCTGACAAACACCCAGGCAGCTACCAGCCCAAATTTGCAAAGGGTAACGCTGTTTCCTTAGGCGTGGGGCTTGCCTCCTGATAAAGAGATTTCTCAGGCTGGGGCTGGAGCAGGGCCTCAGGAGGGTCAGCTTCTGAGACCAGCTGCTGCCCTGCGTGGCTACATAAGCACTCAGGGCTCAGGCCCGTGGACACCAGCCCACCCCTGAGGAGCAACAGCCGCTCTGCTGGGAGAGGGAAGGGACGCGGGAGCCTCTGCGGAGAGGACTGGGTGCAGGACACGCCCTCTGCCCCAGCAAAGGACAAGGGAGGGAGCCCCAGACCCGGGAGAGCGCGGCTGCGGCAAACCTAGGGCTGCCCGCGGGCGGCCCGGGCTCCGCAGGCCTCAGTGTGGGTCCCACCTGCTGCGGGCTCCTGGGCTCCCGGGGCTCCAGAGGGACCTCAGGGGCCACGGCCTCAGGGAGCTCCGCCGCCCCCTCCGCATCCTCCTCCTCACCCCCGCCTCCGGGCATCGGGCCTTCGGGAGAGGTGCCTGGGCAGGGGAGCAAGAGACCATCAGCCGGAGGAGCCCGAAGACCAGGCAGCAGGCGGGGGCTGCCCCTCGGGCCCGGGAGGCCGTGTCCGGCCGCGGCCACGCGTGTCGGACCCACAGAGCAGAGCCAGGCGTTTTGCTCTCCCTGAGGTGCTGCCGTGGTGTTTGGTTCACTGTGCTTATTGGCCACTGTCCTTTTTAAGTGCTGCCACCCATGCCTGCCCAGCAAGGTAGCCCGGAGACGGGCAGGCGGGGGCAGCAGGCCAGAGGCAAGGCCTGGCCGGGCGCAGGGGGCCCGCTCCGAGGCGGCGCTGCTGCCCACGCCTCCCCAGCACAGGCGTACGGGGCGAGCAGGCTGGCCTGCTGAGCGGGGCCCTGGCCCCACCCCCACCCGCAGGTCCACCAGGGTGACCTTCTCACCTGGCTCCTGGGACACGCTGGGCACAGCCACGGGACTCGTGCTCCCAGAGACGTCCATCGGCTGCTCCTCGGCCCCCCCAGCCTCTGGGAGAGACGGGGTCGGGTAGGTCAGCCGGCCCCGCCGCGAGAACGCCCCGCCTGGGGCCCCAGGAGCCAGGGCGAGGGCGGGAGCGCAGGGCCCGGGGCTGAGCCAGGCGTGCGCGAAGCCGGGGACGGGGCCGAGGGGCCAGCTCCAGCGGGCCAGCCTGGGAAGCGGGTGACGGGGACCAGAGCTGGCGGGCACAGCCACCCGACACGGAGCCCTGCCCCAGACCCTTCCTCGCCGCCAGGCCCCACACCCATGCCCTCACCCTTCCTCAGCAGCGGTGCCTCCCGGGGGGACAAGCCCACCGGCTCCAACATGAAGGCTCCTCTCGGGTGAGGGGTGCACGTGTTCATCCTAAAATCCTTCCGGCTGGCAAGGACCTCCCCCTGACAGCTGGGTGGGCGAAAACACGGCCGCTACAGAGGACCCCCGAGCAGCGCCCCCGCCCGCGCCAGGCCCCGGCCCGGCCCGCACCTGTACAGGGGGCTGCTGCTCTTCTCCACCTCATCCAGGGCCACCAGGGCCATGGGCAGGGGCGGGACGATGACGACCTCCTGCACAGGGGCCGAGAGGGAGTGCGTGTGGGTCGCACGGGCGCCGGCGGGCACCCCCGTGGGACGGCCAGATCCCCCCACCCTGCGGCCCGCCCCGCCCCGCCCTCGGGAGGGGCGCTCACAGCAGGGGCCTGCTCCTGCCTCAGGTCCACGCTGGCTCGGGTGTCGGGCAGGTCGTCCAGTGACAGGAACTGGGGGGACACAGTGGGCTCAGCGGCAGCCCCGGCCGGCACGCGGCCGGCAGCAGCCCCGTGCCAGGCGACCTCACCTCATCCTCCGCCGGCTGGGCAGCCCTGGAGCTGGTGTCCCTGCCGGCCCCGTCTTCCCGCGCTGACAGCTGCCTGGCCCGCCTGGGAGAGAATCGAGGCGCGGTGTCCGGAGGCGGCAGGGGCCTCCTGGGCAGCACGCGCGGCCCGCGCTGGCGCCGCCTCCAGCACTCACCTCTTGCCAGAGATGAAGTCGAGGGCCTGGTAGACCAGCGAGTAGAGGTATTCGACCTGGGGGCCGGAAGCAGGAAGTGAGGATGCAGAACGGGCCCGCCCTCAGTGAGGCTCCGAGCACAGAGGCCGCTGGCCCCTCCAGAACCTCCGGCACAAGTCCTGCCAACGCGGCCACCCCAGGCTCTCCCCTGGCTGGACAGAACCACTCCAACCGCTGAGGCTGCTCCGCTGCCCACGCTCAGCAGCAGGGCGGCCCTCTCAGGGCTGCAGCACCCGCCATGCGCCTCGCAGAGCCCCGCACACCGGCCTGCCTGCCGGCGGCCCACGCAGCCCTGCCCCGCGCCCCTCGCTGGCTCCGTCCCCTCCCAGGCCTCGCCCCACCTCCGGGGGCCTCTGGCACCCGGCACCACTCCGGCCACGACCCAGGGGTCCCACCAGCACCCACCAGCAGGGTGTGCGCATGTGCCGCCTCTGGGCCACTTCCCTGGGCGACAGCACCCAAGAGCACACACACACAGCCCCCTCTGCTCAGCCTGCCTTTTCTTTCATGCCCTGGGCACCGGGTACAGTGACGAGCAAGAGGTATGGTGGCCCCTGCGGGCACGGATCCCATTTATTAGGAAACATACACATTAAATTTTCTGTTTGCCACACACACGGGACCCTGCGTCATCTCAATCTGCCTGAATCAGGTGCCACTGCTACTCTCAGTGTCAGAGAATAAATCTGGGGCCACTCTCCCCCAGGAGCACACCTCCCGTCCCCTGCCTCTCCCCCCAGGCACGTGCCTCTCGAATCTGAGAGTCCTCACAAGACGTGCGACCCGGGGAACAAGGGGCAGCGGGCTCACCCCCGAACCTGTCTCCAAGGCTCTTGCTCTGAACTCCCGGTGGGCTGGCTTCCGTCCCTGTGACTTCCGGTTCTCAGCGAGCCGCAGCGGTCCCCCGGCTCTCCCGGTACCTCCCCCGCCCTCTGCCCTTCCAGCTCCCCGGTCCCCGGCTTTCACAAAGGAACGAGAACAGGCTCAGAAACACAGCCACGCAGGGCAGCCTGGGGCCTGGGGCTGGCACCCAGGGCCTGTGAACCTAGTGCCGCGCGAGCTGCTACAGCAGCCGCTAGCCCCACGTGACCACAGCAATGTACATTAATTAGAAGTTAATAAAACTTGCCCCGGCTGGTGCAGCCCAGTGGACTGAGCGCCGCCCTGCGAACCAAGGGTCGCCGGATCGATTCCCAGTCAGGGCCCAGGCCTGGGTTGCAGGCCAGGTCCCCAGTGGGGGGCACGCGAGAGGCAACCACACACGGATGTTTCTCTCCCTCTCCATCTCTCTCCCTTCCCCTCTCTCTAAAAGTAAGTAAATCTCTTAAAAAATTAATAAAACTCAAAATTCATTATTTCTTGGCCACACTACTCACAGTTCGAGGGCTCGGTAGCCACATGCAGCCAGCAGCTCCCCGACCTGGCAGCAGCGATCCAGACCACGCCCAGCACTCAGTGCCCGGGCAGGTGACCGGGGCCTGGGGGCCCCCGCCACCCCAGCCAACCTCCGGCCGCGCCTGCCTCATCGCGCATCTGCCCATGTACCTGCCTGGCAGTTCACCTTGGGTTTGTGCTTTCAAAGTCAGTTACAGGCATCCTTCTTAGGACAAACCCAGGATATAGGAATTGGGTTTAATGGGATTATCTAGGACAAAAACCAATAGAATCTTAGGCTCTCTGAGCCCCTGGTGCCAGAGGCACGTCCACCACGTCCCGTGCCAGCTCAGCGGCAGTCACATCGCTGCCCCCTCCGCCGGCTTTGGACCGGGCACCGAGCTCTTCCCACCCCTCCCCCCCGCCCCCCCCCCGCCCCCGCGGCTCCGCCACCTCTGGATCGGCGCGGTCATCCGCCGCCCCTCCCCCAGGGGGCGCTACGCCCGCGGGGAGGGCCCGGCGCGCCAGCAGGAGCCTTTCGTCCCCATCTGGCCACCACCCCCCGCCGCTGTCCCCCCAGCGAACACTCAACCTTCGCCAGAGCCCACTCTCAGTTCCCGCGCAGGAGCAGCCTCCCAGTGGCAGACGTACAGTCTCCCTCAGGGACGCGGGCCTGAGGCATCACCCCGGAATCCCTGCGCCCAGCTTCTCCGCATCGGTATCCACGCCTCCCTCCGGCCCCGGCCTCCCTCCGCCCGGGGTTCCGTTCACCCCCCGTCCTCCGGCCCCCACTTCTGCACCAGCCCTTGCGCGTCCTGGCTCCACGGTTCTCAATCCTGCCGTCACTGAGGACGTTCTCAGGAATCGGGAGGGCGCGCCCTCTCGGGACCGCGCCGGGGCTCCCCGGCCCCCCGGCCCCGCCCAGGCACGGCCCCTGGCCCCTCTCCCCTGCCCTCGCCTGAGCTCCAAGGGCCCTTCGGGTGCCTCCGCCGCCTGCTTCCTGGGCCCGCTTCTCCCACAGCTCACTCATTCTGCCTCTGGGACTCCGTCAGGGAACTTTCTCTCAGTTGAAGAGAAAAACGCACAGCGACGCCAGCACCACCGCGCCCCGGCTCTGGCCCTGGCCCTGGCTCACTCGGCCGGGGCGCGGCCCGGGCACCGGTGGCTCTTCGGGCTGCGGCCTGGGTTCCGCGCCACGGCTTCAGTTACGGCCCAGCCTCTGCCCTCCCTTTCCTCCCCGGTCCAACACGCTTCCCGGAGGGCGGCCTCCCTGACCCCGAGCACTGCCTCGTGCCGCCGCACTTCCCTGCGCCGGCCGCCTGGCCTCCTCTCCCAAATGCCCGGGACCTAACAGCGACCCCCTGTTTATACTCGGAAACAGTCACTGCATGAGTCCAGCGCCCTGAGCTCAACGTTTCTGGTCCTGGAAACGCTGCCCTGCTGACGCCCTGCCGGGACACCCTCTCGGTCGCCTCCCTCGGACGGCCCCTCCGTGGGCTCCCCGCAGCGCTCCGTCCCTCCTGCTTCCCCTCTTACTCTGCCACAGGCCCTCAGCCAGGGCCGGGCAGCGCGGGGCGCTCCTGCACGCGGACGGGTGCACAGAAGCAGGCCCTGCCATTTTAAACCCGAGCTTTGTCCAGCGTTAAACGGGGGCGAGGAACCCGGAGAGGAGACGGGAGGGGCTGGCGAGGTGGGTCGCGGACAGGTGAGCCTGTCACCTGCTCCCACAGCACAGAGGCTGGGTCCTGCTGGACACCGGAACTCCCAGACCAGGGCCGGGGGCACCCACCTTCTTACTGTACACACAGGCGGAGCCTTGGATCAGCAGCGCGGCCTCCACGAAGTTCATTGTGGTTTTGCCTTCATCAAAGGAAATGCAGATCTGGTCCAGCTGCAAGACGGAGCCGGCTCAGTGGGAGGCAGAGCACATGCGCTTCCCCTTGGGGCTGCCCACCCGCCACCCGCCGCTCCCGGCACCCAGCCTGGCTGCCCGTCTTCATGAGCAGCCCTCGGACGGGCAGCTCTGGCTCTGCCTGGCGGTCACCGCTCGCCCGTTGTTCTGGGAGGGTCTTTGTGCTGTCCTCCACTCCCCGGAACCGGAGCCTGGTATTTGGAAGAGGGAGACCCCCAAGAGCGTGCCAACCACAAACAGCCAGCGCTGCACACCACCTCCCGGCGGGGGGCGCTCCATGCCGTGCCCACGCAGGTCCGATGCTGAGGAACTGGCAGGGACGCCCGCCCCCTGAGAGAGGAGGGGGACCTCGGGGGCGGCGAAGACAGAAACAAAACACTGGGGCCTCGATCCTTTGAGCGGAGCTCAGGAGACACTTCCAAGGGAGTCCTCCCCCTTCCTGGGACCCCTGCACCCCAGCTCACCTCTTCAGTGTCCCCAACCACACGCCAGCGGCTCCCAAACCCGGGCGGATCAGCGCCCTCCCCTGAGCAGCTGCAGCTGCCGTCCAGGCATCTCTGAGACACCCACACGTCCCGGGACGTTTTAGCTCCATCCTTCCCTCAGGACCTTCCCCACAGCCTGGCCCTCAGCCAGCAGCCCCTGGCAGCCCTGACATGTTCGCCAGGCCCTTTGCCTGGAACCCCACCCCAGCGGGGCCCCGGTGACTCTGGCGCAGCCTCGCTTAGGCCTCTCGCCATCCCGTGGGCTGGTCGGGCCCCACCGGAGGCTCGCCTCCCTCGTGCACGGAGCGGTCAGGGTAATTCCAGCCTGGGGCTTGGCGCCTGGTGCTGGGGCCCCATAAATGTTTGATGACCAAGCGGTGACGTCAGAGCTAAGTCTAAAGACGGACGGGTGTCTTCCGTGGTCCGCTTCCCCAGATGAAGGGACCGGCTTTTCAGGAAGAGCAACCACCACACAAAGGCAGTTTGCTGACAGCATTCAGCTATTTAGGAAAATGAGTATAATGCAAATGTGTCCAAAGCGCAGGACATGCTGGGGAGTGGGGCAAGCTATTTAGCCCCAGGGTGGCACCAAGAAGGGTCTGGGTGGACTCCACCAGGGGACGACTTCTGACTCCTGAAGGACTGGGGGTTAGCGGGGCAGGTCGGGGGAGGGAGAGGGGACAGGAGGCGAGAGCCAGAGAGTCTGAGCAGTGGGGCGCAGGCCTGAAAGGAGGGAGCAGGCGGAGGGGCAGCCGGGCCCCTAAACCCTGAGTGGCAGAAGTGGCCCTCCCCCTCAGGGCCACTCTCGTCTCGGCTGGTCACCTGCTCCTAGGACCTCACACTCCATTCTCCTTCTAATGACTCCCAAATGCAAGCTCCCAGGTTGGACCTGCCATCTACGCCCGAACCTGCATGTCCAACCTCCTTCTTTGAACACCGTTGGGATGCCTCACCCATCGCGCTGAACCAGGCCCCTGCTGAACCCCAGAAGTCCCTCCCCACACCACCGCCTGGAAGCCCGGGGTCCTAGCTCCCTCTCCCTGCTCCCACCTCCCTCCTTCGCCCCTGCCCAGCTCCCTGCCCCGCCCTGGCCCATTGGCTCCCGTCCACGGCAGCCACTGCTCCGCCAGCCCCCCCAATCCCTCCAGTCTACTCTTCGCACAGCAACCAGGGCTTGTCTTAAGACATAATCTGGACTGCATCGTGGTACTCAACCCTGACAGCCTCCTGCCACTTAGCAGAAAACCCAAGGTCCCAAGCAGAGCCTCCCATGCAGAGCAGCCTCCCCCTCTGCGGCCCTCTGTCTCCTGCGTGCTGCACAGCAGTTGCCTGCCACCCCCCGCCCCCGCCCCGCGCCCTGCCGGCGCCGCCCCACCTCAGAACCCCGAACGCGCGCTCCAAGCCTGGACCGCTCTTCAGCGCACCGCGACTAGGCGGCACCTTTCGCCCCAACCAAAGCAAGGTCCCCCAAACTCTCAGGCAGCACCCAACCTTTCTTCCAAACCCCTCGTCAGTCTGTGATTGCACAAACGCACACGGCGGTGAGGGGTGGGCTCCACTCTGCCACCCACTAGCGAGGGCTTTGTGCATGTCCCTTAACCTCTCCGGAGAACTAACACCTGTACACTGGGCCTTCTGTGAGGGCTAAATGAGTCTGTATGTACAGAGTGCACAATTAGCAAGAGCCTGTACGGACCGTGTGGTATTTATTACAACTCCTGTGCTCACTGCCTTGGGATCAATCCATCTCCCACAAGAGTGGGGCGGGACTGCTGTTTGCTTGCCACTATTTTCCAAAGGCTTAACAGGTTTTTAGCACCCAATGGACACTCGACAATGAATAAATCAGTGGGTGAAAGAAGAGAGCAACATGTTAAGACCGGTTTTTAAAAAAAGGACATTCTGGTAGCTGTGTGGAAAATGAAAGAAGAAAGACAAAACAGGAGTTGGGACTTGGCAGTGGGGTGAACAGAGGTTTGGAAGAGCAGACACAGGAAGGAGGAAGCGGAGTCACTGGGCGTCCAAGTGCCCCGCCTGGAACCTGGGCCCCCAGCGGCCCCCCCAGCGCAGTTCTCTGCGTTTTCTCCGCAGAGTGTGCGTCCAGCCAGAGGCCTCTCATCATATCAAGTGTTCATTGAACAAACGTTTATTCTGCACCTACTAAATGCTGGACGTTGTGTTAAGCAAAAGGAAGAGAGCATACATATGGTCCCTGCCCTTGAAGAATTTACATTCTAGGGAGAAAAGTAGACCACAAATAACTTAATAGCCTGTGATAAACATTTTAACGTACATAACGTACTATGAGAGAGAGAAACTTAGATAAAATAGTCAGCTCACATTGAAACTGAGACATTAAGGATGAGAAGCAATGATGCATGAAAAAACAAGTGAGTGAAGACTATGCCCCAGGAGGAACGGAAAATACACTCTCAGCCAAGAACGAGCTCGGGTCTTGTGGGTTGACTGGCTCGAAAAAGCAGGCGCGGAGCCCAAGGCTGAAACAGCAGGCAGGACCGGACTCCGGGGGCAAAGCTTGGGTTTTACCCTGAGAGCGACAGGAAGCCACCGAGGCCGGGCAGTGCTGCAGCCGAGCGAGTGCGTGAGAGTCACGCTTGCTGCTGGACGGAGCACGGACTGCACGGGGCCCCAACGGCACCAGGGGGCCCGGGAAGGAAGGAGGTTTTGCCCAAACCTCAGCCATATGGTGGCCTGGAGCGCAGGCAAAGGAGAACAGACGGATTCGAGTGAATTCACGGGTGGGCTGCCTGAGGCGCGTGGGGTTCCCTAGAGCAGCTCTCAGTGTCCACCTCTGGCGGGACAGCGGTGCCGTCTACCAGGACCAGGAAGACTGGGCTTTGTGCAGGAAAGTAAAGAGCTCCACGTTAAAGATGCTAAACCTGAGACGCCTGGTGACATCTAAGTAGAATGTCAAGTAAGCAGCCGGATACACAAAATGGACTCAGAGGAAATCGCGAGGACGGAGACACAAGCCCGGGAGCTGTCCTCATCCAGGGGATACGTGCAGTCCCGGGAACAAATGAGACTGTTGAGGGGAAACGCGCGGAGATGGCCCAGAACCCACCTGGGGAGCGAGCCACTGAGAGGTTGGATAGGGAAGAAAAAGCAAGCCACGGAATCAGACGGAAACCGGAACCCAACACCAGTTTTGAGGAGGAGGGAGTGGTCGGCCCTGGCCTGGTCCCTCAGTGGGTAAGAGCGCAGCCCCCTACACCAAGGTGGCAGGCTCCATCCCCACTCAGGGCGCCTACAGGAATCAACCAATAATGCATGAGTAAGTGGAACAAATCGATGTTCCTTTCCCTCTCGCTCTCACCTTTTCTCTCTCTCTCTCCAATCAATCAATCAATTAACCAATCAATGAAAAAGGAGAAAGTGGTCAACCCAACCAATGCTGCTGAGTTGAATCAGAGGACACTTTTAGTGTTCCCCGGATTTAATAGGCTGGAGGTCATTATTGACCAGGACGAGGGCAAGCCAAGGCTGAAGAGTCAAAGCGAAATGTAGAAATAGGGCGGACAGCTCCTCACTGTGCTGCGCCCCTTAAACTAATACAATACCGCATGCCAGTGAGTTAAACTTAAGAAACCCCTACATAGTGACCCAGCTCTCCCGAACACCCAAACGTGCACATAAATTCTACTCTATTATACTAGAGACAGCGGTGGTCACCACCTACTAAGTTGATTTCACGGCTCGCTAAAGGGTGGCGCAGGACCTGTAATGACAGCTCCAGGCTACCGGAGCCGGGGATGGTGCCGGGAGGCAGTGACGGAGCTGGGAAAAAAGAAACGAGCCTGAGGACGAGCGCGGCCAGAGCGCCGGATGTACAGCCCCGCAGGCGGCGGGCCGCCCAGCAGCCCCGGCCCGGCGCCCCGCCCGCCCGCCCCGTGCCGCGCCACTGCCCCGGGCCGCCCTCACCTCCTCCAGATACTCGCCCAGCTGGGCCGCCACGTCCACCTCCCAGTTCTTGGTGAGGTCGCGGATGGGCTGCAGGAGGTGGGCGAAGCGCGCCTCCACGTCCTCCATGTCCGGGAGGGGCCGGGGCGGCCCGGGGACCGCGGGGCCGGCTTCGAGGGGGGCCAGTGTCCTCAGCCCGCCGCTAGTTCTGGCGCCATTTTGCTGTTCCCGCCCAGGAAAGTACGCAGCGCGCGGCGCCGCGCGCACACCTATGACGTCCAAGGCCAAGGCGCCCCTGGGCCCCGCGCGGCCGGCGCGCCGGAGGCGGGGCAGACGTGGGGGCGGGGCAGGCTTGGGGGCGGGGCCGGGCCAGGCGGGCGGGGCTTGCAGTGGCGCCGGCGGGGCGTGGCCGGGCGGCTCCGGGCCGGGCGGCTCTGGTCCTGTCGGCCGCGTAGCGGACATGGCGGGCTCCCGGCTCCCGCGGCAGCTCTTCCTCCAGGGCGTGGCCGCCGTCTACTTGTTCGCCTTCGCTTCCCTCTACACGCAGATCCCGGGTGAGGGCGCCGAGCGCGGACCCCTCAGCCCGCGGCCGTGGCCTCTCAGCTCCCCACTGGGACGGGAGTGAGGTCCAGGCCTTGACGCGTGGGGCGGGGGGCTCCGGTTCGCGTCCTGTGGGCTGCGGGGTTTGAGGGGTAGGAAGTGTTGCAATGGTCCGTTTCCCGTAGGGCGCGAGCTCCGACCTGGGGCGGGGGACAGAGCCAGAGGCAGGCGGGCCCCTACCTGGTGGGGCAGGTAGCGGATAGGGCTCTAACATGGGAAACAGGGAGCTGGGCTGTGCCGAGTGAAGACCCTGGCCTGGGGAGTCCGCGGTGGGGGCGGGGGGCTGGCCTGTTGGGGCTAGAGCCCGCACGTCCTGACCCAGGTTGGGAGGGAAGAGCTGCGAGTCTTGGCCTGAGGAGGCAGATGTGCAGACCGGGACCGGTGGGGGCAGTTGGGCCTCCCGGGACAGGGTCCAGGACTTGGCCCTGACGTGCCCTCCCACAGGCCTGTATGGCCCCGAGGGCATCCTGCCTGCGCGGAGGACTCTGCGGCCGCAGGGCAAGGGGCCCTGGCAGCAGCTCTGGGAGACCCCGACGCTGCTGTGGGAGGCGCCGCGACTGGGGCTGGACACAGCGCAGGGCCTGGAGCTGCTGAGCCTGCTGGGCGCCCTGCTGGCCCTGGGCGCCCTGCTGCTGCCCCAGCTGCGCCACCTCCTCATCTACCTGCTGCTCTGGGCCGCCTACCTGTCTGCCTGCCAGGCAAGTGGGGGCTGCCTGCTGCCCCCCCCACCACTGTGAAGCTTGTCACCAGCTCACTTCTGCCCGTCCGCCCTCCACCCCACCCGTCTCTGCCTGGCCTGCCCCGCCAGGCACACCCCCCCTGCTCCCTGACAGCCCCTCTTTCTGCAGGTGGGCCAGGTGTTTCTTTACTTCCAGTGGTGAGTGGCTTTTGGGCGTGGAGCCTCCGGAGGCGGGGGTGGGGCAGAGTGTGTTTGCCTCCCCTGGGAGGACCCTGGAGGGGAGCAGCCTTGATGGGGAGGGGCCCTTTGTGCTCTTCCTTCTCCCCTTAGGGACTCCCTGCTGCTGGAGACTGGCTTCCTGGCTGTGCTGGTGGCCCCCCTGAGGCAGCCCCCCCACCACAAGCCGCCCCCCCAGGGTGGGCTGGCAGGGGCCTCGCCCCACGAAGCCCTCCCCTTCTGGCTCGTGCGCTGGCTGCTGTTTCGCCTCATGTTCGCCTCGGGTGTGGTCAAGCTGACCAGCCGTTGCCCCGCGTGGTGGGGGCTCACTGGTGAGGGTCCCAGCCTGCCCATGGGGCAATCTTGGGGGCCCAGCCCAGCCCTGACCCCCCACCGTCACCTGCAGCCCTCACCTACCACTACGAGACGCAGTGCCTGCCCACACCGGCCGCCTGGTTCGCCCACCACCTGCCCGTCTGGCTACACAAGCTCAGCGTGGTGGCCACCTTCCTCATTGAGATCGCCGTGCCCCCGCTGTTCTTCAGCCCCGCTCGCCGCCTGCGCCTCGCTGCCTTCTACTCCCAGGTGAGCTGGGCAGCAGCTGTCGGGAGACCGGCGGGACGGCACCTTCTTCCGCATGACCCGGTGGTCCCGTTGGGGACCACCTAGCAGCTGCCAGAAGTCAGGAGGCCTTGAGGGCGGGGGCCTAGTTAGCGTGAGGTGCGCAGGTGTGCCTCTGGGGGGGCCCAGCCTCGCCAGGAGGTGTGGGGCTCCCGTCGGCAGGGGCGTACGAGGCGCCGAGCTTGGCTCTGCCCCATGTGGCGTTGGGGAGCCGTGGGAGGTTTGAGCGGAAGCTGGGCGGGTGGGGACAGAACAGAGGCCTAGTGCCGCTGAAGAAGGGGTGGGCGCCTGCGAGAAGACCGAGGTGTGGCCTGCAGAGCCCGAGGGCCAGCGGGGCTGCGGCCCCGAGCCCTGAGCCCAGACCCTCCCAGGTGCTGCTGCAGGTCCTGATTATCCTCACCGGGAACTACAACTTCTTCAACCTGCTCACCCTGGTGCTCACTACGGCCCTGCTGGACGACGAGCACCTGGCTGCCAGGCCGGGCAGCAGCCGCCGCAGAAGGACGCCCGCCTGTGAGTGTCCCCGTCCCGGAGGCCAGCGTCCTCGCCCGCTCGGCTGCCGGGGCGGCGCCCGACTCCGGCCCCCAGCGGCCCCCAGCGGCCCCCGCGGGCTGCCGCTCCAGCTCGCAGCTGCCCACCCTCCAGCCCCGCGCCCAGTTGACTGGCTGTCTTGCTCTGCAGCCCGGCCCAAGGCCCTGCTGGCCCTGCTGCTGGAGCTGACCGTGTATGGGCTGCTGGCCTACGGCACCGTGCGCTGCTTCGGCCTGGAGGTCGACTGGGAGCAGCGCGCCATCCGCTCCAGAACCAGTGAGTGCTGCTGGGTGCGGGGGCCGGGGTGGCCTGGGCTGCACCTCCTCACACCCTTTCCTTGCGCAGCCTTCACCTTCCACCAGTTCTCCCAGTGGCTGAAGACGGTGACCCTGCCCACCATGTGGCTGGGGGGTGCCTCCCTCGCCTGGGAACTGCTGGCCGCCCTCTGGAGGTACGTGCGGGGCCGGCGGGGGCGTGGCGCTGTGTTGCTCTGCAGGCCAGAGCTGACCGCAGTGGCTCCCGCCCTCAGGTGGACCCAGGTACGAGGGTGGCTGCGGAAGCTCTGGGCTGCAGTCCAGCTGTCCGTCTTCGGCTCTGCCGCCGTGGCCATGTTCCTGGTCAGCCTGGTGGGTAGCACTTCACAGGGGCCGTGAGAGGGGATGGGGGACTGGCAGGGCGGCTGAGCCTCTGTCTCTGGCGTCCAGGTGCCGTACTCCTACGTGGAGCCCTCCACCCACGGGCGCCTCTGGACTGGGGCCCACCGCCTGTTTGGCGCCGTGGAGCACCTGCAGCTGGCCAACTCCTACGGCCTTTTCCGACGGATGACCGGTCTGGGTGGGCGGCCTGAGGTGGTGCTGGAGGGCAGCTACGATGGGCGCCACTGGACGGTGAGCATCCGCAGGGCCCGTTGGGATGGGGTTGGGGGGAGGAAAGGGGCGAAACCTGGGTCCAGCTGCCCTTAGGAACCCGGATCTGCTCCGCACACAGGAGATCGAGTTCATGTACAAGCCCGGGAACGTGAGCCGGCCGCCCCCAGTCGTGACGCCGCACCAGCCACGCCTTGATTGGCAGATGTGGTTTGCTGCCCTGGGCCCGCACACACACAGCCCCTGGTTCACGAGCCTGGTGCTCTGCCTGCTGCAGGGCAAGGAGCCAGGTGAGGCCCGCAGACGGGCGGGGCTTTGGGGGGCTTGTGGGCGGGACTGAGGGAGCAGGCCGCTGAGCCCCTTCCTGCGCAGTGATCCGCCTCATCCAGCACGAAGTGGCCAGGTACCCCTTCCACAAGCAGCCGCCCACCTACGTGCGGGCCCAGCGCTACAAGTACTGGTTCTCACAGCCTGGGGAGCAGGGGTAAGGCTCGGGCACCCTGCGGGGCTGGGGGCTAGGGGCTCGGCCCTGGGCCCTCGGCGCCTCCTAAACCACCGTGTCCTGTTGCAGCCGGTGGTGGCGCCGCCAGTGGGTGGAGGAATTCTTCCCACCTGTGTCCCTGGGGGACCCGTTGCTAGACACGCTGCTCAGGCAGTTTGGCCTCCAGGTAAGAAGGCGTTATCCAGGCTGGGAAAGGCGGCAGGGTGACCCCCACCCACAGGGCGACCCCGTTGACTCTCCTCGACCCCGCTCCACAGGACAAGAGCCCGCCCCGGGCCCGCAGCTCCAGCAGTGCTCTCGGCCGGGCCCTCCACTGGGTGCGGAAGCAGCTCTCTCCCCTGGAGGCGCCTGCTCTGCTCTGGGGGCTCATCCTTGGGGTGGGAGCCATCAGGGTCATCCAGGCCGCGCTGGGGCCCCGTCCCTCCCGGACCTCCGCCCCCGCCAAGGAGGAGAAGCACAGGCCAGCCCCCAGGAAGGACCCGGGAGCTGTCCCCGACCAGGCTGCCCCGGCCCGCAGCAACAGCAACAGCAGCTCCCAGACCACCCGGCGGAAAAAGTAGCCACGCTCTGTTGGCCGCGTGTCCGGAGCCGGTCGGGATCCCTGGCCTCTGGAGCAGGATCGGCCCAGCCACCGTGCCTTAGCCAGCGGCGCTGGCGGACACAGGCCGGGGTGCGGCCCTCGGGCTCCGGCCACCCTGCTGCTCCGAGGGCCCGCTCGTCCCTGTGCCGCCCGCACCCCCGAGACCGCGCTCTGGCCTGGGCAGTGGCCCCGGAGGCGGGTGTGTGACCAGCTCAGGGCCCTTCCCAGGACGCTGTGGTCGGGACTGTGGGCGTTCGGGTCTGCAGGGGCCCAGATCTGACGCCCTGACCCCAGCACCTGCATGAGAAAGGAGAGACAGCCCTGGCCCGTCCCTTTCACACCAGCCCAGCCCGTCCCTTGGTTCACAAGCCAATAAAGGCATCTTTGTGCTTGACACGTGCCTGACATTTTCTTCCCCGCAAGGAGGCCCGAGGGCAGTGTCTCTGGCAGCAGACACAGCCTGGTGGTGTCCAGCTGCCACTGACCTGGCTTCCTGGGTGTTTTTGCTCTCCCGTCCTCAGTGTTCCCCTCCATACAATGGGCGCAAGGGCCTGGCCTGGCACTGCCCGAGCCCCAAGCCTCAGTCCAGCACAGCCTGGCCGACTGGTCAAGTCCACATGTCAAGGCTTTGAGGCCAGTCCCAGAATGTGGGGCCTGAAACCACCCGACGGCCAGAGGATGCACCAGACCCGGCCCCTGCCTCCTCCTGCTCCGGCCTCCTCACCTCGGGAACGAACGGGGACTCGAGCCCTGGGTGCTGCTCGGGTCAGGAGTGAAGCGGGGCGGGGCCGGCACGGGTGGCAGGTCGGGGGAGCCCCGAGGGGCCACCAGAGGAGCCGGGTAGAGTGTGGGCGGAGATGGGCAGAGGAACAGGGAGCCGGGACCCCGGGTCTGGGTGGAGGAGGGCACAGTCCAGGCTTCCACGTGGGGTCAGTTGTCCATCAGGCTACTGGCCTCCAGGGCACTTTGCTCAGGCTTCTCTCTGTCCCCCATGCTCGCCCGCAGAGCCCTGGACAGCCTACCAACGTGCCGACGCCTTGCCACATCGCCGAGCCCCTCTGACCAGCCCAGGCGGACGGAGCTACGTGCCCAGCCACTCCTGACTCAGGTGGACCTGTGGCCTGAGCTTGCGGGTGGCTTCACAGCGCTCTTGACACGAGGAATGAATGACCTATAAGTTGACTTCGGGTTTAAGACAGTCATACATCCAACATTCAAAACACTTTTTTCTTTAGGCTTTTAAACTCAGATGATAAATTTCTCTTTGGGGGTGTTTTGTTTTCTGTTACATTTCCTCTTGAGATAAAATCCACGTGCCATGTAATTGACCCACTTAAAGGACACAATTCAGCCGCTTTCGGTACATTCAAAGACTGGTGCTTCTGTCACCACGGTGAATTTTAAAACCTTCTCGCCCCGGCCGGTGCGGCTCAGTGGATTGAGCGCTGGCCTGCGAACCAAAGGTCGCCGGCTGGATTCCCAGTCAGGGCACAGGCCTGAGTTGGGGCCAGGTCCCCAGTCGGGGGCCCTCACGGGGCAACCAACCACACATTGGTGTTTCTCTCCCTCTCTTTCTCCCTCCCTTCCCTTGTCTAAAAATAAATAAATAAAATCTTAAAAAAACAAAAAGCTTTTCATCACCTCTAGTAGAAACCCCGCTCACCTTAGCTGGCACCTTCCGACCCTCTCCACACCATGCCCGAGGCAACCACTAATATGCTCTGTTTCTATAGAGTTACCTATTCTGGGTACTTCATATAAACAGAATTACACAATTGATACTCTTTTATATCTGGCTTCTTCCATCGGCACAATGTTTTCAAGGTACATTCACGTAGTACCGTGTATCAGAATTTCACTCCTTGTCCCGGCCGAGTCACGTTCCACTGCGTGTTGACACCACCTTTGGGTTGTCCCCAGCTTTTGGCTATTGTGAACACCCTTGCTGTGGCTATCAGGATACAAGTCTCTGAGTCTCTGTTCGGGTCTGTGCCTAGGAGCGGAGCTGCAGGAGGCTGCCGCAGCCCTGGGTTAACTGCCTGAGGAACGGCTCAGCGCCAGGGGCACCGGCTTCCATTCCCTCGGGCAATGCACTTTCCACTTTCCATAGGTTCCACCTTCTCCACACCCTCACTACGTTGATTGCGCCTTTTTTTGGAACAGCCATCCTAATGGGTATGAAACAGCCTCTCGTGGTCGTACTGATGTGCATTTGCCAAATGACGAAGGATGTTCAGCACCTCCTCGTGCGCTTACTGGCCACTTGTATATCATTGAAGAAATGTCTGTCCAAGCCCTCTGCCCATTTTTAATCAGTTCTTTGACTTTTTGTTGTTGTAGTATTTTGTATATTCTGGATATTAACGCTGCCCCAGCCCTGGCTGGTGCGGCTCAGTGGAGTGAGCGCTTGCCTTCCAGATAAAAGGCCACCACCCCTCAGCCCCTGGCAGGGCACAGGCCTGGGTTGCAGGCCAGGTCCCCGGCGGGGGGCCTAAGTGCCCGCCACACGCGGGCGTGTTCCGTCTCTATGAAGTCCGGTTTATCTACCTGTTCTTTCCCTGCCCGCGCTTTTTGTGTCCTAGTCAGGGAATCACTGCCAGGTTCAAGGGGGTCAAGGTGTCCTCCTCCGCTCTCTTCTAATGGTTTTGCAGCCGCTGCTCTTACATTTAGGTCATTGATCACTTCGAGTTACTTTGTGCGCAGGATGTCAGGTAAGGGCCCGCCTCATTCTCTTGCAGGTGTCCGTCCTGCGAAGACGGTTCTTCCCGCGTTACACCGCCTGGGCGCCCTGTCGAGAACCAGCTGGCCACACGCGAGGGCTTGTCCCTGCGGCTTCCGCCCTGTCCCGTCGGCCGGCACGTCTGTCTGCGTGTCGGGGCCACAGCGCTTTGACGGCCGTAGCTCGGGGGTCCATTGTGAAGCTGTGTCCTCCAGCTTTATTCTCCTTTTCTAAGATCGTTTTGGCTATTTGGGGTCCTTGAGATTCCATATTAATTTTAGAATGGAATTTCTTATTTCTGCAAAAATACCAGTGGGGTTTTGATAGGAATTGCCTTGACTCTGTAGATCGCTTTGGTAGTATTGTCATCTTAACAAAGCAAGTCTTCCAATCCATGTATTTTCACTCTCTCTCCCCTATATAAATCTAACAGGTTTTAGCTGTAACTCCAAAGTGTTCTAAATATAAATTTTAAATGCCTAAGACATATTAACTGCTTTACAAATGTAAACTTACATTTTAAGCATCCAGTTGTCTGACCTAACAATCTTTCCAAGCTTCAAAGAGACCTTAATGCACAGACACGCTGAGGGGCTGCGGGAAGGAGGTGCAGCCCTGCCTGCCTCCCAGCCTCCTGCAAAGAGGGACCCCCGCGCACGGGGGCTCAGATACCGAGGAGCCCGACGGGACACCACCCCCTGGGGTGCCCAGGACCCTGATGACCCCACCGTCCTGATTTATACGCCCTCACCCTCCGCCGCGCCGCCCCCCCCCCTCCGGAAATTCACTAACACAAGGTGGCCACCCCACACCCCGCAGAAAAGCCTTCCCGCCAAAGGGAGAGACGCCCGGCATCTACGTCACCTCCGGGGCCCGCTGAACACCCACCCCTTTGAGCTCAGCATAATCCTCTCAAGATTGTGTATTTCACACGTGGAACTGTGAAGTTAGCCACCAGGAAAGAAACCGAAAATTGACTGGCGGTTGAAGGACAGCAAGGAAAAAGCAGAGGCCGCACTCGTTTCCGCCACAGCCCCGGCTGGGCGCCCTCCACGCGCGCCGGGCGGAGGCGCCCGCGCAGGGGCCGCTGGCTCCCACCGGCTCGGGCGGCGGGACCGGGCCGTCCTCTCGGCGTCAGGCGGCTCCCGGAGCCGCGCCCGCGGGCCCGCGCCCGCAGCCCCTCCCGGAGGAGGCCAGCTCCGAGTCCCGAGTCCCGAGTCCCGGGCGGAGCGCTCGGCGCAGCCGCGTGTCTGGCCGCGTCCTCCTCGAGCGCCGCGCCACAGCGTGTCCGTCCGGGAGGGCGTTGCTTCCCTGGGAACCACATTCCACAGCGCAGCCGCACGCCGAGCCGCCGAGAGTCGCCGCGTCGCCGCGTCGCCGCGCCAGCCGGACAGGCGGCTGCAGTTTCACCGGGGGCACCGGGAGCTGGAGGGAGAGGCACTCGCCCGAGGGCTCCCTGACGCTGCACTGCGGCTCCACGCATGGCACTGGAGGCACCCGGACGCGCAAGGGCGCTGGCGCCGTGGCTGAGCCTTCAGCTCAGGCCCTCGACTTGGGGCTCCTAGGCCGTTCCCTGTGAAGAAGGCCGTCGGGCAGAGGCAGGGCTGTGCAGGCGACCTGGCGACGGGCATCCCTCGCGCCGGTGGATGACGAGGCTGGAGGAAGCACAGGGGACAGGGACAGCAGATCCAAATACACACGAAGGGATGTTAATGTCAGATCCCTACCCACCGCAGGGGCTGGCTGCTCCCTGTGGGAGAGGTGCACAACGTGGGCGCGGGGGTGGCCCTGCTGGGGACCCCCCCCTTGCTGGGTGACAACGCCTAGGTGACCTGCTCCTCTGCCCGGGGGTCAGGGTCTTGCAGGAAGAAGTTGACTGGCATCCGTGGACTTAGTCAAACAGCCCAGGACCCCCTTACAGTCCTAAAAACTATGGAGGACTGAGAAAGTCTCCATAATTTTATTTAAACAAATTCATAACATCCCAATAACAAATATTTGAATATTTGAATTTGCATTTCCCAAAATACTGTGAGAAGAGTGGCATGGTTTTACATTTTTGTAATGTAATATTTAATGCCTGACTTATACCTGCTTCTGGTCGATCTTTTCCAATATCTTTTTGGTTAAAATATATGAAGGAAATCTGGCCTCACACAGATACGTTGTTGGAAAAGGGGAAGAGTATTTGGAAGCCTTCTCAGATCATGTCGGATATTCCCATACCACATCAAGACTCTAAGTAGTAGTTTCTTAGGGATTCATTGCAATTTGGGATTTGAAACCATACCACTGAGCTTTTTGTTCTCACGCAAATCCGTTGGTGCATCTTGCATGATTTTGGAGCATGATATATTGGTCATTTGAAAAATACTCGTTCACTGAATTATGCAGATCTTCCAGATGGTGGCCCGTCCCATTGTACAGCCTCAAAAAAAAAAAAAAAAAATCACATTCATTAATACAACCACTGATCTCATCAGAAGAACCTTCAAGTCTGAGTAAGCTGTCAAATTCACAGTAGCGGACACAGCCACAGGTCTCAGTCTGTGGATAGTAATTCCATCAGCCAGAAACGCTTGGGTGGCACTCAGCCGGGCCCCGGTGAGGTCCCCCAACGTCTTCGCTTCCCAGCCGAAGTTACCCCCGCAGGGATCCTCATGGTTGTCATGGTTGCAAGGCGCCCTTCATCAATAACTTCGAAAAAAGAGTGTGTCACTTCCAGGCCCTGCGGTATATACAAGGCATGCGGGACGCACAGCAGGACTGGAGAGAGCCCGTGGGGCTGGGTGCTGCTCTTACAGGAGCTGGGGCGAGTCCTAGGGTTTTGTGGACTCACCTTCGGTGAATTTAAAGCATAAGACGGGTATCTGCAGTGCAGGAAGACAGGAAAAAGACAAGCAGCCGAAATGGTAGGCTATCAGCGTCCAATGATACCACTCACAACACAGGAGCCCGGGCTGGGGGCAGCTGACCCTGCTTTCTTCTCGTCCTGCGGACGCCAGGGCCTGCTTGGAAGTCCTGCCTCTTTGAATGGGAGGCTTCGGCAGTCAGAGCCGAAGTCAGGCGCTCGCAGCACAAAAGCCAATGGTCAAGGCGTACGCTACACAGAGGTTTTCCCAAATCCTAGCTTTTGCTTAAAAGCTAAATTTTATCATTGGCAACAAATGCTCTCATTGTTTTCCTGGAAGTGGCAGGCTTACTTTGTTAATGTTTAAGAATATGCCTAAAAATGCCCAAGGCTGGATGACTGTACTTTATCTGGTTTGGTCCTTCCAAGTAGGACTGACAGGTTGACCGGCAAACTCAATCACCCAAGTGCCTTTTTTTTTTTTTTTTTTAAGATTTTATTTTTAGAGAGAGAAAGGGACCTGGTCCACAACCTGGGCATGGGCCCTGATCGGGAATCGAACCAGAGACCTTTTGGTTCACAGGCTGGTGCTCAATCCACGGAGGCACACCAACCGGGGCCACCCAGCTGCTTCTCTGCGAGGCAACTGCCGTGTTTAGCTTTCAGCAGACCTTCTCATGTGCTCACACAAATGACTAGGAAGACCCGCACTCAAGGATGGAGAGTTAAGAAGAAGAATGTTCAGTGGTGGCAGGAAAATGGAGACAACTGTACTTGAACAACAATAACAATAAAATAAAATACCAAGACATTAAAAAAAAAAAGAGTTTTGCTACTTCATCAAAGACATTCTTAACCGACCTTTTTTTAATGGAGTATGTGACCATTAGGGCTAGCACTTTGGGGCCCCCCTCTCGATCTGGGCAGGCCGGTAGCCACTGTAGCCACTGTTACACATGCGTGGTCACTGTGAACGCCAACTCGGTGAAAAGGGCAAATAACATCGCAGTCTATTAAAATAGCACTGACTTTGCTATTCAAGGGTTTCCGCGGCAGCTCAGCAGCTGAAGACCGCACTCTGAGAACTGCTGTTTTAGCCCGATAGCCTTGAGGATGGGCTGGAATTTAGGGATTTGAACTTACTGCATTTTCTTGGGCCATTTGAAGATTTTATGTATTTACTTTTGGAAAGAGGGGAAGGGAGGAAGAAAGAGGGGGTGAGAAACATGGATGTTCCGGAGATACATTGATTGGTTGCCTCTCAGGCGCCCCCTACTGGGGTCCTGGCCCCAACCTGGGCACGTGCCCCAACTGGGAATCCAACGCGCGACCCTTCGGTTTGCAGGCCGGCGCTCAGTCCACTGAGCCACCCCGGCTCTTGGGCCAGTGGTGCCTTTAGAAGCTGCCGCCCTTTCCCTAGGTCCTGCTCATAGTCCCCATAGCCTGGCCCTTGTTGACCTGAAGCAAAAAGATATTTCTTCAGCAAAATGGGTTCATCCCGGAAAAACAAAGAATTGCAATTTTTGAACAACCTCGAGGGAAACCACCGGCAAGTCCCTGAACGGAAGGAGAGGGACGTTCTTTTACAGAGGAAAGAGGGGCGGTCAAAGGGGCCGCTGTAAGCAGAGGGGGCATTGGAGGAAAAGCGGGGCTGGAAGTGTCGCGGCCACTGATTGGCTGAGCTGTCACCGGTTCTCATTGGCCAAGCCGTTGCCGGGCAGGAAAGCCTCCCGCTTCCTGCAGGGGGCGCGGGGTAAGCGAGGGGGAGGCGTGGAAGGTGAGGTTTCTGTTTATTAGTCTTCGCACCTTCAGCAGCGCTTCCAGCAGCGAAGCGAAGGCTGTAATTAGCTGCGTCTGGGGGCGTGGCCACCAGGGTGCCCCTCCCGGCCGTGGTCCCCGCTTCCGCTCGCCCGGACACAAACTCTAGGCTCCTCGAGGTCTGTCCCCGGGAGCCCACCTTCTCGGGGTAACCCAGCTCATTTAAAGAGAAACATTACTGACAAGACAAGGGGGCTGCCCGGCCTGAGCCCCCGGCGGTGCAAACAGGTGGAAACCGGGGGCTGCTGCCAAGTTGTCCGGGACGGAGGAGCTGGAGGCGGGGCGCGTGCGGGGAGGCAGCGGGGGCCAGGCCGGTGGCCCGGCAGCTGCCCTGTTGGGGGGCCCAATGCCGTAGGGCCCCCATCAAGGCCTGACAGCCCCCGGGGTGGGCAGAAATACGGGGCTCCGGCCTTCACTGCCCTCCACTCGACCTGAGCCTTCTGGGAGGTGGCCGCCCTAGGGTCGGGCCAGGGCCACAGAGAGGCGCTGGGGGCTGGGGACAGGAGCAAAGGCGGCTGCTCCTGCTCGGCACTGGGAAAGCGCCCCAGGGGTGGCAGCAGGATGGCAACTCGGACCCAGGGGCCCCTCCCCCGGCCCTGGGACTCGCTCTGCTGTCCCCACCCCAGCCTCGCTGAGACCTGCTTCCGCCCTGACCCCGGGAAGGTGGAGGCCCGCCCACGTGAGGCTCCCTCTCGTGTCCCCACTGCCCAGGGCTGGCCCAGGCTCAGATGCCTCCTTCCTGCCTCCCCAGCGCCCCCCACCCACGCCAGGGACCATCTCCTGGGGCGAGTCCTCTCCCGCCGCCCTGCACCTGCCCTGCGAGGGGGTGGCGAAGCAGGACAGCCACCCCCACCCGGAGGGGCTGCCCTGCGACAGTGTGAGGGAGCCCGGAGCAGGTCGGCGTTTCCTGAAGGGAAGCGTGGGAAAGGAGAAGAGCTTTGGCAAAGTCTCTGAAACTCACCTGAGCCCTTTCTCTGCTGCTGCCCACACGCAGCGGCTCCGGAGAACACGGCGAGATCAGGGTGGGGGTGGGGCAGGACAGGAGGACGTGGGCACGCAGCAGCCTGAGTGGGGGCGGGGGGGCGGAGGGACAACGGGTGACGTCCCCCCTCGATGGTCTCGGCCAGGGGTCGGAGTGCGGGTGGACGTTCAAGATTCAAGAGGGGCCTGAGTCTTCAGCCCCCACAGGTGGATTTGAAATACAATCTCCCACTCAAAGAAGCCAAGGGCTCCGTGGAGATTCCAGGTCTGGGGCAACCTCTGTGTGAGCTGATAAATGGCCCCCAAAACATATCCACACCAAAGCCTGGGAACTTGTGAGTGTGACTGATTTGGAAAAGGCATCTTGCAAATATGATTTGGTTAAGGATCTTGAGATCATCCTGGATTATCGGGGTGGGGGCCTAAACGTCGAGAGAAATGTCTTTGTGAGAGCGAGGCAGAGCGAGACTGACCCAGCGGAGGGGCCCCGGGAGCGAGGCCGCCAGGCGGGGGGGGGGGGGGGGGGGGGGGGTGCCGGCGGCCGCCTGACGCTGGGGAAAGCGCAGAGCGCCCCGGGGCCGCTGGGGGCAGCAGGTGCACCTTGGTCTCAGAGTGCTGGCTTCCAGAGCTTGAGAGAATAAATTCCTGTTGGTTCAAGCCAACAAGTTTGTGATCACTCATGTCAGACACAGGAAACGAACCGTCTGGGTGTCTTGTCACCCAGACAGACAGCAAGCCGTCCCCAGAGGCAGTTGCAGTTGGGTCACGGGACCCGCGAGGATGCGGATGTCGCGGATGTCACGCGTAAGGATAATAGTTCAATGAACTGAAGCATAAATGTGCTGAAATCTGTGTGTTCATAACACAAAAACAGACTCGATCGTCACTGAAGGATGTTGCCAACCAGTAAACTAAGAGAAAGACAAGTGTGTGCTTGCCTTTCCGGCAGGAACAGTCCCCAGTGAGCAGCAGGCGGAGCTTCTGGAGACTGCGGGGTCCAGAGGCGGAGCCAGCGAGGGCCGACGCGGCCAAGGTCGCTGTCCAGCCTTGTGAAGGTGAAGGGTGTTCTTAGGTGAAACTGACACAGCCTGAGCCTCCTACAGAGACCGCGCCGCGGCCTCTGAAGCCCTCTTGCCACCACCAAGCCACACCTGAGTCAGATCGGGTCTCTAAATTTATTTACCAATTAGCAGGAAATACTGAGGAAATATTAATAGTTGCCGGGGGGCTGCAATCAGCAAATTTTGACAGAAGGAAATTCCCTGAGACAAATGAGCCACTTCCTTCAAAGAGATAAACTGCGAGGGGCTGGAGGGGAAGCCAGCTAAGCTGTGGCCTTGGGGACACACTCGGGGGATGAAACCCCATGGAGCGAGGTGATTGGCTGCACCTCAAGGGGAAGTTGAGCCAAGGCAGGGGCTGCACCTGGGCAGGGAGGGCGCGGAGGAGGGTGCTGGGGAGTCTCTTCATGGGTCACGTTCGTAGCAAGTATCCGGTGCCCTTGTTATATGCTTCTGTGGTGCCTTCTTTTAGCTACAAAGTGCTTTGTTTTGTTTTGTTTTGTTTTTTAAGGAGACTGAGCTACAAGGCTTGGTGACTGTTTTGAGAAAGGGGGTACTAGGGTGACCCCAGGTTCTGACGTGGGAGGTGGGAGGATGAGAGACATGTTTATGGCGACAGGCACAGCAGGGCACGTGTCCAAGAGGCCATGGTCTCTTCTCCCTGCCCACGGACGGCCCTGCGGCCACGACAGGCCAGGGGGTCAGTGAGGGTCGGGCTCCAGCTGCGTCTCGGTCTTTTGCTTTTTTTCTCTTTTTAATTGATTTAGAGTGAGAGAGAAAGAGAGAGACATCGATTTGTTGTTCCATCCACTCAAGCATTCACCGGTTGATTCCTGCGTGTGCCCTGACTGGGGACTGAACCCACAACCTTGGCGCATCAGGATGACGCTCTAAACAGCTGAGCCACCAGGCCAAGGCCGTGGTTCAAGGTCTTTACTGCCGGCAAGCAAGAGGCCACTAGGGTGGGGCGCACAGAGCGCAGGTGGGGGTCCGGAGTCCCTCAGAGAGGCCGGGTCCAAGTGTCACTGTGCCTGACGGCGCTGTCCCCAGGGGCCCCGGGCCAGGCCTGGGCAGAGGAGGCAGGCGGGTCACCAGCTCAGGACCCCGGGGCAGTACTTGTCAACGAGCCCCTGGTAGTAGGGCCGCAGCTTGTCCACGTCCGGCAGGTCGGGACACTTGGTGTACAAGTCGAACTTGCTGCAGCAAGGAAAGGACAGTGACTGGTGGAGAAGCCCCCGCGCCCCGCCCCCCCCGCCCCCCCCGCCCCCCCCCCCGTCTCCCCAGCGACGGCCGTACTTGAACTCCTGCACCCAGGGCAGCATGGCCAGGTCACGCTCGCTGCACAGCTGCCGGTAGTCGCCCCCCGTGTGCCAAGGGTAGAAGGAGTGAAACCGGATCACGTAGAAGGCCTGGGGACAGAAAGGAGCCACACCCAGCGTGGGCCGGGCTGGGCGGGGCGCTCTGTGGGGCCCCTCCCTCGCCTACCTCTGGGGGCAGGGAGAATTTGTTGAACTTCATCATCTGGTACATGTACTCTGTGGGAGAGAGGGGGTCACCACCAGGCACCCAGCGGGGTGGCCCCATCGCGGGCGACTGTCCCTGTCGCCTGCCTCTTCCCAGCCTCACCGTCGTGGCCCCAGGACATGAGGACGTTGTCGAGCCCGCAGTGCGGCTGGTACATGCCGAGCTCCGTGCTGCAGGGAGAGGCGGAGGGTGAGGGCTCAGCAGCCCCCAGGGGTGGGCAGGACCGGGGGCGGTGGAGGGGCACCTGTATCGAGGGTCCTGGAGGTCGGGGTTGTCCTGGAAGGTGGAGTCGCAGAAAACCACAGAGGCCTGGGGACGGCAGCCCACGGGGAAGGTGTCTCCAACGACCGCCCACTGAGGAGGGACAGGCGTGACAGGCCGGCCTGCCAAGGGGCGCCCAAACCCAGCGCTGAGGCCGCCCTGGCCCTGCCCTGCCAACCGCCCGCCGCCCCTGCCCTCACCTGGGGCTCCCCTGCCAGTGCCAGGACCTTCCCCAGGTCGTGCAGGAGCCCCGTGAGGTGGAACCAGTCTGGGAGGAGAGAAACAGGGCGGGCTGGCAGGGGGTGCTGGGCCGGGCCAGGGAGGAACAGGCCTGGGCAGGGTGCGGCAGGGCCTGCGCAGCGCCCCAGCCCCGCGGGCAGTGCCCTCCCCCCACAGCCGGGGAGGGGCGGGGCGGGGGCGCACCCTTGTCAGGGTGGGCCTTCCGTATGCCCTCGGCCGTCTGGAAGGCGTGGAAGGAGTTGGGGAAGTCCACGTCTGGGTCCGACTCATCCACCAGCCTGTCTAGCATGTCCACAGCTTCCATGACGGTCATTTTCTTGTAGGAGAAGGTCATGAACTGGGCGCGCTGGGCCAGGAAGGGCGAGGTCAGCAGGGCCCGGGCGAACCAGGGCCCAGTCCCTTTCCGTCCACTCCGCCTCGCGGGCTGGGCGGCCGCCCTCGGAGCTGCCCCGGGGGTACCTTGCTCCTGACGAATTCCACCGTCTGCTGCGTGTGCATGAGCTTGTAGGTGGCAAAGACGCGGTCCAGGAGCGGGCCGGACTGCAAGCCGGAGGGTCAGCCAGGCGGCGCACCCAGGAGTCCACCGCCTCCCCTCTCCCAGGGCTGGCCCCACAGGGGCGAAGGGGGCTTCCCAGAGGGCCGGCCCTGGACCTGTGCCCAGGAGAGTGTTGCCCTCCGCGGGGAGGGGCTGGGGCAGGGGGCAGGCAGGCGGGCTGGGATGCGGGCTGGGGCAGGGCAGGGCGCTCACGGTGAAGTTGCGGAAGCGGCCCTTGTCCTCAGCTGCCTCCGGGTCTGCCTCCGGCCTGTAGACCAAGGACGGGTCTGGGCCCTGGTTGGATGGGGATGGAGCCCATTTCACCATGATGTCAGCTCTGCTGGAAAGTGGGGACACCCCCCACCGAGGGCACCCCAGAGCGCGGCCCCTCCGCAGCACACCGTGTCCGGCCCCTGCACCAGCCAGTGGCCTTGGCGAGTCCTGCTCCGCAGAGAGCGTCAGCTGGTCGCCTGCTCCCCGGGGGCGCCACGTGGGAGCGGAGACCCACGTGTGTCTCCTTCCCAAAACCTGGCGCCCTGGGGACCCAGGCACCGGGCTGCTGGCCCCCGCCGAGCTGGACCACAGGAGGAGGAGGAGCCGGCCGGCTGCCGCCCGCTTCCGCGAGGGACAGCCGGCCACCAGAGAGTAGCCAGTGGGACCCGTGTACGCAGGGTCTGGGGACTCACCACAGCCACCTTCATCCTGAGGGGGCGCTGAGCTGCCAGGTGGGCAAGAGTCCCACAGGCCCTGTACCCCTATATACGCTCACAGGTTACATAAGCGCTGGACACCCCCCGGCCCCTTGACCTGGGCCTTGGTAATGAGTAACAGTCCGCCCCTCCTGGCCTCAGCAACTCATGTGTCAGCACCCGAGGGCCCCAGCCCCTTCTCCCCGAGCTCGGACTCCCCCGCTGCCCCGCCGGCTGGGGGTCCGGTCGCTTTGCCCCACAGCCTTCGAACGCTGCCACCCCCCCCCCCCATAGGCCCCTCCGGACGGAGGGGTTGGGACCTGGAGGCCACCCCCAAATCCTCAGGCAGCTGGGGTTCTGGGCAGGGACTTGTTTCAGAAATTGCCCCGCTGCCTGTGTAGGTGGGAAGGATGAGTTTCCTGGGGGCTGTTGCGGGGTGGGGGCTGGGCGGCCGCAGGACGCAGCCGGGACAGCCCCCGCGGAGCGCGCGCGGCGTCCCTGCTCGCAGACCGGGGCACACCCCGGGCGGCCCGCCGCTGCACGTGCCGGGCGGGGAAGGACCCGAGGCCGGCACCGCAGGCTGGTAATTAGCGGAGCTTATTAAGGGAAACTTCCGCAGGAGGCCTGTCGCCTGGGCGGCCGCAGGACCCCACAGACGCCAGCGCTTGGCGGGGCCCAGAGAACTGCCCAAGGAGGGCGGCTGGTTGCGGGCACGAGGACGGGACCGCTCCCAGGCACAGGAGTCCCTCCGCACGCTCGACCGCGCCAGCTCCCCAGCTGCTGTTCCAGGTTCCGGAACCGGCGCTCGGCAGGGGGCAGGGGAGGGGAGGCCGGTCAGCGGCGGGCGGTCTAGCCTCCCGCGGGCTCGCCGTGAGCCGCCCGCCCCGCTGGCCCAGGCCCCGCTCTCCGGTCGGGCAGCAGTTAAGTCGAGGAACGGCCTCTCCTGGGGTGGGCGGGGGTGGGGGCCGTGGAGGAGACATCAAGAGCAGGGGCTTCCTGCTAAACTGACTCGACGGGATTCTTGGCAAAGACAGGGTGGGGTGGCGGGCGGGCGGGACTCCCGGGTGGGGACGACGCTAATGCTGGGCGGGGCCCCGGGGAGCAGAGGGCACAGACGGGCCTGGCTCCAGGCCGGTCCAGGGGGGTCTTTGCCAGGCTCCTGGGGTGAGAGGTTCCGTTTGGAGTCCGCGCAGAGCTGGATCAAACAGCACCGGTCACGTGTGGGCCGGGTCCGGGTCCTGCCGGCGCAGCCGGGCCCAACCGGACGAACGCGCCAGCCCGGGACGGCCGTTCTGCGGGGAAGAGGCGGGCGCAGAGCCGAACAAGTCGTGGTCCCCGTGCCGGGCGGGGCACGCGGGCGGAACGCCCGCTCCGGGCTTCGGGCGTGCGGGGCGGCGGGGGGCTGCTCTTGCCGCCCGGGACTACTCCCGCCCACACTGGAAATAGGTAGGGGCGCCGGGGCCCCCGTTTAGAGTGGCCGAGGGCAGCGCTGTCCCGGCAGGGCCTTGCACTTCTCACAGGCGCCACTTTACCCTCGGGGCTTGTGTCCCTCTGTTCCCCTCCCACTAGAACGGCAGCTCCGCAGAGGGAAGGAGGGCATGTTCTATTTCCTAAGGTCTCCCGCATTGGCCGGAGAGATGGAAACGGGGATCCAGGGAAGCGCTGGAGCTAGCACCCCAAAAGCACACCAGCCGGGGCTTTATTGTCAGGTCTTTAATTGCTAAAGTGAACGGAGTCTTCGTAATGTTAAAAGAACTAAAATTTTACAACTCTGTAATCTTCTGTATAGGTCTTTGAAATTTTTTATCCTCACTTTGGTTAATAGATAATTAAGTATTATTTCATTGAGTATTGTTCCACAATGACCTATGATTAATTTATCTGACCAAATGTTTTTAAATTTTTGATATTTTAACAAACTTCCCAAAATCAGATTCTAAATTAAGTCTTACTGACCTAAGAATAACTTTGAGGTATTCCAGAGGGCCCCTGAATCACCTCAACATATTTATACTCTCTCTTGATAAAAGAGAAATATTAAACTAGGCTTACTTGATATGTTAAATTATATGGGAGACATTGCCCAATAAATGATACAAAACCGTATTATATTTGTATAAACATGTTATTAATATGAATGTTCCAAAAATGATATGAAATTCTGACACGTCCTAGTATAATACTAAAAAACTTAGTCTTAAAGCTGAGACTCTTATCATGTCTTTGAAATGTGAACACACAGGAACCAACCAAAACCCTGTCCACAGAAACTACGAAAGAGAGAACTTTTTACAATGCAAATAGTGTACCAATTCTTTTGCCAAAATTTGTAAAAGAGCTAAGATTTCTATAAATCTACTAAAAACTAATAAGGATGGAACAAAATGACCCTGTGTGAAAAGTAGCATGTGTGTGTTCGGCAGAAGATATCCAGCCCAGAGATGTTGTTGTGATGAGGGAAAGGAGAACAGAATGTGTTTTTGGATGAGGAAGGACATGGCGGGGGGGGGAGTTGTTTTGTTTCCGTTTTTGTTTTTTGGTAAAAAAAGAGGAAGGGAAATTTTGTCCCCCCTCAAAAATGTTTCAAAATAAGAAAGAAGCCCTGGCCGGGGTGGCTCGGTTGGTTACAGTGTTGTCAAGTAGACTGAAAGGTTGCGGGTTCGATATCTGCTCAGGGCCCCTGCCCAGGTTTCGGTTTCAATCTCGATCCTGGTTGGGGCACCTATGAGAAGACAACCAGTTGATGTCTGTCTGTCTGTCTGTCTGTCTCTCCCTCCCCCCCCATCTAAAAGTAATGAAAAAACGTCCTTGGGTGAGGATAAAAAAGTTTAAAAAAATAAGAAAATAATAGGACAAGAACGGAAATGTATGTGTATGTTGCAGGAGGTTTGGGGAATTTGAGAAGGTTTGTGCAGGATTTTTTTTTTTTGAGAAAAAATATTATTTTTTTATATACATGTATAGGCCCAACTGAGCATGGACAGGGTCGTAAGTCGAGCTCGTCCTGTGCGCGTGTGTCTGTGCGGGCTCCCAGCAGGCCTCTCACCCTGGCCGTTGTTAAGTCTTCTGTCGTTTGCAGACAGTTATTGTTTCAGTCTGATGTTCTGACAAACATGTTCCTACCACTGTTTCATCTTCAGAGACTCATAAAGAACACACCTGACAAGCACTCTAAAACACAGGTGTCTGTGGGCTTTAAAAGCAGAACGCTGAACGGAATGAAGACAGAGAGAACGCTAAGGGAAAACTGTATCGTAAAACTGTTAACAAGCCCTGGCAGGTGTAGCTTGGTGGACTGAGCACCGGCCTGGGAACCAGAAGGTCAGCGGTTCAATTCCCGGTCAGGGCACAGGCCTGGGTCGCAGGCCAGGTCCCCAGCTGGGGGCACGTGAGAGACAACCAGTCGATATTTCTCTCACATATTGTTGTTTCTCTCGTGCACCTTCCCTTCCCTTCTCTCTAAAATAAATAAACAAAATGTTTAAAGAAAAACTTAGCAAAACGATCAGGGTCAACAAGATTTAAGCACATGGATTAAATGAACCAATATGGATGATTATAATTTTGTGACTCTTTATGTCAAATATTAGTGGTTTCTGATCCTTGTTTTCCAAACAAATATAAGGTTTGTGTTTTTTTTTTTCCCTCCTAAGTTGCCTATGACCTATAGCAACTTGGTAAATGATGCCTTTTACCAAGTGCTGATGCAGCAGACGGCACCTGTTTGTGGACAACCAGCCCGAGATTCCAGGCCAGGCCGGATAACCTACGCCTTCCTTTTCTTCCTTCTTTCCTAGCTTTAATTCCTTCTTATCTCACAAAAGAGAGAGAGAGAGAGAGAGAGAGAGAGAGAGAGAAAAGAAAAGCGACCAAGCACTCACTGTAATAGTCCGTGTTTCCTCCCTCCCTCGATTTCTAGCTGGAAAGGTAACAGCGGACATCACCTTCAACCTGCTTGCAGGCCCGAGCAGACAGCGGGGCACACGCAGGGTCCGGGTGTCCCATGCCTGGCGGCGTCTGCCCCGGTGCGGGTGCTGGGTCTGGATAACACTACCTTTGGACAGGCACTGCGGTGGCCGCCGCCGCCGCCGCCAACCAGGAAAAGCCTCTACATTCCCTCACACGACGTACATGGGAGAACAGATGTGCTCTTGACCGACGGGGTGGGGCTGTTCCTGCTGCACGCGATGAAACTCCTCTGGTGAAATAGAGACGGAACGAGGTGCCGTCTGGGCACAGGCCGAGGGGTTAGCACAGGGCCCACCGACTCCTCGCGGTTCCCCCACGTCGCAGCCGACCGCCCTCAGGTGTGGCCACCTGGGTCAGATCTAGCCTCTGAGGTGAACTCAGTGTTTTGTCCGTTATTGTGGAAACACTTGGGGGTCTAAATCTTCGTTTTGCACAGCTCGATGTTACAAAGGCCTCGCGCTGACCGCGTCGCCCCGTGTCTGAGTGATCGCTGAGGCCTCTGAGACTTCACAGGAGACGGGGCAGAAACGAGAGATGTCGGCCCTTAAGCGTGCCGCACACCCGCGTCTGCTCTGGCGTTCTCGTGGCTCGAAAGTGGCCCAAGGCCCCGAAAACCCACGTTCCCTCTCGCGTGGGACACGACATACCGGGAATGAGCCTCCTGGAGACAAGAGACGGAGGCAGGCGTGACGTGCCCAGAACGAGCCACCGGCCCGTGGGAACCAGCGCTGCTCAGGACGGATCAGTGCTGCTTTCCCGTGAGTGACCGGCAAGCTTTCAAAGGCAGGCCTTGGCAGAAAGGGGAAACCGTGAACAGCAGCCGAAGCGGAGCCGGGGCGGCCGGGGCCAGAGACACTGCCCTGCGCATCACGTGCCTCGGGCCTCTGGGTGTGAAAACAAGGCAAACCAACCTTTGCAGGGGCCTGAGCAGCCTCGTGGTCCAAAGAGCGGTTTGCGAAGGTGGCGAGAAAGCAGATGTGACGGCCGGTGGGCTGATGCCCCCGGACTGAAAACTCAAAGCAGGGTTTGCAATCAGCCTCATGTGCGAGGCGCCTGCACCCACGGCGATGCTCCCCTGCCGCGGACGCCGCTGTTCCCTCCCCGCCTCACGAGTGCGCCTCAGCCCTGCGCCCGAACGGGAACACGGACGGGACCGTGCTCGGTCGGTGATGCGGAGTTAGCTCTCCTTGGAGCTTAAGTAAGCGCGCGTTGTCTCTCCCTTTGCAAGGCTTTTTATTTTTTAGGTTAACAAGAGGTTTGGCCCGAAGCAGGAGAAGCAGGAGCTGCAGGAAGGCAGGGGGGCGGGGCTGGGGGAGCTTGGGCGCTGCCCCCTGATCCCCACGGGCTGACGGCAGGGAGGCGGCCAGGCCATGGCCTGGGGCTCAGGGGCAGCGGACACGGCGTGAGACGCTTCGACCACAGAAGGCAGCCTCATGGCAGGCGGCCTCAGGATGCAGCACTGGGTCAGCAGCCCGTCCTGCTTCACGGGAAAGCGGCCCCAGGCTCAGGCGGTGTCTTGGCGAGGACTCCGCGGCACCACCCCCGGGGCCTGGCCGCGGGTGCTGCGTGAGGGGGGCACCCTGCAGGGCCGCGTGTCCGGGGGCGCTGGCCCCGGGCCGGCACGGGACTTTGCCCCAGCTTGGCCCTCCTGACGCCCTCTGCTTGCCTCCCTTGCTGCCCTCCGGCCCCTGCTGACACCCTTCAGTGACCACAGGCATGTGGCTCTGAGGCCTGCTCACGAGTTCAGCTTCAGGGAGCGGCTTTTGGGTCAGGGGCCTGGGCCCCTCTCCCCAGGCCCCTGCAGCCCGCGGCCCGGCGCCCCGTGCACACGTGGAGGTCTGCGGCAGGCCAGGAAGCGGCCGAACTCTTTCCCGGTGGCCCGGTTGGAGGGGAGGTGCCTTACCCGGCCAGGTGATCCCCAGGATGGAGGGGCAAGCCCAGGTGAGGCCCAGGTAGGTGCCTCAGGAGCCCCCTGCGCTTGGCCCGGAGCTTGGGCGCTGTGGGGTCCCACCCGGCCACGGTTCTGGCCCTAGAGTTCAGATGATGATTGTGCCCCCGCGCAGGGCGGCGGAAAGGGAGACGCGGCCAAGTGCTGACAAGCCAAGTGCCGCACAAGCGTTTGCAAAATAAAAGACCCGCCTTCCCGAGGCCGGGGCCGTGCCCGTCCGCACGGGGCGCCAGGGCCTCGGGGTTCCCAGCAGGCTCTGCCGCCACCGTGCCGTGCAAGGCCGCACCCGGAGGGAGCACACAGGAGCTCCGCGTGCACGCTGGCTGTGCCCCCGTCCCCTCCTCAGGGGCCTGACAGGCTGGGCCCGCCCTCCTGCTCTCCCCACACCTGGTCCCACTGAGTCCCCACCCTGGGCAGGGCAGGGGCAGGGAGCTTGTGCTGCCTACGGAGCCCCCGCCGCTGTTTGGCCGTCCCCACACCCCGGCAGTGATGGTGGTTCTGATTTCTGCTGGGAGACCTTGTCCCCCAACAGCCTGCCTGGCCCTGGGGATGGGGAGGGGTGCTCCTCTCTGCTCTGCCCCAGAACACCCCCCATGGCTCTTGAGCCCCAAACCGCCGCCGCCCCCGGCCAGCGCACCTGGGCCCAGGCTCCATTCACAGCACAGCCGGCCCTGCTCGGCAGGCCCCAGGGGCCATGGTGAGGCTCCTTCCTCTGCACCCCTGTCTCACGGGCACGGGAAGGGGGACCTAGGGCCAGCCACCAGGATAAATGCCCCAAGCTGGGGTTCGAGGTGGCAGCATGCCTAGCAGGGAAAAGCCACGCCGCCGGGCCGACTGGGCCCCGGCCCCTGTGTGCCCCGGCCGGGCTCTGCTGGTGTCCTTGTGCAGACCTCTTCCCTCTGAAGCCCTCTGGGGCACCGGCCAGCTCTCCTTCGCACCAGGCCGCTGCTGTGCGCAGACCCCGCGCCTGGACTCTGTCCGCAGGCCTGCCCAGGGCCGCACATACACCGGGTGCACGCGATCAAAGCCGCGCAAGGCTGCCTGCTGCCACCCTGGCGGGGGCAGTATCTCCTCAGGGGCCCTCCACTGCTGGAGCGGCCCCGGGGGGCTGGGCCGGGGCTGGGGCTCAGCTGCAGCTCTGGGATTGGGGCGCAGTGCCTGGCTAGGACAGGCGGGGGTGTGGCCTGCCCCGCCTCAGCCATAGCTGTGGGGACTGCTGGGGTCAATGGGGGCCGAGTCCCGCGGGCCGGCTGACGCCACGAGCTGCCACAGGCGGTGGCTGAGGTTCTGCACCTGGCAGGTGCCCAGCACACAGCCCGCCCGCAGGAGCGGGGCTCTGGGCACTGGGGGGCCCGAGTGTCGGCGGGGACCGGCCCGGAGGGGCCGACCCCCAGCGGGGGGCAGGCTGGCACTCCTCCGTGGCTGGAGGGCCTGGCGTGGCTTCCCCGTCCCAGGCCAGGGAGCTGGGTGCTGCGGCTGCAGGCGGCGGGCGGGGGTCCCGGCTGGAGGCTCCCTGCAGGAGGAGACGGAGGAGTAACCCTGATGACACTGCCTTTCGGGGACCCCCAGCTTCTGCTGGCAGCACTGCCGGGCTCGGTCCTGGCTCCTCGGCCACCTCAGGAGCCCGGGTCCCACATCCCGTTCACCTGGGCCTCCCCGGGCAAAGGGCACCCCTGGCTTCTGTGGGTCACTGTGCTCCCCCCCGGCCCTTCCGGCGCTGCTCCGGGGGCGCTGGGCAGGCCTGGGGGCCCTTCCAGACTCCGGTGCCCCAGCTGGCCCCTCTGTTGGGGGGTCACTCTGCCAGTGGGGGCGGTGGACCGCCCTGCAGGGGAGGCAAGGAAAGAGGGGACTCTGCACTGCTCAGGGGGAGCTGAAGGCATGGGGGCTGGCTCTCAATTTGGGGGTAAGCCCTGAGGTGGAACCGTCCCCAACGCAGGGGAGGGGTAGGCGAAGGGTCCCTCCCCAGCATCCTGGTTTCTGTGGCTTCCTCCCGGGCCCGCGCGGGGCTGAGACCCACTCACCCGGGCCGGCAGGGCTGCGGGCTGCCACCCCGGCGGCTGCACAGCGTGTCGGGCAGCTGCACGTGGAGCAGGCCGAAGCAGCTGAGGGCAACCGACAGGAGCCGGGCCATGGCACGGGGCTGGAGGCCGGCGAACCGGCGGGGCGGAGCGGGGGCGGGCGCCGGCCTGCAGCCGCCCTGCCGTGCGCAGCCCTCCACGCGGGGGCCGGCCGACGGGCACCTGCCACCGTCCTGCCTGGGACAGAGCCTCTGCACCTGCAGAGCTAAATAGTCGTTCCCGGAGGAGGCGGCAACTGGGCGGGTTGCCCGCCCCCAGGCCTCCCCCCACTCAGCCCTCCCCCCACTCAGCCCTCCCTCCAGCTCCCCGGTCCTGCCTGCCCCCGCAGGACAGCACTGGGGAGCAGGGAAGGGGCGGCCTAAGGGGCTGAGCCCCAGGACCCCATCCCTTTAGTGGGGGACACTTTCCTGGAGCCTAGGGAGGGGCCTACCCTCCCAGGTGGCAGGAGCGGGTGCCGGGGGAGGGTGCAGCAGGGCCGGTTCCCACCCGCACCCCCACCTCTCCTCCTGAGGCGCGTCCCACCCCCAACATGTCTGGGCAGAACAGAGACCCCCGGGGCCTGGCCAGCGCCTGGGTGTTCCTTTCATCACAGAGAGAGTTTCAAGGCCCTTCAGGGTCCCCTAAAAGTCCGGACTGCTCCCCCTCATTACAACAGTGCTGTGCCAACTGGTTTCTGTGAGACTTTCTAGTGTCAAGTGAAAGGGGAGCCCCGCGCCCATGGTGGGGTCCTGTGCCGGGTCAGGGCAGACGCCCCGGTCCTGACTCTCCTGGTCGTCTGTCACGCACACACAACGGCCCGCAGAGCTGCAAACACGGGCGAACACAGAGCCCCGCCACTGCCTCGCCATCCGCCCCGCTCCGCCGCGGGGGCGCGCGGCGACTTCCTGGGCTGACCCTTCACTGCGGAGCAATCGCGCGGGCTGGGGGGGCCCTTGCGTGGCGGGCTCACAGGCAGGTCTCCGTAGGCACTTCCTCAGAAGATTCTGGGCGAGGGTGAGCCTGGGCATGTGTGAACGGTCAGTGCCAGCTTGTTCCCCACGAAGCTGGGCCGACCCGCTGTTCGCGCACTACAGGTTTGGTGGGAGCCAGTCTTTGCTGCTTTGTCACTCTGAGAGGGGACGACGGTCCACGGTCCCTTTCTTGGATGACTGAGCCTCTCTGCGTCCACCTGCCTTGCCTCACGGGGGTGGGGACGAGGGGGAGGGGGGTCTCCGCCAGGCTGTGGGAATGATCTGGCTGCCCTCCATCCCCCCTGCCGCGCACACTAGGGGGCTCAGTAAACACTTGCTGGATGAACAAGTGCGCAAGTGTTGAGCTCGCCCACATCAGAGAGCCTGGGCTCACCGAGAGAAAGGTGGGGGGCATCAGCAGGTGCCCGAGCTCTGCTTGTTTGCTTTTACCAGTGTGCACAGCGGGGAGAGTGAAGTGGTCACGTTTACATTAGACAAGTGGAGTTCAGCGGCGGTGGCGGGGGCGGGGCGGGGACTGGGGGCAGGGTGCTGTGCGGGGCCAAGTGGACGCGTCAGAGAGGGGCTGAGCCGAGCAGGGAGCCCCTGGGGAGAGGGGAAGGTTAGCAGCCTGGGCCCATCCTGGCAGCGGGGCGGGCTGGCCTCCACCCACATGGGCCTGGGGCTGAAGAGGGGGCGCAGGGAAACACAGCTGGCGGAACTTCGGAGACGGCCAGGCTCCAGGAGGCAGGGGCCTGCGAGCACTGCCTATGGAGAGTGCAGAGGACAGGCCCCGCGGGCGAAGGAGCGGGGGCGGGGGCGCAGAGGACCTGAGCAGTTCTGTCGTCCACACCTGCTGCCAGGGCCACCCTCCCAAACCCAAGTGTGATCACGCTGCTCAACCCACCGCGAAAGAGAAGCACCAAACTCCCTGTCTCCACACGCTCTTAACCTGGGAGGTGCAGGCGGGTCTCAGGGAGGTCTGGGGGCCCAGGCTCCCTGCATTCTTCCCTTTGGGACATTTGCTGCCACCGTGGGCTCAGGGTCCCGTCTCCCTGAAAACCCATGGACAGACGGGGTGTCCTCTGGCCTCAGGCTGCTTATTCTACTAACTGGATTCGAGGCCCCTCTTTGACGCCACAGCCTCTTGTACGGCACATGAGCTATAATGTCCCTGTGCCCTCCGAGGGCGGACCCGGGGCCCTCCGTCCATCCTCAGTGCGAATGGCTGCCTCTGGGGAGTGGTGGGCTGGCTGCTGGGGGCTGCTCGCCCATGGGGGTTCCTCTGGAGGGCGGGGGCTGGGCCACAGCAGGCAGGGGGTGGCTCCAGGGACATCCGTGTGGGGCAAGGGCAGCCAGGGCCGGCTCGCAGCCTTGAGGGCAGTTGTGGAGAGAGTCTGAAGGTGCCAGGGAGTTAAACCCTGACGGCAAGGACCGTGCGAGGGGAGGACTGAGGCCGGGAGCTCAGGGAGCGGCAGCAAGAGGCAGGGAGGAGGCGGGCGGGGCCGAGCCTCTGGTAGCTGCGGAGGGAGGTGGGGGAAGGAGGCGGGCTTGGCGTTTGCTGTTGCAACACGTGGCCCCCCACGGGATGGCTCCTGTGCCCTTTGTGAAGGAGGGCGGTGGGCCCACCTCTGAGACACAGGAGGTGGGGAGAAAAGGTTTGAGGAGACTGCGGAGCGCAAGACCTGACCAGACCTCAGCAGGCTGGGCGGGGGGGCGACCACCCGCCGCTGGGCCATGGTGTCACCGTGGTCATCCGCACCGCAGGTGCTGCGGGGCCGAAGGAGCCTGGGAGACAGAGGGGCAGGACTGTGTGTGTGTGTGTGGGGGGGGTCGGGCTTGCCCGACGGCGGGCGGGGGGCGTGAAAACCAAGTTAGGAGGTGGGGCCAATGGCACTGGCAGGTGACAGGCAACGGGGGCCGCGCGGGGCTGGCTGGGAGAGCAGGGGGGGAGTCGATCAGGGAGGTCTGGGAGAGAGCAGGGAAGGCGCAGTCCTGTCAAAGGGGACGGGCAGGCAGGGTGGCCAGGGCGTGCACAGGGCGGGAGACGTGATGGCAAGAAGCTTGGGAGGGGCATCATGGTTCAGAAGGGACGTCCAAGCACCCCGTGACCCTGAGGTGCCTCTGAGCGGGCTGCCGAAATGGGCTCCTTAGGGCATGAGGGTGGGGAGAGCCAGGCATCAGCCAGAGGACTTGCCGGGGACACCGTCGCGCAGGCACAAGCTCAGTGCTGTGCTAACGTGGTGCTCAGGACCCTTTTGGCTGTAGTGGCAGGAACCAACTCAAGCAGAAGGGACAGCACCCAACAGAAGCAGAGGAAGCTGTGGCTGGCCGGTGCCCCGGGCGGGGAGGGGGGCCTGCTGGGCTCAGCTCTTGTCTCTGGGTTTGGCGTCCTTCGTTCTCCGCGACCGGCCCCTGCCTTGGGGGCGGTGAGCACTCTCAGGGGACTTGGGAGGGCTCAGCCTTCGACCAGCACCCAGCAGGGCCTCCAGGGCCTCGCGTCTTAAGCACCGCTCTTTACAGCGGGGAGTGCAGCGCGCCTATTTAAAGGACGCATGTTAAATGTCTCACCCCACCTGGATGGGGCTTCCAGGTGGAGCTCGTGTGCTCCTCAGGCTAGGAACCCCACAGGCAGGGCCTGGGTCCTGCCCCTCCGCCAGGTCGGCCGGACCTGGGGGGATGCCCCACCTGGGAGAGCCGTGGGCAGGGCTGGGCCCTCGGCCTTCCTCCAGGCTGACAGCGCCCGACGACTGAGCATCGGAGATCTGGCCGCGCCTGCCTCTGACCCGCAGGAGCCGCCGTCGCTGTCACCGCTAGGGGGGCGGTGCCCAGCGCCGAGCCGGCAGTGGTGGGCGGTGGTGGGCGAGGCCCCGCCCCCGGAACCGAGCCCGAAGGCGCTGGGCCAATGGGAGAGCGTCTTTTTCTGGGGCCACGCCCTGAGGGCGGAGCGAGGCCGCGCAGGCGCACGGCGCGGCCGGGCGGGCCGGCTGGCTGGGAAGATGGCGGCGGGAGCCCTGGCCGCCACCGCGGAGCGGGCCCGGAGCGTCCGGAGTGCGCGGACCGGGGCCGGGGCCGGGCCATGAGCGCGCCGCCCTCGCGTCCCCGAGCCGCGGAGCCCGCCCGCGCCCCTCGCTATGGCGCGGCTCGCGGACTACTTCGTGCTGGTGGCGTTCGGGCCGCACCCGCGCGGTGAGTGCCGGGGACCGGGGAGCGGGGACCGGGGTCCGGGGTCCGAGATTCGGCGAGGGTCGGCCGGGGCGGGCGGGCGGAGGCCGCCGAGCTAGCGCCACGGTCGTCCGGGGCACTTTCCGGGTCCGGGTCCGGGTCCGGGAGAGCCTGGGTCCGAGGTGGGCTGGGCGGTGAGACAGGGCGGGCCGAGCCTGCCCGCCGCACTCGGGGCAGAGCCGCGTCAGGCGGCACCCCGGGGGTCGCCCGGGAGGTGGGAGGGCCGGGGCGGTCGGCCTCCTGGCTCCCCGTTGGGTGGGACGGGCTCTCCGCCTTGGCCGACTGCCGGGCGGCTCTGCCTCCAGGGACGCGATCGTGCTTGCATGCCCGCCTCTGACCCCGGTGTCTCCGGTCTGACGCGCAGGCCCGGCGTTGGTGCGCCAGGTCCCGGAGGTTCGGTGGATGCAGAAGAGGGCGCGGGCTTCAGGGCTCCTTCACGGAGAGGTGGCGTTTGAGCTGGGACCCGGGTTTTCGGGAGGAACTGTGCTGGGAGAGAGAAGAGCATTCCTGGCAGAGGGCCTACCGTCCAAAGCCGGGGGCGGGGGGCTCAGTGTGGTGACCGGCGTCCCTGTCCGGGAGGGCTGCGTCGGGGGCCAGCGCCCGTGTCTGAGAGCCCTTCAGCCCAGGGGGTGGGAGAAAGCAGAGCCTGACAATGACATCAGCAACAGCCCTGGAGGCAGCGGCCTGGAGAGCGAGCTGAGTGCCAGGCCCCACAGAGCCCTTTGTGCGCCCCAGCACACTCCTCCCAGCAGCCCACCGAGGCTCCCTCTTCACCCGGTCCACAGCGCAGGCCCCGGAGTGCCTGGTCCGAGCCCCAGGAGAGGGGCCGGTGCACTGAGGCCGACCCTGACCCCGGCCCTGCCAGGGCAGTATGTGCCGTTCGGGGTGGGGGTGTTGTTGTGTGGCCGCGGTGGGCTGAACCCTGAGCCTGAAGTCCACCCTGCTTCGGGTCAGCCCAGCTGTTGCTGTCAGCACCCAGGACCCAGACTCTGCCTGCCGGCCCTGCAGGCTGCAGGCCCTCCTCAAGGCCCTCCCTCTGAGGGCTTGCTCCTCCTCTGCCCCCGGCCCCCTGCACATCTGTGAGTGTGTCCCTCCCGCCAGAGATGGAGTTCTCTGCGGCAAGGACCAGCCTGCCTGCCGTGGGCTGCTGTCAGCGTTGTGCAGGCCCCCAGAGGGGTGCACGGGATCTGGGGAACAAGGCTGGCCGCCAGGCTGCCCCCGCGTGAGGGGCCTGGGCTGGGCGCTGGGTGCAGAGCCGGCTGGGAGGCTGAGGATGCTGAGGGCGGTCTGGGGAGGGCCCGAGGACGCAGAGGCCGTGGGGGGCACGCTGGCAGCAGGGACAGCAGGGGTGGGGGTGGAGGGCGGATGTGAGGGAGGCGAGAGGAGGCATGGGCGGGCTCCGGGACGGGCTGGCTGTGACGTGTGTGTGTCCACGGGGTGCGCGCCCCAGGCGTGCGTGCCCTTTGAGCAGGATGGGGGAGGCCGGAGCCCACAGTGCCCACTGACCACAAGTGGCAGGAAGGAGTGGCCCCCAGTCTGTGCCCTGCCCTGGGCCTGGGGCCCGGGAGCCCCAGGAGCTCCGCGTTCCGCGCGGACCGGCCCGCAGCCCCAGGGCCTCCCTTGCAGGCCTCGTACATCCCAGTGGGGAACAAGCCCGCAGGCCGGAGCCCTGGCTGTGGGACCAAAGGCAGAGCCAGCCGGTGGGGGAAGCCTGAAGCAGGGGAGTACAGCGAGGGGGTCGGTGGTCCCTGCTTTGCCACCTGATGGTCTGTGGCCTCAGGACAGCCCCTCGGCTCCCTGTCCTTCAGCTTCCTCCCCCCAAGGTGGGATGGAACACACAGGTCCCCCGCTGCCGCCACCCCGGAGGCTCTGGGAAGTGGGGGTGCCTCACCAAGGGCGAGCAGCAGGTGCGTGGACCTCCCTGGGCGCAGACAGGGCCGCCGCTGCAGGCGGTGGAGGGCCTCAGGGCTGGGGTGCGGCGTCTTGGGGTGCGGTTGAGGGGGCTGGGGGAGTGGTGGGCCTCTTGTCCTCGGCGGGGACCTGGACGTCCGGTCGGAGCTGCTGGATGCAGGGCCTGGGGGCCGAGCCCCAGAGCCTTGCCCGCACGAGCGCCCCCGGCAGACCTCTCCTGGTATGAGGGAGGGAGGGGTAGGCGGGGCCCCTTCTTTCATCCAAGAGGGCGCAGGCCTCTCCCCTGTGAGAGGGGGCACCTCTTTCACAAGAACACGAGCACCCTGGGCCCGGCCTGGGAACGTCTGGGGGCCAGAGCGACCACCTCTGGCCTGGGAGGGCCTGACCGGGGTCAGCCGATTTAACACTTTGTGGCCAGCGCTGGGGTGTGTCTGGGGGCCAGAGATGCACTCGGCCTGACCAGATGGTGAGTGAGTGTCTGCCAGGGAGCAGGGGCCGGTCCCCGCCCCCCCCCCCCCCCCCCGCACGTGAGAGGAAGGCCCACCTCCTGCCCCACGGCCTGGCCGCTCTCAGTCCTGACCGCGCTGAGCTGGCCGCATTCCTGTGCCCTGTCACGCCCCACCCGCGTCCCTGCCCTCCCTCAGGAGCGGGCTGGGGCTGTCTGGGGTGGCCTCCGTCGGCTCCCAGCCCTGACCCCGGGAGCCGCGGGGCCCGAGGCCTCGGGTCAGAGCCGGTCTGGACGGCCTGGCGGGGCTGGGGGGCCCCCCCGGCCCCCTGCAGGGCAGCCCCTCCTGCTGGGGTGGCTGGGGTGGGGGAGGGGCGGCGGGCGGCCCCGCCAGGCTTCCCTCCCTGTCCACGGCCTGGCTGGCCCCAGGGCGCGGGCCCCCTCCCGCGCCTCTGCCCACAGCGTGTGCCGGCCCAGGCAGCCCCCCGGGCGCTGGAGCCTGGCACCGGCGGCGGCGCCGCCCGAGATGACGGAAGGCGGGCTCCGTGTGCTCCTGCCCCTCGTCCGGGCCTGCGGCCCACGTGGGACCAGCTGTGGGGATGTGGCTGCAAGAGGAAGCGCGTGTCCCTGCTGAGCCCCACGGGGCCTTAGTGCTCTTCCTCTGGGGGCCCCCACAGAGGCCGCCCTGTGACCTGTGGCTGTGCTCGTCCTGTGGGCCAGGGGCAGCACAAGTCCCCTCCGCGGCCACAAGGGCTCCGGGGGGCGGGGGACACGGGGACGCGTGGCAGAACCCAGTGCCTGCCCCAGGACGCAGGCCTGCGGCCAAGACGCAGCCAGTCCCGCTGGCTCAGAGCAGAGGCGTGGACTGGGGTCTCGGCGAAGGGCCGGGGCAGATCGGGGCCCTCGTGTGCCCTTCCAGTCCCAGGGAGGGCCTGCGTGGCCTGGGGTGCCCCGGGGCTCCCGAAGCAGCCCTGTGCTGTTGGCCGGGGGCCTGGTTGCTTGCGGGGTGTGGATGGGAGGGCAGCTGTGGGCGTCTAGCAGGCCCTGAGGGGCTGTGGCCTCTGCGGGCACAGGCTTGCGGGGGGCCCAGCTGGAGCTCCTCGCCCTCGGAACCCCCGTCTGGCCAGGTGGCCCCAGGCGCCCCAGGCATCTCAGAGGAGCAGGAGAGGGAGGGAGGTCCTGGGGTTCCGCTGCAGGCCCTGGACCTGGGCACAGCACAGGCAGCCGCCTAGAAGAGGGGGTGCCGTTTGGGCTGGACCTGAAGGTCAAGTTTGGGGTCATCATGGCCCGGAGGGTGTGCTGGTAGGGGGTGCGCACTTGCCCTGCCCAGCCACCTGCCCCCATGGGAAGCTGGGACGGCCTGGGGAAGGTCTCCAGCTGGTTCTTCGACGGTGCAGCCCTGACCGGTTCACGTTTCACACGCGAATGGGGGGAGGGAGGGAGGGCGGGCTGGGACATGGAGGGCACCTCTGTCCGTGCCCTGGGGGAAGAGGCCGGGAGAGCAGCCCTCGAGGGCGCGGCTACCTGGCCCCCGGTAGGGGCCGGGGGGCTGCCGCGGTCCCAGTCTGCACACCCTCTTCCTTCCTCTGCCTTCTGCCTCGTGGCGAGAACGGGGTGAGCCCTGGGTGCCATCCCCGCCTGGGCCCAGATGGTGGTTTGGGGCCCCACACAGGCATGTCAGCCCCCTGGGGAGAGCGTGGGGGCGGAGCCATGCCTGGGCGGACCAGCTGGGCCTGTTGGGGGAGGGGCCCTGGGGGCTCTGCCTGGGTGGGCTGTGGGCAGGGGTGAAGGTCGGGGTGGCACCGGCAGACACCTGTCCTCCTCCCGGGCTTCTCCTTGTCTGCCACCTCATCTCAGGGTGTTGGGGGGGGGAGGGGAGCAGGAAGCTGAGGTTTTATGAGTCAGAGTCAGGGCCCCTCGCTCGCCACCTGCAGCTGGGCAGGAACCGCCTGCTGCTGAGCTTGGTGTTGCCTCCTGAGGGTGCTCTTCCTGCCGCCCACCCTCCCCTTACCTGTCGCCTGGTGGCATGCGGGCGTGCGCCTGCCGCCTGGCCCAGTCGAAGCCCAGGGAGGCCGGGCAGAGGGAGGGCTCTGCCGGCCCTGCAGGTCGGGCGTGGGAGGCCTTTGTCTCTGCCGTGCAGGCTGGGAGCTGGAGGAAGAGCACAGACCGGCGTCCATCCTCCAAGAGCCCCGAGCGCGGGCGGCCCCCCGGCTCGCCCCAGCTGCGCCCCCCGGTTGACTCCACAGGAGTCCTTCAGCTCTGCTGGCGTGACCCTGGCCTGGGAGCAGAGCCCTGGGCACGGCGTCGGGGTCTCAGACGAGAGACCCTGGGCCCTGGGGTTCCCAGGACTGGGTGGTCCCTGGGGACTACATGGGGAGCCAGCAGGCTGGGGAGGCCCTAGCCGAGCCAGGGACATGGGCCCACGGCCTCCTGCGCCCCTCCCCCCAGCACTTCTCAGAGCTGTGGGCCCCACGCGCTCGGCGGGCCCTCCTTCAGCGGGTGTCCAGTCTGAGGCAGTGGGGACAAGCGGCGTTGGGGGCTGTGGGCGCAGGTGGTCTTTCCCTGCCACGAACGCACGGGAGACCTCGCGCCTCTCGGATGAGTCTCGGCTGACGGCGCCCACGGGTCTGGCACTGACCGCCCGTCAGTCTGGGGCGTCGAGGGGCCCAGTGCCTGAGCCGGGGGCGGGGGGGCCGTGGAGCAGCCTGGTAGTGCTGTGCCACCGGGGGGCGTGCGCTCTGCCGTGGGGGTGGCGGGTTCCGGCTGGAAGCATCGACTCGGGGGTCCAGGCCTGGGAGCGGGGGTGGGAGCAGGGAAGGGCCCCGGGCCCACGGCACGGGCTTCCCTCTGTGCCCTCTGGTGGCCCTGGGGCCTGTGGCTGCCTCGTGGCCTCTCGCAGGACGGCTTTTAGGGCAATGGCAGGTCTGGGAGCTGAGGCTGGTCTGGTGCCAGTGAGGACAGGGGTGGGAGGCACTGCCCCCGGGACTTTGAGGCCGTCCTCTGAGGCCCCCGAGGCTCCTGCTGAGTGGGCTGCGGGCAGTGGCCAGGGCTCTGACCAGGTGCCCTGTCCGCAGGGAGCGGGGAAGGCCAGGGCCAGATCCTGCAGCGCTTCCCGGAGAAGGACTGGGAGGACAACCCCTTCCCCCAGGGCATCGAGCTGGTGAGTGGGGTGCGGGGGGCCGGGCCCCACTGGGGAAGGGAGCAGGGGGCGGCCGCTCACACCGTGTCACCTCTCCCTTCTCCCGGGACCGGGCGCCGCAGCCCAGGGGCCTCCCGCACACGGGCTGTTGCTCCCTTCAGGGGGCGGCAGCGGAGGCTGGGAGGTGAGGCGCGCCGCGGCCGCGCGTCTGCAGGGCAGGGCGCGGAGGGAGTGGCCGCTGACCCCTGACCGCCACCCCCAGTTCTGCCAGCCGAGCGGGTGGCAGCTGTGTCCTGAGAGGAACCCGCCGACTTTCTTTGTCGCCGTCCTCACTGACATCAACTCTGAGCGGCACTACTGTGCCTGCCTGACCTTCTGGGAGCCAGCGGAGCCCACACAGGTCAGCACGGGGCCCGGTGTCCCCGTCCATGGCTGGCCCCGGGGTCCCCGGGGGTGATGCGCGTGTCCTCCCTGGGGGCCGCGCCCGGGGAGTCGAGTGAATGGGCGTCTGCCCGCAGGAGGCCGTGTGCGCCGAGGACGCTGCCGGGAGGGGAGAGGCGGCAGAGGAGGGGGGCCCCGGGCACCTCTCGCCGGCAGTGCCCGGCCCGCCCGGCCAGCTGTTCGCTCCGAAGACTCTGGTGCTGGTGTCTCGGCTGGACCACGCGGACGTGTTCAGGGTGAGGTGGGCGGCCGGGGCGGGGGGCAGGAGGGGTCTCACGCCAGCTGCTGCCATTCCTGCCTGCGGTCCTTGCAGAACAGCCTGGGGCTCATCTACACCATCCACGTGGAGGGCCTGAGCGTGGGCCTGGAGAGCGTGATCGGGAATCTGCTCACCTGCGTCGTCCCCCTGGCGGGGGGCTCACAGGTGGGTCTCGGGGGCAGCTGCTGGTGGTGGGCCCCCCAGGTCCAGCCGGGTCTGCGCGCATCCCGTGCGCTGGACACACGTGCATCCTGGCGCTACCGTCCGCTGTCGCCTCCCCTGGGCCCTGCTCGCCCTCCGGCGCGCGCTGTGTCCCGCCAGGCTCTCTGGGCGCCCCGGCACCTCTCGGTGTGTCTGTCCTCTCGCTCCTGGGCTGCGCCTGTCTCTGATGTCGGTGTCGGCGTCTCTCTCCGTACCCCGTGTGCGGTGTGTCTAACTGTGTCTCTCTGCCGTCTGTGCTGTGCAGCTGGACTCTGTTGAGGACGGAGTGGTACGGATTCTTTGTTTCTTCCGCCCACCCAGGCCCGTCCCCGTCCCGGGTCAGAGGCCCTGAGTTCTCTCTGCAGCGGCCGGCACGGCCCTGCCCTCCTGCCACGCCACTGCCCCGGCCCGGCCCACCGCGGGCCCAGTCAGTCCGCCAGGCCTGCCGAGGCCACGGGCTCTGGGCCGACACAGGTCCCTCTCTCCCGCAGAAAACCATCTCTTTGGGGGCCGGTGACCGGCAGGTCATCCAGACCCCACTCACGGAATCGCTGCCCATCAGCCGCTGCAGCGTGGCCCTGCTCTTCCGCCAGCTGGGTGAGCCCGGCTTTCCCCACCCTGCGAGGCCTCCCCTCCCCTCCCCTCCCCTCCCCGGCCTGGCGGTCGAGGCTGAGGCTCCGGCAGCGTGGGGGTCGGGGTCGAGTGAAGCCACCAAGGCTGCTTTCTCCCTTCAGGCATCACCAACGTGCTGTCTTTGTTCTGCGCTGCCCTCACCGAGCACAAAGTGCTCTTCCTGTCCCGGAGCTACCAGCGCCTCTCGGACGCCTGCCGAGGACTCCTGGCCCTGCTCTTCCCTCTGCGATACAGGTGCCCGCCACGCCCACTGCCCCTGCCCCCCAGCCCCGTGGGGCGCCCGCACTGAGCCCCGGCCTGTTGCAGCTTCACCTACGTGCCCATCCTGCCGGCGCGGCTCCTGGAGGTCCTCAGCACGCCCACGCCCTTCATCATCGGCGTCCACGCCGCCTTCCAGGCGGAGACCCAGGAGCTGGTGAGGGTTGGGTTTGTGTCCGCCTCGCGCCCCTGGCCCTGCTGACCGGCCTGCGGGCCCCTGACCACGCGCGGCCTTTGGTCCACAGCTGGATGTGATTGTGGCAGATCTGGATGGAGGGACGGTGACGGTTCCCGAGTGCGTGCAAATCCCCCCGCTGCCCGAGCCGCTGCAGAGCCAGACGCACAGTGTTCTGAGCATGGTGAGGCGGGGCGGGGCCGCGGGGGCGGGGGCGGGGCCTCGGGGGCGGGGGCGGGGCCCGGGGCGGCTCTGCAGCTGGCCACGCCCCTCCCTGCCGCTGCAGGTCCTGGATCCAGAGCTGGAGCTGGCAGACCTCGCCTTCCCTCCCCCCACCACGTCCACCTCCTCCCTGAAGATGCAGGTGGGGGTCACGGCCACTCCGACAGGGGCCTCCGCCCTCCCTGCGCACCCCCCGTGGGTCTGCTGCTGCTGAAGGTCGGCTGGCAGTGCGAGCCCAGTGCGGCTGCCCCTTTAGCCGATCACGGGAGTGGGGCGCAGAGCTCTGAGGACCCGGTGCAGGAGAGGCGGCAGCGTCCCTGCGGGGGCGAGGAGGGGCGCAGGCTCCTGGGGGGCGTGGGCGGGGCTCTGGGGGTGGAGCCGCGCTGGGGCCTGGCGCTTACCTGCTCTCCCTGGGCTCCAGGACAAGGAGCTGCGGGCGGTCTTCCTGCGGCTCTTCGCGCAGCTCCTGCAGGGCTACCGCTGGTGTCTGCACATGGTCCGCATCCACCCCGAGCCTGTCATCCGCTTTCACAAGGTGGGCGCCGGGGCGGGCCCCTCGGGGACGGGCAGGGCCTTGCCCGGGAGCTGACCTCCTTGTGCACCCCAGGCAGCCTTCCTGGGCCAGCGCGGGCTGGTGGAGGACGACTTCCTGATGAAGGTGCTGGAGGGCATGGCCTTTGCCGGCTTTGTGTCGGAGCGCGGGGTCCCCTACCGCCCCACGGACCTGTTCGACGAGGTGTGCCCCCCGCCCTGGCTGGGAGGAGCCCCGCCCTTCCCCTTCCCAGCCCGTGGCCTCACCCTGCTGCCTCCCACAGCTGGTGGCCCACGAGGTGGCACGGATGCGGGCAGACGAGAGCCACCCGCAGCGAGTCCTGCGTCACGTCAGGGAACTGGCAGAGCAGCTCTATAAGAACGTAGGGCGGCGGCACGGGGTAGGGCTGGCCTGGGGGGTCACGGCGCAGCCCTGGGCTGCTCACCCACACCTGCCGGTGTCCCCCCAGGAGAACCCGTACCCCGCAGTGGCCATGCACAAGGTGCAGAGGCCAGGGGAGGCCAGCCACCTGCGGCGGGCGCCCCGGCCGTTCCCCCGGCTGGACGAGGGCATGGTGCAGTGGATCGTGGACCAGGCCACGGCCAAGATGCAGGGCGCACCCCCGGCTGTGAAGGCCGAGAGGAGGACCACCGTGCCCTCAGGGCCCCCCATGAGTACGTACCGGGGGGCCCCGAGGGCGGCCCAGGGCGGGCAAGGCCAGGGGTGAATGTGCGCTCTGCTCCGCAGCCGCCATCCTGGAGCGGAGCGGCGGGCCCCACGGCAGCAGCGCTCGCCGGCTGGAGGTGGTTCGGAACTGCATCTCGTACGTGTTCGAGGGGAAGATGCTCGAGGCCAAGAAGGTGAGGGCCCCTGGGACCTCGGGTTCCCGGTGGGCAGCCACAGGGCGGGGCCGGTGGGGGCGGGGTGTGCGCCGGCCCCCAGCCCCTCTGCCTCAGCGTGGGCCCTTGCGATCCTTCAGCTTTTAGGTGTCAGGACCCCTGAAGGGTTTCTTGGTTAATGAAATTTACTGGGGTGACTTTGGTTAACAGGACCACGTAGAATTCAAACGTATGTTTCTGTGACACCTGATCTGTGTATTGATCGCGCTGTGCGCCCCACCCACTACCCAGAGTCACGCCATCCTCTGTGGCCACGTTTTTGGCTCCCTTGACCCTCCCACCCCCCGGGGTCTCTGCTGTTAGGTTTCTTCATCTTTCATGACAAAAGTGTTGACTCACATGTGCCATTTTTTAAAAACCTGATGGAAAACTGAACCCCTTACTGCTCTGCCCTCCGCGGTGGTCACAAAGCCGGGGGCCTCCTGCCCGCGTCTCCCCCATGTCCCACAGCTGCGGGGCCCGTGGGAGGCGCCCACTGCAGTGCCGGCCGCGTCCCCGGGGCTGCGGGCTCCCAGTTGCTGCGTGACGAACAGCGGGCTTGTGCGCGGGCGCTGAGGCCCCACCGGTGGCGGCCTCCCCGCAGGGCCCGCCCCCGCGCTGGCTGTGAGCCGCCCTCTGCGTCCTGGTCTCCACCCGCAGGCGCTTCCGTGTGGAGGCCTCAGGCCTCTGGGCCGCCGCCGGGTGTCCTGTGCTCAGAGCCCGGGGGGGCAGCCCTGGGCGTGCCCTGCCCGCCCTCCGCTGCTTGACTCTGCGCCAGGCCCCCGTGCGCCCCACGTGCCCCGGGCTCCCGTGAGGGTCCCGTGGGGGCCCGTGCCTCAGCCCCGTGCTCCCCGCTGCAGCTGCTCCCGGCCGTGCTGAGGGCCCTGAAGGGGCGCGCCGCCCGCCGCTGCCTCGTCCAGGAGCTGCACTTGCACGTGCAGCAGAACCGAGCGGTGCTGGACCACCAGCAGTTCGACTTCGTTGTCCGCATGATGAACTGCTGCCTGCAGGTGAGGCGGCCCGCGGGGGGCCGATCTGCGGGTGGGTGCCCAGCGGGAGGGCGGGGGAGAACCCTCGGAGGCGGGGGCGGGGGCTGGGGTGTCGGCCCTGCCCGTGAAGAGCCCTGGGCAGCCCTCGGGGAAGGGCCTGGGACAGCGAGGGCGGGGAGGGTGCGGAGGGTCCTGAGGGTCCGCGGCTCCCGCAGGACTGCACCTCACTGGATGAGCACGGCATCGCGGCTGCGCTGCTGCCCCTGGTCACAGCCTTCTGCCGGGTGAGTGCTGCGCCCCGCGGTCCCCGCCCCGCCTGCCCTCCGCCCCCCGCCCCGCTGACACCACTGCGCCTGCAGAAGCTGAGCCCGGGCGTGACGCAGTTCGCGTACAGCTGCGTGCAGGAGCACGTGGTGTGGAGCACGCCCCAGTTCTGGGAGTCCATGTTCTACGGCGACGTGCAGACGCACATCCGGGCCCTCTACCTGGAGCCTGTGGAGGAGTGGGACCCCTCCCAGGTGTGTGGAGACCCCTGGCCCCGGGGGCGGGCGTGGGCGTGGGCGTGGGCCGGGCACCGCTCACCCTACACACCGCCCTGCGGCAGGTCGGGGAGTCACAGGCTCAGGACGAGCGCTCCGCCCTGGACGTGGCGTCGGAGCAGCGGCGCCTGTGGCCGATGCTGAGCCGGGAAAAGCAGCAGGAACTGGTGCAGAAGGAGGAGAGCACGGTGTTCAGCCAGGCCATCCACTACGCCAACCGCATGAGCTACCTGCTGCTGCCCCTGGACTCCAGCAAGAGCCGCCTGCTGCGCGAGCGCGCTGGGCTGGGCGACCCCGAGAGCGCCAGCAACAGCCTGGTCACCAGCAGGTGGGCGGGGCTCGAGGGTGGCCGGGGGCGGGGCTCGAGGGCGGGGCCTGTGCCCACCGTGCCCCTCCCCGCCCAGTGTGGCAGGCAGCGTGGCCGAGAGCTACGACACGGAGAGTGGCTTCGAGGACGCAGAGACCTGTGATGTGGCTGGGGCGGTGGTCCGCTTCATCAACCGCTTCGTGGACAAGGTCTGCACAGAGAGCGGGGTCACCAGCGAGCACCTCAAGGGGCTGCATGTCATGGTGCCAGGTATAAGGGGTCTGGGTGTGGGGGCGTTCCCCGCGGCGGAGGGTGCGGGGCCCGGAGGTGAGGGTGAGGACCGCTGTCTCCCAGACATCGTCCAGATGCACATCGAGACCCTGGAGGCCGTGCACCGGGAGAGCAAGAGGCTGCCCCCCATCCAGAAGGTGCGGGGAAGCGGCAGGCGGGGCGGGGCGGGGCGTCGGCCCGGACCGGGCTGCGTCCTGAGGTGCCGCTCCTGTGTCTGAAGCCGAAACTGCTGCGGCCGCGCCTGCTGCCGGGCGAGGAATGCGTGCTGGACGGCCTGCGTGTCTACCTGCTCCCGGACGGGCGCGAGGAGGGCTCGGGCGGCAGTGGGGGCGGCCCAGCACTGCTGCCGGCGGAGGGTGCCGTCTTCCTCACCAACTACCGGGTCATCTTCACGGGGATGCCCACCGACCCCCTGGGTAGGCGAGCCTTTCGCCCTGCTCTGCCCCGCTCCCTCGGGTGCGCAGGGCTCGCCCCTGCCTCTCCTTCCCCTTCGGGGTGCAGGGTGTCCCCCGGGCACATGTCCCTGGTTTCTTCTCCACTGGATGGGGTTCCCGTAGCGCCGAGACCTGGAGCCTGGGACCTGTCCCCTCCGGGTCCCCTGACTCTGTGCCCGGCCTGTTCCAAGTGGGGGAGCAGGTGGTGGTCCGCTCCTTCCCGGTGGCCGCGCTGACCAAGGAGAAGCGCGTCAGCGTGCAGACGCCCGTGGACCAGCTCCTGCAGGACGGGCTGCAGCTGCGCTCCTGCACCTTCCAGGTGGGCCCGCGGGCGGGCCTGGCGGGGGGCACCTGCCAGCCTCAGGGCGCTCCCGGCCCCCCGGGGGCTCTGGCTCTGAGTCTGCGTCGGGAGGGTGCGGCGCAAGCCCACACAGGCGGGACTCACACGGTGGGAGGAAGCACAGCCGAAGGTCACCTTCCTCGGCCGCACGGCCACGCTGGCAGACGCACCCTTGGGCCCCCGTGTGCCCACAGGGCGACGAGAAGCAGCGCTGCCCTTCGCAGCCGTGCAGTGGGGGCGTCTGGCCACAAGTCCTGAGCGGGAAGGCTCGCCCTCCCTGGGGGCCCGGCCGGGCCACCCCGCCCTCTGAGGCCTTGTGTCTGGCGCAGCTGCTGCGGATGGCCTTCGACGAGGAGGTGGGGTCCGACAGCGCCGAGCTCTTCCGCAAGCAGCTGCACCGGCTGCGGTTCCCGACGGACGTCAGGGGCACCTTCGCCTTCACCCTGGGCTCGGCTCACACCCCCGGCCGGCCGCCCCGAGCTGCCAAGGACAAGGCTCCCTCCCTCAGGTGTGGAGCGCGGCCCCGAGGCCGGGGGGCGGCCCCGCCCAGATCCGCCACGGGCTGGTGCCCGAGCCTGTGCTCACTCTGACCCCGCACACCCAGGACCCTGTCCCGGAACCTCGTGAAGAACGCCAAGAAGACCATCGGGCGGCAGTACGTCACCCGGAAGAAGTACAACCCCCCGAGCTGGGAGCAGCGGGGCCAGCCGTCCCCCGAGGACCAGGAGGACGAGATCTCAGGTGGGGGCCAGCAGCCCGGGCAGCCGGGGAGGGCCCCGTGCGCAGAGCGTCGGCCCGGCGCTCGCCGTGACCCGTGTGCCCGGCCCGCCCCAGTGTCGGAGGAGCGGGAGCCCAGCACGCTGACCCCGAGCTCGGCCCTGAAGCCCTCCGACCGCATGACCATGAGCAGCCTGGTGGAGCGGGCCTGCTGCAGGGACTACCAGCGCCTGGGCCTGGGCACGCTGAGCAGCAGCCTGAGCCGCGCCAAGTCCGAGCCCTTCCGCATCTCTCCGGTCAACCGCATGTACGCCATCTGCCGCAGGTGAGAGGCCAGCGTGGGGCCGCCGCGCCGTTCACGGGCCTCTAGGAAGCCCTGGCGCCGGGGGCTGCCCTTGGCCGGCGGGCGCAGCGGAGAAGCCCTGGTGCACCCCGGCCCCGCCAGCCGCCTCACCTCACGCCCTCCTGGCAGCTACCCGGGGCTGCTGATCGTGCCCCAGAGCGTCCAGGACAACGCCCTGCAGCGCGTCTCCCGCTGCTACCGCCAGAACCGCTTCCCCGTGGTCTGCTGGCGCAGCGGGCGCTCCAAGGCCGTGCTGCTGCGCTCGGGGGGCCTGCACGGCAAGGGTGTCGTCGGCCTCTTCAAGACCCAGAACGCGCCTTCTCCAGGTACCCGCCCTCGCCCGCACGCCTGCCCCGCGGCCCCCGGCCCTGCGCCCGCGCCCGCGCCCGCTGCAGCTCTGCCTCCCCCCAGGCCAGTCCCAGGCGGACTCCAGCAGCCTGGAGCAGGAGAAGTACCTGCAGGCCGTGGTCAGCTCCATGCCGCGCTTCGCCGACATGTCAGGACGCAACACCCTCAGCGGCTTCTCCTCGGCCCACATGGGCGGCCACGGTGAGGGGTGGTCCGGGGCAGGAGGGCGTTTGGGGGTTGGGGGGACATCGGCGGAGGGCAGACTGTGAGGGGCAGAGGGTGTGGGGAGCGAGACGGGGGGGCACCAGCGTGGGACCGGCTACGCGCCCTGAGCCCCGGCCCCGACCACCGCCCCCCCAGCCCCCGAGCCCCTTGCCCGTCCTGTCTTCTCGGGACGCAGCCCGCAGACCCCTCCCTGGTCTGTCCTTCCTTCGTCCTCCCTCTCGGGTCCCCCCCAGTGCGGCCACGGTCCCCGCCCCACCAGCCTCCCGGACCTCCTGGCCTCTCCTGGCCCCTTGGGCTGTGTCTGCACTGGTCCCCCCCAATCTGTCTCCGCCGTGGGCCCCCTTAACGCCCCCGAGACCCGCCATCTCCAGGCGGAGCCGTGCCTCAGCACCCTCCCTGCCTCCGTCCACGCCAGGCCGTGCCTGGGAGCCCACACCGCTCCCGCTGGCCGGCCGGCCTGCACGGCGGGTCCCATCGTCCTCGTTGGAGGAGAAGGCTCCAGGCCTTGGAGGTCAGGGCGGGGCCCAGGGGCCGTCAGGAGACCCCGCCCCCTGCCTCAGGGACACTGCTGACTGGGGAGCGCGCTCGCTGTCCACAGCGGCCAGCGGCGGGCGCTGTAGAGGGGCGGTCCGGCCGCCTGGGCGACAGGCGGGGACCCTGCTGGGGAGGTGAGGCAGGTGGGTGCTGGGTGTGGGGAGAGGCTCAGGCAGGGGAGCCACAAGGGCCTCTTCCCATCACGGGGGAGGAGGATCCTCGCGGGGTCTCGTCTAAGGCAGTTACTTCCGTGTCCCACTTCCCGCTGGTCTCACCGGCTGCCGCTGGCCCTGAACCGCCTCCCCCCTCAGCGGGTCTGACCCCATCTCCCTTCCCCCGCATCCGCCCCCGTCCCCCCGTCCCCCCATCCCTGCTCCTGGACCCTCCCAGGTGCGTGGGCCACGTCTAGCTCACTCTCTCGGCCTGTCAGAGCTGGGGCTCCTTGAGGGCTGGTCCTCAGACTCGGGGCCCCAGCTGCCGTCCAGCTCGCGCGGGTCCCCAGGCCTGGTGGGCACTCTGTCTGGGCTGGGAGGACCTGTCTCCACACGGCAGGTGTGCGGTCGCGGGGGCTGCCCACACTGGCCTGACCGTCACCCAGACCCCAACCCCGACCCAAGCGAACACCCCGTCCCCGGCCTTTACCTGCCGACACACTACGCGTCCACCTGGGAGGTGCGGTGGGTACGGCTGACGGCGCCACGCGTGGAGCCGCCGCAGCCCAGCGTGGGCGCCACACGCAGCCCCCCGCCCCCCAGCCTCGGCCCCCAGGGCCAGACGCTGCACGCGGTCACTTCTCGTGAGGTCTTCTGGGCCCCCTTGGCCCTGCCCTCGTACTCACCCAAGTTCGTCTCCACAGTTGACAGGCCGGGGTGACAGGTGGGCTTAGAGGGCTGACGGCTTCGCCCATGGGCCAGGCCTTCCGGACGCCCAGGCGTCATCCTTGACTGTTGCCCCAGCTCACCCTGAGGCCTGTGAACTGACCGCCTGGGCCCACGGGCCTCCCTGCCACTAGCGCCGTAGCCTGGCCCAGGCCCCGCGCCCTCCTGTGGTGGGGGGGCTCCAGGGTCCACGGGCCCGCCTTCCCAGGGAGACCGGAGGGCCCCACAGAGCCCACGCCTGCCCCTGCGGCCTCACTCCGCCACCGCAGCAGCCTCTGCCCAGGGCTCTACAGCCAGGCTGACGGCCGCCCCCCTCCCCGGGCCTGGACCGCACCCCCCCACTGTGCTCCCGGGGGCCTCCAGCCTGAAGGCGCAGTTCTCCCCGCATGGACGCCCGTCCTCACGTGCGGTTGGGGCTCCACAGTCTCGCTGCCGTGGCCCGAAGGCTGCGCCGTGCCCGCCCTGCAGGACCTTCCGGCCCTGCTGCCTGCACCAGCCCCTCCTGCCCCCGGGCGCGCGGTCCACAGAGCCCGCTGGTGCTGCCGCCCCTGGCCCCGACCAGCTGCACGTGGGCTCCGGCCCAGGCTCTGCCCGCGTTGCCGGCGCGCTGTGTCCTCGCCGCGGGTGGCCGTGCCCCTGCCCCCGTGTGGAGGGGCACGTGTGCGGGCGGGCGGGCGTCTCTGCCACCTCCCCTGCGGGGCAGGCGCGCCTGGGCGCAGGCTTCGGAGCAGCCGCCTCGCAAGGTGCCCGCCCAGCCAGTCCGCCTGGGCCTTGCCCTGCCCTCCCCGGTTGCAGGTTGGGGGCCTCCAGGACCTGGGCCTCCCCGCCACCCTGCGCCGGGCCGAGGCTGCTCCGGGCTGTGCCCAGGTGTCTGCGGGCCCAGGGACGGGCCACAGAGGAGGTGTTTGCAGGAGAGCCTGGGGCTTCTGCTGCCTCTGACCCTCCCTGCTTGCCCCCAGGGGCCCAGGTGGCCTTGAGCCGACCCCTACCGTCTGCGGGGCCCCGGGGCTTGGCTGGAGCCCGGCCCTGCGCCTGGCCCTCGGGGCTGCAGGACCCCCGTGCTGGGCACGTGCGCGGGCCTGGGCCAGGCCTGAGCCTCCTCTCTGCTGTGCCTCCAGTGCCCAGCCCCCGAGCCAGGGTCACCACGCTGTCCAACCCCATGGCGGCCTCGGCCTCCAGACGGACCGCGCCCCGAGGTATCGTACCGGCCGCCGGGCTGGCTCCCCACACCTGGCACAGGTGCCCCCGTGTGACTGGGCCGTCGTGGGCACTAACGTCCCCCCATGCCCGCACTAACGGCCCCCACCGCCCTGGGCACTAACTCCCCGACACCGAGTCCTGCCCCCCAGCACGGACGCGGGCACAGGCCCCACCCCCAGGTAAGTGGTGCCCAGGTCCCGCTTGGGCACTCACTGGTGTCTCTTTGCAGGTAAATGGGGCAGCGTCCGGGCCAGCGGGCGCAGCAGTGGGCTCGGCGGTGATGTGGGCTCTCGGCTGGCAGGCAGGGACACGCTGGCGCCCCCCCAGGCCAACGGGGCCCCCCCCGACCCGGGCTTCTTGCGGCCCCAGCGGGCAGCCCTCTACATCATTGGGGACAAGGCCCAGCTCAAGGTGACTGGGGGAGGGGCGCGGGGCCGGGCGGGGGCCCGAGCCAGCCGATGGCTCACCGGCCGGCCTCCCCAGGGCGTGCGGCCGGACCCCCTGCAGCAGTGGGAGCTGGTGCCCATCGAGGTGTTCGAGGTGCGTCAGGTGAAGACCAGCTTCAAGAAGCTGCTGAAGGCGTGTGTCCCAGGCTGCCCCGCCACCGAGCCCAGCCCCGCCTCCTTCCTGCGCTCCCTGGAGGACTCGGAGTGGCTAACTCAGGTCTCCGCCCCTCCCCTGCCCCACCCCCGCCGCAGCCACGGCCCCGGGGGGGGGGGGGCCTCCGCTTGGCTGCGCCACAGGCAACCAGGGTCCGGGCTCGCGCGCCCCGCACTGTGGGCCCATTCCCGGGACAGGTGGCCCCTTCAGTCCTGGGGGCCTTCGGAGGGCGGGAGGCAGTGGCGGTTGGCACGCGAAGCATGGCGCGCGTGTCTGCGCTGCGCCCCGCTGCCGGTTGCCCCTGGCGCAGTGCCTGGTGGCTGCCCCGCCTGCAGGCGCGAGGGCGCGGGGCTGGGCCAGGGCGGGGTCTGAGGGCTGCGGCCGGCGCCCCGCAGATCCACAAGCTGCTGCAGGTGTCGGTGCTGGTGGTGGAGCTCCTGGACTCGGGCTCCTCCGTGCTGGTGAGCCTGGAGGACGGCTGGGACATCACCACCCAGGTAGGCGGCGGCGGCTGCGGCGGGCGGGCGGGCGGGGACCGGCGCCCTGGGCCCCCCTGAGAGCTGGCGGTGCTGGCAGGTGGTGTCCCTGGTGCAGCTGCTCTCGGACCCCTTCTACCGCACGCTGGACGGCTTCCGCCTGCTGGTCGAGAAGGAGTGGCTGTCCTTCGGCCACCGCTTCGGCCACCGCGGGGCCCACACGGTGGCCGGGCAGAGCAGCGGCTTCACACCTGTGTTCCTGCAGTTCCTGGACTGTGTGCACCAGGTGAGCAGGTGGCTTGGCGGAGGGCGGAGCCCAGTGTCTGGTCCCTGTCTCCTGACCCCTGACCCTTGACCCTTGACCCTGCACAGGTCCACCTGCAGTTCCCCATGGAGTTTGAGTTCAGCCCCTTCTACCTCAAGTTTCTCGGCTACCACCACGTGTCCCGCCGCTTCCGGACCTTTCTGCTGGACTCAGATTACGAGCGCATCGAGCTGGGTAGGGCAGAGGGGGCGGGGGGATGGGGTGAGGGACGGGCTGGGACGGGGCTCACCGCTGCCCCCTGCAGGGCTGCTGTACGAGGAGAAGGGGGAGCGCAGGGGCCCGCAGCCCTGCCGTTCCGTGTGGGAGTACGTGGACCGCCTGAGCAAGCGGACGCCGGTGTTCTACAACTACATGTACGCGCCCGAGGACGCGGAGGTGAGCCGGGCGGGCCTGGCCGGGGGGCGGAGGGGGGTGCCCTGCGCAGCCCGGCTCCTCACACCACCCCCGCCCGCAGGTCCTGCGGCCCTACAGCAACGTGTCCAACCTGAAGGTGTGGGACTTCTACACCGAGGAGACCCTGTCTGAGGGCCCCCCCTACGACTGGGAGCTGGCTCAGGGCCCGCCAGAGCCCCCCGAGGAGGAGCGGCCGGACGGGGGCGCCCCGCAGAGCAGGCGCCGTGTGGTGTGGCCCTGCTACGACAGCCGCCCCCGGGCCCAGCCCGATGCCATCTCGCGTCTGCTGGAGGTGCGTGCGGCCCGCGGGCGCTGTTGGGCACCCGGCGGCCCTGCGGCCCTGCCCTTCCTGCGCCTGCCGCCCGCCCGCCGTCGTTGGCCGAGGCTCCCTGGGGCTGCTGCCATGGCCCCGGGTGCTGTGGGCCGGTGCGCGCCCTGGCCGCCAGCGGGGAGGCGGGCTTTCCCCAGGGCCCCGGCCGCTGCAGCCCCTGCCACCCCTGCCTCCCCACCCCCGTGACCCGACAGGAGCGGTAGCTCCTCCTGTCCCCCCGCCTTTGGAGAGAGACGTGCCTGTGCGCCTGGAGGCTCGGGGTGCGCTTCGGGCCTCCCTCCTCCTCCGAGGGCCCGTCTCCTCGGCTCCAGGGACCAGGACTCCCTGGGGCCGAGCCCGGTGAGCTGCGGGGCCGGGGCCGGGGTGAGGCCCGGCGGCCGCCCAGCAGCCCGAACTCGCCGCGGCGGCTGAGCGGCCAGGCAGCCGAGGGCCGCGGGAAGGCTGGCGCTGCCCCTTGGGGACTGCGTGCTGGGGGTGGGGGCTCCTAGGCCTCTTGGGGCTTCCCTTTCCTTGGGGGGAGAGCAGAAACGCTAACGCCTGCGTCCTGGCCTGAAGGCACCTGTCACCAGGGGTCTGGGCGAGCACAGGGTGCTGGGTTTGTGGGTGAAAGTGACCCCCAAGCACCAAGAGCAGAGGAGAGTCCCTCTTTGTCTTGGTAACATTCGTAGACTTGGGGTCTGGTGCGAACTGTGCCACTAGCGCCCTTGGGACCAGCGTCCGCGTGGCGCGTTCTTGTCTGTGCTTTGACCTGCCCTGGGCTGGATGCCCTGAAGACGCGTTTCTTGTGCTCACGACGCGGTTGGGTCTCCTCTTCGTCTCCTTTGATGGCTCCTGTCTCTTGTTGGAGTTGTTAATCCATCTACACTTAATGATTAATGTGGTTTGGTTGAAGTCTAGCCTTTTGCTATTTCTATTTTATTTATTTACTTTTTGCTTCTCCCCGCCCCCCCCCCCCCCCCCCGCCCAGCAGTTGAGAATTTGTTAGTGTTCCCTGTTCCCTGCTGTTAGGCTTTCGGGCGACCCTCTGTGCGTGGCTTCTAGTGGCTGTGAGGGGCGCGGAGTCCTCCCTAACCCGTCTCCGGCCTCAGTTACCTGTGATCAGCTGTGGTCCAGAACCACCCACGAAAGGTTCCGGCAGTAACTCCCAAGTTTTAAGTTGTGCGTTACGCTCAGGTGCGTGGCGCAACCCTGCACCTCCGCTCCGCCCAGCGCAGGATGCGAGTCCTCCCAGGTCCAGCGCCTGCGCGCTGTGGATGCGCCCACCTGCGGCCACCTCGTTGTCTTGGTGATCACATCGCCTGTTGCAGTGCCATGGAGCTTGTGAAGTCACCCACATTTCATAAATAATAGCCCAGAGCCACTCACGTAACTTACTACGGTGCACAGAGTATTTTATTACGAGCTCTTGTTGGCAGTCTGTTCCTGTGCCCACCTTGTAAGTTGAAGTTCATCGCGGCGTGTGTGCTCGGGGGAAACGTCGCGCCGTGCACGGGGCGTTCAGTGCTCTTCACGGCATCGGGCCTCTGCTGGGGGTCTTGGAACGTGCCGCCTGGAGCAGGGGCGGCTGAACAGTCGCCACCTGTCTCGGCTCCCGTGTGCCGCCCTCCAGACGGTGTCTTCCCACTCGCCCCTGAGGTCACTCCCGTGCTCCTGCCATCACAGCTCCCGTGCGCCTGCGGTGGAAACACACAGTCGGTATTGTGTTTACAGGGCCAACCTGATTTTAACCAGATGAGGAAACCAGGGAGCGGCCTTCTGTCTGCAGGTTCCAGAGGCGTTGCACTCTGACCTGGGACTGTGTCGTCCGTGTGTCTCGTAGTGCAGGTCTGCCAGTGACCTGGCCTCGCTGTCGTTTGCCTGGCCGTGTCTGTACTGCGCCTTTACTTGTTGAAGGTGTTTGCTTGGGGTGTGGAATTCCAGGCTGACAGCTCTTCGCACTCGGCCTGGCTTGCGTGATTTCTGACTGAAAGCCGGCGCTCGCTCCTGCGTCTGGGGACTGCGCGCAACATCGCCCTCGCTCCGTGCTGTCCTCAGGTCTCCTCTTCACCTTCGCCATCAACGGTGTGACCCTCGCCTGGCCTTTCTGTGTTCGTCCTGCCTAGAGCTCTGTAAGGGCGTGAACCGATGGACGCGTTTCCCACGTTGGGCTGTTCTTTCTGCACAGCCCCCGGGCCTTCGCCGCACCCACAGGGTGCCCAGCCCGTTGCCCCGCAGCCTTGCCTCTCGGCGGCTCGCTGGGGCGGCTTCTGTTGGCTCGTCGGCAAGTTGGCTCCTCGTTGTTTCTTACGCTCGTGCTCCTGCGGCCTCTCCCGTTCCCTTTTTCAGCTCTAGAATCTCCACTGGATCCATCTTGGATGTAATAGTTAGAGATTCTGGAGAGTCCCCACCTGTGCAACCGTGACGTCCACCTTTTCCTTTAAATCCTGAACTGACATTCAGAACTTTTCCATTTCTTGGAATTACAACACCCATCTCGTTTCTGGGTCTGTTTCTTTTCACTCTTCCCGAGGAAGGACGTCATATCCCTGCCTTTCTGCTTGTCTGATAAGTGTTTTTACAAGTTGGACATTGCAGTTCTAACTTGTTGAGCATCAGGATGGTGCTGCCTGCCCTTGAGGCGTCTTGAGTTTTATGCCCGTGGGCAGCTTGTGACCGTGCGTGTCCGCGGGGTCTTCTCCGGGGCTGCGCCTGCGCTTGGCTTGGGCTCCTCCCGGCACAGGAGCCCCCCACGGGCCCGGCCCGTTCCCCGGTGGGTTTGGTGCGCTCGGCGAGGAGCCCGCTGCTGTGCGGCATTCCCTCCTCTTCCGGCAGGGCGCGCCCTCCACGCCGTGGGTTTAGCCCACAGCTTCTCAGCAGCCGCTCAGGCCACGTGACGTCCTGCCGGCACCGGGCCCTTTCACGCGGCCAAACGCTCAGGAGGCCTCCGTGTGGGCGTCCGGAGCGGTGCCAGTCCCGGCGCTCGCTCGCTGCCCTGAGGGCCCACACACGGGGGTGCCCCTCAGGACTCTGCCCCCCACTGTGGCCATGGGCCCCGGGGTCGCCCTGTCTCAGGGTCCAGTCCGCAGTTGTCTGGGGGGGGCTAGTCACGGACTGACCGTGGTCATGGCCGAGGGGGGAGTCCAGCCATCTCTGTGAGCAAACTCCCATCGTCCCATCTTTGAAAGGAGCGTGCGTTTCCCCGGGGGGTTCGGGGGTTTCTCCTTGTGTCTCTGCCGTCTTTCTGTAGCGCCCTGTTTGGGGTGCGTCACCTCGATGACGTCGTGTGCCGCTCCTCAGGACCCCCGACTGCCGCCTCTGAAGACTGAGTTTGCGCCGCACCCCCTTCCTGCCTTCTCCTTCGGTTCTCGGTTACGCACGTTAGGCCTTTCCCTGCAGGCTCACTTTTCTGTATTTCTTTCGTCTTTCTATGTTCTAGACCGAATGTTTTCTTCTGCGTAACGGTCACTCCTTCTCCCCCAGGAGCTGCAGCGGCTGGAGACAGAGCTGGGCCGGCCCCCCGAGCGCTGGAAGGACACCTGGGACCGGGTGAAGGCGGCGCAGCGCCTCGAAGGCCGGCCAGACGCGCGTGTGAGCGGGAGTGTGTGTGGGGCCGGGGGGCGGCGGGCGGGGGGCGGGGGGCCGCCCGGCGCTGACACAGGCCCCGCCTCCGGCCCCCAGGGCGCGCCCAGCTCCCTGCTGGTGTCCAGCGTGCCGCACCACCGCCGCTCGCTGGGCGTGTACCTGCAGGAGGGGCCCGTGGGCTCCACCCTGAGCCTCAGCCTGGACAGCGACCAGAGCAGCGGCTCGACCACGTCCGGCTCCCGCCAGGCCGCCCGCCGCAGCACCAGCACCCTGTACAGCCAGTTCCAGACGGCTGAGAGCGAGAACAGGTACGCGGGCCGCCCCTGCGCGGCGGCGGCGGCGGCGGCGGCTGCACGGGGCCCTCGGGGGAGGCGGGGCCTTCGAGGGGGGCTTCTGGTCATGCTCAGGTGGCCTGAGTGTAAGCTCACCGTGGCTGGGGCTTGGGCTGTAGAGCCCGTGGCCACAGAGGGACGGCTGTGGGCGACGCGAGGGCAGGCAAGGCGCCAGGTGAGGCCGGGGCCTGGGGGGGCCACGTGGCCGGTCACCGCCCCAGACCCGCCTGCTGCATGTTCCTCCTCCTCTGCAGCACTTGCCCTGCACGTGGGGGCTGCTTCTCGGAGACCCTGAGGCTCTGATGTGGGGTCACGTGTCTGTCCCATGAGGGCTGTTGGGGGGCCCTTTTCCATCCCCTGGCTGGGTACATCCCCGGGGCTTCCTCAGGGACCCCTGCCAGCGCCCCAGCCTCGGGTCAGGTTGGGGCCAGGGTCCGTGGTCCTGCCCCGGGGCCGGGCCGGGGGCAGGTGCTGCGCCTCGGGCTCACTGGGCTCGGACGGCCCGCCCCGCGCGGGCTCTGCCGCGAATGCAGGTCCTACGAGGGCACCCTCTACAAGAAGGGGGCCTTCATGAAGCCCTGGAAGGCTCGCTGGTTCGTGCTGGACAAGACCAAGCACCAGGTGAGCGGTCAGAGGGCCCGGGGCGGGCAGGGGCTGGGGGACCCTGCCCTGACACCCCATCCCCTCAGCTGCGCTACTATGACCACCGTGTGGACACCGAGTGCAAAGGCATCATCGACCTGGCAGAGGTGGAGGCTGTGGCGCCCGGCACGCCCACCATGGGCGCCCCCAAGACCGTGGATGAGAAGGCCTTCTTTGATGTGAGCGGTGGCCGGGGTTGGTGGGCGGGGGGGGGTGCTCCGTGGATAGGGCCCCAGCGTCAGCTGCCCGCCCCCCGCCCTAGGTGAAGACGACGCGTCGTGTTTACAACTTCTGTGCCCAGGACGTGCCGTCGGCCCAGCAGTGGGTGGACCAGATCCAGAGCTGCCTGTCAGACGCCTGAGCCTGGCCCTGCCTGGCGGCTCCCCATCCAGCTACAGACCACTAGGGGTGGGCAGGGCCCCCCGGCCATGTTTACAGCCCCCGCCCTTGACAGTATTGTGGCCCCGCCCCCAACCCCTGTGTACAGCCCCCGCCCGCCCCTCCCTGCCCCCGCCCGCCCGGCCAGCTCTGACTTGTCTCAGAGCCCTGGCCGAGCGCCGCGGGGCGGCCCCATGGTACAGCCCGCCCCGTGGGCCTGTGAGCAGCCCAGCCCCGGCCGCGAGGTGGCCCCCCGGCCGGCCCGCAGGCAGCCTGTCCCCACAGCCAGAGTCTATAAAGAGAACTAACTATGTGCCACACGCCTGTGTCTCCTCAGCCCCGCCGGGGGCGCCCACCAGCCCCTCGTGCCAGGCCGTGGTCCGCCCGGGGAGGGCCGAGTGCAGGGGGCTCCTGCGGGTGGTCTGGGCGCCGGCACAGCCGGAGAGGAAGGCCGCCCTCCGGCCCCAGCAGCACCTGCAGGTGTGAGGAGGGCGCGTTTCCAAAAGGGGAGGTGGCGCAGGTCCCTCGGGTGGCTGAGTCCGTCCAGAGGCCAGACTAGGTGGGGGCGGCTGGAGGATGGGCCGTAGAGACGTGCCGGTCCGTGGTCAGGCGGGGGGGGCGCGCCGAGGAGGAGGAGGACGGGGCAGGGAAGAGGGTCCACGTGTGGAGGGCGGGCGCAGCCCGTGCAGCCAGAGGGCTGTTACGCGTGGTCTCCGTCCTGGGAGCTCCGCTCCGTGCACCCCCCGCCCCAGCGCGTCTTGCGGGGGATGGGCTCATGTGGGGTGGGCGCCGCGGAGGGAGTACCTGTCAAGTGGAAGGTGAGCAGCAGGGGTGCAGGCGGGGCCTCTGCAGGCGGGGGGTGGGCGCCCTCAGCTGGGCTGGTGGGGGGGCCCCCAGGTCCCCTGCAGGCCATGTGGACATCAGTGGGACCAAAGGTTCCCAACACTCGGGGAAACCCACAAACCCACAGGTCTGGACTGGGGGACCAGGGGGTGGACGGAGAGACCAGAAGTCACCGAAGCAAAGGGTTCCCAGGACAAGGTCCCGGCAGCACGAGGGCTGCCAGGGCGACCCCGGGCCCTGGGCAGGCCGTGCAGGGACCACGCACTGCCCACCAGGCGCAACTGGCTGGAGAGGGGAGGACTCCGCCCGGCCCGGCAGACGCTCGGGTGCTGCCCCTGCCCCCGGCAGGTTAGGGCTCCGGGGCCTGCAGCTTAACTAGGCGCAGGGGTGTCAGTAAGAATAACACAACTTTATTGGGAGTTGGGGTTTCGGGTGCCCTGTCAGATCATCAGAACATTAAAAATGAGCAACATCACACAACCCTGCGGGCCGCGGGGACGGTGGCCCAGCCCCGACCGGCGCCGCCCCCGCCCCCGCCCAGCACCGCTGGGGCCGGCCTCCGCCCCCGCCCCTCTGGCTCGCCCGCGGCCAGCTCCTGCCAGGCGCCCAGCGCACCGGAGCGCCAGGGCCGGACGCCCCTGCCAGGCCCAGAGGTTTGTTAAGGCAGTCAAATTTTGCATCCTGGCTCAAAGGCCAGCTCCCACGGCAACAGGGCGGCTGACAGCCCGTGCGGCCGGCCCAGCTCTGGACAAGCATTCGTCCCGAGACGGGGAGGCCCTTCGCCGCAGCTGGGTACAACGTGCAAACACGGCTCTTTCTGCGCTGGTTAAAAAGTCAGTAAAAACCGGCTGGCGGCCCGTGGCGTCCGCGCCCAGCACACCCTCGGTCCTCGTGGCACCTCGGTCCCGGCCCCGGCGGGCAGAGCGCACGTCTGAAGCCTCATTGCTGTGCGTGGGATCAGGCAGGAGCGGCGCAAGCTGGGCCGTCCAACTAGGTCCAGCTGCCAGCTTTACCAATGCAGCATTTATTTTAAAATTAAATTAAATTAAAAAAGATTGCATCACCAGGCAGTTTTTCGATTGAGGGCGCCGTGGCCGGGCGGCAGCGTCACGCGGGGCCGTTGGAGGCGGCTCCTGCGGGCGGCGCTGCGTCTGCCTTCCTGCGGAAGAGGACGGGGTTGGAGCCCTACGGCCCAAGGAGCCCGTCCCAACCCCGCTCCTGGCCCGGCCTGCTCACCTGTCCTTTGTCACTGGCCCCACAACGGCCACTGTGGAGACAGCTGGGCTGCCTGTGGCTGCAGAGGTGACGGCCACCACGGGCCCTGGGGGGGTGGCCGTCTCGGGGGGGACATCCCCAGCCAGGGTGGAGGTGGCTTCAGCAGGCGCAGGGGAGGCGGGACCTGGCAGCATGCCGGTGGCCCTGTGTGGCAGGCATGGGCTCAGGTGCCTGGGCCGCCCCAGGCCGCCAACCTGCCCGCCCCCGAGGCCTCCAGCCTCTTCCAGGCAGCCCAGCCCTGTACCCGACCGTCCCCGCTGCTGGGGAGGACCGCGGGCCTGGCCCCGACTGCCCTCCTGCGCGTCTGCCTGGAACGCTCCCTCCCCGCCCAGGACTCCCCAGCGTGGCCCACACCCGGCCAGTACTCGCGCCCCCCCGAGTGATGCCAGCTCCAGCCTCGCAAGGGCCCCCGGGAGCCCGCGCGGGCAGGGTCGGGACGTGTCCTCGGGGGTCCTCGGGGGCAGGGGGAGGGGGCTGTGCCCGGTGCGGTCGGGCAGCACCAGGAACAGACACACTGGAGCCTGCGGACCACTGGGCTCGGAAAGGCGCAAGCCCACGCCGGCCAGAATGGGCGCAGCAAGACCCTGCAGACGGCCCGAGGACACTGAGGCTGCCTTCAGAATGACAACCTGCTTTTCAGACCAGTCGGTTTTTAAGGGGAGAGATTAGGAGGAAGGTTGAGAATTGTATGACTCTTCAAGGAAACCCTGGGGCAGGAGCCCAAGGGCCAGGGCACGTGACCTAGGGCCCCAGGAACGAGCCCGCCATGAGCCAGAGCGGGACCCCACCAAGGGGGTGCATGCAGCCCCACAGGCCCATGGGGACCAGGGTGGGGGGCTGCCAGGCGCCAGCCCGCCCCACCTGCAGCGGAAACGATGGACGCCCGTCCCCTCAGGGAGCACCGGCCTCGGTGTCCTCCGGCTACTCCCTGGCCCCCGCTGGGGCCTGGCCACACCCCCCTCACATCCCCACCCGGTCTCGTCGGCCTCTCCCTCCTAGTTTCCAAAACACAGCTTCCTGTGCCGTCCCCTCCCCGACCCGGCACAGAGCTGGGGCGTTCGGGCCCTCTGTGCTGTCTCGACACCCCTCGCCTGGGGCACCCCCCCGCCGGCCCCCCTCCACGGGGCCCCTGGGCCATCAGGCCGCTGGCTCCGCCCGCTCCAGGGCAAGCCAGTGCTGTGGACGGCCGGACCCCCGTGCGCCCCCCCAGCCCTGCACACCTGGGGGCCCACGCGGGCGGTGGGGGCACCTCCCGGCCGGGACCCACACTGACGGCCTGGGAGGCCACAGCCGCCTCCTGCTCGTCCTCGTTGCTGTTGGAGGCCACCAGGGGCGCGTCCCTGGGGACACACACGTTCCAGGCACATGGCGGGGCAGGGCCAGCTGCAAGACAGGGACCGGGGACACTGGTGAGGGCGGAGGGGCCCCAGTGGCGTGTGGGCACACGAGGACTTCGGCCTGAAAACCTGGGGCTGTCCTCCCCTGTGGCTTCCCGCTCCCCCCGCTTCCTGCGTGGCCCTGACCCACGGTTTCCAAGCCTGTCTGATGGGGGCTCAGGGCCGGGGCGGCCCGGCGGGGGGCAACAGGACCAGGAAGGCGGCGGCAGGGGGCGGCGGCGGCGGTCACGGCAGCACAGACAAACGCAGGGGCCGACCCGCACCCCCGCGGTGGCCCTAGGCCTTGCCACCCGCCCCCGGGGCCCTGCCGTCGGAGCTGCTCTGACTCACGGGTCCTCTCCGGGCCCTGGCTCATGCCACCCTGGGCGTCGCCACGTCCTGTGTCCACGGGGGAGCTGCACCGGGGCCCCGACTCGGAGCTGTGGACAAAGCCGAGGCTGAGGCGGTGCCGGCGGCGCTGCCCCGGGGGCGGGCGAGGTGGCGGCGGCCCGCCCTGCCTTCCCTACCAGCAGAAGGGCTGGAAGTCGGCGAACTTGGCCCAGCCTCGCTCCTCCAGAGCCGCAGCTCTTGGGGCACCGGCCGCCCACACGCCCGAGCCCACGTCCATCGCTGCTCCTGGGGCTGGGGCAGTCGGACTTGCCGGCTCATCGAACGCCGTCCACGCGGAGCCTGCCAGGGCGAGACGCAGTGGCCCAGGCCCTTGACCGGAAGGCAGCTGCCCCCTCAGAGCCTCCGGCCCCGGTGCAGCCAGGAGGCCCCACGAGAAGCGCTGTCCTTCCCGACAGGCCTGGTGGGTGATGTGGCTGCGGGGCTGCCGAGGACCGAACCACAGCATCTGCCACCGGCCCCGTGTCCTCGCAGTTGGGGACATGGGGAAGCCACTGCCTTCAATACTGTGAACACCTCACGCAGCTCAGCGGGTGTCAGGTCCCTGGGAGCCCCCACCAGGCACAGGCAGGACACCCAATACTCTGTCATCCCGGTCCCCCGCCCAGCCTGAACTCGGCACCCCAAGCGCCCACCTTCCGAGCCGCCCTCCGCGCGGGGACCGTCCTTCTGGGCAGCCGCCGGAGGAGCCCCTGCCCGAGCTGCATCCCTGTGGGCTCCCTTCCCGTCCTGGCCTCCACGCGCCAGGCCGCTCTCCGGGCGGCTCTCCGAGGGGGGAGGGGCCCCGAACCTGGGGGAGCAGCTCGGTTAGGGTCGCGGGCATTGCACCTGGGGCCGGGCCCAGTGCCCGCGCGCCCAGGGGCCTGGTTCTCAGGCAGGCTAGGAGGGATGGGCGGGCCGCGCACCTGGCTCTGGCCAAGACCCGGGCAGCACAGTGAGCCTCCTTGTCCTCCCAGACGTCATCGTCCTCGTCATCGTCAAAGGGCTGGATGCGGTCGCTGCAGCAGGCCTCGAACAGAGCCGCGCTCGGCTGCAAGAGCCCCCGCGTCCCACACGGCCCCCGCAGGCCCGGCCCTCTGCCTCCGGGGGCTCCCTCGGAGCAGCCCCTGCCCGGGGCCCACCCGCCCCGGTGCCTGTCCCCCTCCAACGACCCCGAGCTGGGGACTCACGCTGTCCTCGTCGGCATCAATGCTGAAGTTTATCTCCGCAATCCTGTCGAACGGAGCGCTGCAAGGACAACGCAGGCGCTCAGCACCCCGGCGCCTGGGGGCAGCGCCCCGCATGAGGGCTCGTGCTCCGCGTGCCGGTCGGCTGGGCGGGAGGCCTGTGGGGGCCTGCGGCCCCGAGCAGAGGGCAGCCAAGCACTCAGGCCAGCCGGGCTCCCGGGCAGCCCAGGGGCGTGGCTTTTGGCGGGCGGGGCCACGCCCTGTGCACACCCTCCGGCTCTGGGGGTGCGGCCTGGGTGACTCCCACCTGGCGCCCTGTTGGGCTGGGAGGCTCTGGGGGCTGTGGGGGCACACAGCTGCGCCCTCCCACACGCGTCACCCTGGCTCTCGGCTGAGGAAATGGGGGGATGGCCTCTAGGGCCGGGCAGGGCCCGGCCGCAGGCCTGGGACCTGGTCACGCTGGGCAGGGTCCAACGCCATCCTTCCGAAAGGACTGAGGGGGGTGGGAGGCGGAGACAGCACAGATCAGGCTCTGGGTGTGGACGCGCGGCCGGGCGGGCAGGGCGGGCAGCGAGTGCGGTCCCGGGGGCTCACTTGACACTGTCGTCCTGGTCTGCAAACTCCTCGTCATTGAAGCCAAACTGGTCCACGAAGGTGGCCGTCATCTGCTGGACCTGGTACTCGGAGAAAGCCTGGGAGGGAGGGCGGGCGGGCGTCGGGGGCAGGCCTCAGATTCGGCTTCTCCCCTCCACGGACCGCTCGCGACGCACGCTCAAGTGCAGCCACGTCAAACAGCCCACTGAAGTTTTAACTCGCCCACGTGTCCCCACAGGTCCCATCAATGTATGTGCCTCCAGGGCAGAGTGAGCACCTGTCCCCTGGGCTGTCCCCACGGCAGTTTGGGAAGGGGCCGTCTGGGGTGCCCTAGAGGCCTCGGCGCTGCCAAGGTCGTGGGGAAGGGCCCAGCCACACGCACCTGCTGGAGGGACAGCTCGTTGGGGAACACGCCCTCCATGTCCTCATCTTCACTCGAGGGGTGGAGGTGGTGGGTGCTCACCTGCAGCAACAGAGCGGGCATGAGCCTGCACCCCAGGGCCGGTGCCCAGCCCGCTCCCCCGGGTCCGGGCGCCGGGTCTGGGCGCCGGGTCTGGGCCTCCGAAGCCACCCTCGGGCTCCCGACACGGCGGGCAGGACCGGGGGTTCCTCACTCGGACTGGCCCGGCCCGAGGCCGGCCACAGGGCAGAGGCCGCAGCGCATGCCGGACGGGCCCTCACCAGGTCCACAGCGTTCCTGCGGTTGGTCTCTGTCAGCGTCTCCTCCACGAAGCTCTCCCAGCGCCCACGGCACTCCGCAGGGAGCCCTGCAAGGGGGTGCGGCTGGGTCCCCAGGGCCACCAGGGAGGGTCCCTGGGGAGACGGCCGAGAGCTGCTGGGACCTTCAGGGCCTCGCGCGGTCATGCGGGCCCAGAGCGGAGCCTGACCTCGGCAGGTGCCAGAGACCTGAATTTACTCAGTGCCCAAGGCTCTGGCAGCGACGCGGCCGACGGCCCGGCCGCAGCACACACTCAGGCCGGCATCTGTGTTTCTGGGGAGGTCGGAGCCTCCGAGATTCGCGCCCTGGAAGCACCGCGGGGAGACACGGCCAAGAGCTGCCCATGTGCCCGCCACCCCCAGCCTGGGCCTCCCTGACCCTCAGCCCTTGTCGCGGGTGCCCAGGGGCCAGGGGGCCGGACCCCTGTCCGGAGGCCACAGACTGGGACTACCCTGCTGCCTCCAGAGCTTCCTTGGCTCACACTTGCCCCGCGGCTGGGGGGCTGCCACACGGAGACCCCCCGGGGCCTCCTTGGGTCAGCCCCCGGGGCTGCAGGCTGTGTACCGAGGACACAAGAGACGGGAAGGGCCAGGCACAGGCTCCCGGGGGCGGCCCCACAGCCTGACTTGGAGGAAACCCCGGGTGCAGTGCAGGCCGAGGGCAGACGTGAGGCCTGGCAGACGTGAGGCCTGGCCGGCAGGGGCCGTGCGCGGGGTGCTGCCGCTCTCGCGTCTGGAGTCAGGCCTGTGCCGCAAACAGACGTCTGCCCCACAGAACGGTCTCCGGGGCCCAGGCCCACCCACGGGGAGATGCCCACGGGACGGCAGGCCAACGGTCCGGTCCGGCACCCACACAGCCAGGGGCGGGCGGGGCAAGGCAGCCTCACGCAGCCGCACCGGAAGCAGGGCTCACCTCGGATGACCTCGCCGACTGGGGTCGGCACGGGGCCCCTCTCCAGGTTCCGCACCACGGCGTTGGCGATCCGGGTGAGGTGGCCCATGTTCCCACGCCGCATGCCCCCGGCCGCCCTGAAAGTGGAGGGCGGCTTGCGGGTGGGCGGCCCCGGCCCCGGCCCGCCAGCCCACCCGGCCCCCCGCACAGCTTCGCCAGCGGGTCCCTGGCACTGGGACGGCACCTGCCCGCCTGCGCTGCGCAAGCCCGACGACTGGGCAGCAGTGGGGTTCACAGCCCGCACCCCCACGCACCCTGTGAGGCCCTCTCCACCCCTGCTGCCCGGCGGCCTGCCTGGGGCCACAGCCCCGCACCTGCACCCAGACGGCTCCGGCCATCCCAGCTCCCAGGGCCCCGCCCAGCACAGCCCGGAGCCCAGCGCCCCGGGGAACGCCTGGCCCAGGAGCAGAAGATGCACAAGTAAAACACAAACACACCCCGGCAGCGAGTGCTGACCGAGCGAGTCCCGGCTCCAGGGGAGACCAGCTCGGCCGCGGGACCCAGAACCGCCCCTCTCGGGCTCTCGGGCTCCGTGTGTAGCCTCCCGCACTGAGCTCTAGGCGGGGGGGGGCCCGCAAGCCCTCTGCCCACCGCTCCCCATGCTGCTGCGAACACGTGGCTGTGCTCAGCATCCCGTCCACCCCACACACGCCCCGGTGGTAGGGCCAGGCCCAGGGTCCCGCCTGGCAACCAGGAAGAGCATCTGGATGACTGGTTCGCGTGTCCACAAACAGCACAGGAACCGAGGTGGACAGAGCCCATTCCAACCACGGGCTCTCCCCTGAGGGCCTGCAACACCCAAGGAGGGAGCCGAGGTGGGCGGCGAGCGCACCGGCCCGGGGACCAGGGCTGAGCGGAGGAGGGTCAGGAGCGCGGGAAGAGGCGCGGCCGCGGGGGCAGTGGGGACGGGGCGGGGGCCTGCCGCAGGCCGCAGGCCCTCGCACCAGCAGCGAGCTCCCCCCGAGCACAGCACCGGTGGGCACGAACGCGCCGGCTGTACACGACCAGGCTCCGCGCAGGGCCCCGCTGGGCGCCGCACGCACCGGGCCAGGGGAGCCGCCGGCCCACCCCGGGCGCTGACGTCCGAGGACAAACACAAACTGGCGGGCTCAGCAAGAGCAGAATATGAGGGACGACGCCGAGAGCAGCGGTCAGGGCCCTGCAGGCCACCCGGGGGACCTCGGTGGCCAAGACTTTCAGGTGGGAGTGGTACCACCTGCGTGTTTCAGGAAGAGCCCAGCTGCTTGCATGGCGAGAGGCCAGGCGGGGCTGCGGGGGGAGGGGCTGGGAGGGGCCTGGGCACCCTTGGGAGAGAAGCAGCTGGCGCTGGGCTGGCGGACAGGGCGCTCGGGGCACAACGTGGGCTCAGGACGGGCTCCCAGCCCCGGCCCGTGGCCCCGCCCGGCTCCCTGGTGGCCGCTTCCTGCCGTGGCAGGGCCCCTCCTAGAAAGCCGACCCCCCGGGGCAGCCCAGGGCCCCTGGGAGCCGGCGGGCCTCTCCCTCGAACACCCGGGGGCTCTTACTGCGCGTGGTCGTTGGCCTCCCAGGCCTCCAGGATCCTCTGGACCAGGCGGCACTGCTGGAACAGCTGCGGCACAGGCAGGCCGGTTAGGGCCCGGGGCAGCGCGCACCCCGCCCTCCCCGGGCCTCGGGGCTTGAGGGGCTGGCGGGCCGGGGGCCTGGAGGGGGGCAGCGCGCTCGCAGGCGAGCGGGCGGGGAGGGGCGCGTCAGGCCAGGACGCACCGCACCCAGGGTGTGAAGGCCCGGAGCCCCAGGAAGGCTTCTCGGCCTGGCCGTCCTCCGCGCTCGCCTCTCTCGGGGGCACGGAGGGCAGCTCGCCCGCGTCAGGTGACAGTGAGGAGAGAAAGCCCAGGGGACGGGGCCGGCCCCAGAGGGCCTGCATCCACGTCGGAGTCCACGTGGTCTGGGTGGGGCTGCGCACGCAGGAACACGCCAGACGCTGGCCGGACTTACGTGGGTCACCATGGTGTTCTCGGGGTGGCCAGCAGCAGCCTGGGCGGCACCTGAGCCCCCATTCCCAGGCGGAGGCTCCACCCTGCTCTCGGGCCCCCCGGCTTCGGCCCTGTCCTCCCGGACAGCGTGGGAGAGGATCGCAGCTATGCACAGTTCCACTTGGAAGTGCAGGAAGTTATTCCAGGTGTACTTGAAAAACAGGTCCTGGGGAAAGAGAGGACGGAAGACAGTCCCTGGACGGGTCTCCCCACAGTGGCGGGACGAGGCGGGCGGCTGGGCGGGCTGCGGGCGCCTGCTCTGCGGGGACCCGGGCCCGGGGCCGGCTCCCTGCTCCCGCCTGCGCGCCACCTGCAGGTCAGCCTTCTGCCTCCGAGTGAGAAGCTTAACTCATTGTTGGTTTCTACCTGTCCGTCTCCCTTTCACGTACAGGTATTTATAATCCGCACCTAAGATATACTGATTGATTTTAGGGAGAGAGGGAGGGAGAGAAGGAGAGAGGAAGAGAGACATTGATGTGAGAAGGAAACACCGCCCGGCTGCCTCCTATACGTGTCAATGCTCCGCCCGGCACAGGCACCCAGGCAGCGCCAAACGTAGCTCACTTTCGGCCTCTCTCCTTAGCAGGGAGGCGTTGCGGGCGCAACCCACGCGCACCCTGCGGCCACGGCACCTCACACGGAGCAGGGGCCACAGCAGCCTACGTCCCCAACCCTGCTGCCTACATGGAGAGGGGGCTGGGCGGGGGAGGGAGGACAGGGCAGGAGCGGGGGCTGCAGAGTCCGCTGGGATGTGAGTTTGGGCCCCTCCTTCCCACCAGGGACATGGCTGCTGTGTGAAGGCAGAAAGCCCACCTGCTCGACGCAGTCCCCCTCCCCCGCAGAAACACAGCCCCGAGTCTTGGCTCCACCTTCCTGCCGATGCGACCTTGGGGGACCTCGCGGGCAGCGTCATCGCGCAACAGTCAGACCCACCTCCCAATATAGAAAAGCTCAGACCAGACGGCCTCACTGGAGAATCCCTCCAAACGCTTAAAGAAGAACTACCACCACCAACCCTTCGCAAACTCTTCCCCAAAACGGAAGAGGAGGAATACTGCCCAGCTCCTTCAACAAGGCCGGCATCACCCTGACACCAAAGCCAGAACGACATCACAAGAAAAGGAAACCACAGACCAATGTCCTTTATGAACATTGATGCAAAAATCCTCAACAAAATACTAGCAAAATGAAGTCAGCAGCACGTTAAGTGGATCACACACCGTGGCTGAGTGGGATCGACCCCTGGAACACGAGGACACTTCAACACGAAAATCAATCAATCGATCCGGTCGGTGTCCACTGACCAAAGGACAATAACCAGGTAATTATCTCAGCGGAAACTGAAAAGTGCTTGACAAAACTCAACAATTTTTTAAAATGAAAACACTTAATAAACTAGGAGTAGAAGGAAACTTCCTCAACATGATAAAGGGCATCCCTAACGAGCCCACAGCACACCCCACACCACATGGCGACAGACTGAAACTTGTCCCCTACGGTCAGGATCCAGCCCCGCTCAGCACAGTGCTGCCAAGTCCAGCCAGAGCAACGAGGGAAGAAGAAGGAATAAAAGGTATCCGCACTGGAAAGGAAGAAGTAAAGTTACCTCTTTGCCCAGAATGACGTGATCTTCTATGAAAAAAATGCTACAACTTTCACGTAACTGTTAGACCTAATAAACCAATACCAAGATACAAAATCAACACGCAAAAATCAGTTGCATTTCTAGACACTAATAATCAATAATCCCCAAAAATTTAAGAACATAATTCCATTTACAACAGTACCCCCAAAAATAAAATACTTAGGAATGAATTTATGCTAGGAGGTGAAAAACTAATACACTGAAATCTACAAAACACTGCTAAAAGAAATGAAAGACCTAAATAAATGGAAAGACACCCACGTTCATGGATCAGAAAATTAATTTTGTCAAGATGAAAATACTACCCAAAGTGTTTGATCTAGAGATGTAATACAATCTCTATCAAAATCCTACCCAATGGTTGGTTGGTTGTTTGTTTTTGTAGAAATAGAAAAACCCACCCTAAAATTCATATGGAATCACAAAGGAGCCCCAAACAACAAAAAATTTTTTTAAAGATTTCAGTTATTTATTTTTACACAGAGAAGAAGGGAGGGAGAAAGAGAGGGCGAGAAACACCAACTAGTTGCCTCTCCTAAACGCCACAACCGGAACCAAACCCAAGACCCAGACACGTACCTTGCCCGGGAATCGAACCACTGACCTCTCGGTTTGTGGGATGGTACCCAACCAACTGAGCCACACCAGTGAGGGCCCAAAAGACAAAATCTTGAAAAAAAAGAACAAAGTTGGACTCATGCTTCCTGAGTTCAAATCTTGCTACAAAGCTCCAGTAATCGACAGACTGTGGTCCTGGCATGAGGACAGATATATAGAAATGATCGTTTCAGTAAAGAAAGGACAGGCTTTTCAGCAAATGGGGCTGGGGAACTGGATGTCCACACACAGAAGTTGGCCCCTTACCTCATGCTACATAGGAGGGCTGTCCAGAAAGTCTCCAGCCATGCACTACACAACAGATCCATTTATAAAGGAAGATACAAGATACAGGCCAGGGCCCCACTTCAGGGGTATCTCTTACACTCTGATGCTTCTCTCTATTTTTTTCTCCCTTCTTTCTCCTCTTTGTAAAAGTAAATAAAATCCTTCAAAAAAAAGATACAGGAAACATTGTATACAGGACAAGGATGCCTCAGACCCCTTCCAAGTCGGTATCTTGGGACCTCACACAGTTCTCCCAGCATCTCTTCCACTGCTCAAAACACCCTGCAAAATCCTTTGTTGGAACCACCATCAGCTGCCCTATTGTATTTTCCTGAATCTCACTGACGATCTGAAATCTCTTCCTTTTCAAAGGTGATTTCAGTTTTTGGAAAAGCCAGAAGTTGCTGGGCACCAGTCTGGGCTGTGGGGGCCGAGTCAGCTGGGTCGCCGATCTCTGGTGGTTGCAGCCTGTACATGTTCAACATTCTCAGGTGTCTGCCTATTGTTGGCCTTCCAGAACGTGGACCACTTTCAGCAGATTCTTGAACAGCTTCAAAGTGTCTGTGCCACACTTTTCTTTGCGATGAACCCATTCCATCGTCCCTGAAAGCCGCCTGAATCATCTGAATAGTTTCCGTGGAGGGATTTTCACGCTGCACACAACATTTGATGCAGATTTGTTGCTCTACTCGCTCAGTCATTTTGAATGCGACGGCCACACAGCACACGTGCTCACTCAATGGTGCCTGCCACCCCCACTGACCGGTACAGTGAAGTCTTCCCTGTTCACCATGCACATTCCAGTCCACTCTCCTCAGGGGCCAGATTACATGGATGTCGCACAAACCATTCTCATGATTTTAACAATGGCTGGACTTTTTCTGAACAGACCTCGTATACAAATTAACTCAAAATGGATTGAAGACCTGATAGAGCTAAAATTATAAAACTCTTAAAAGAAAACATAGGAGTAGTTTCATGACAGTGGATTTGGCAATGATTTCTTGAGTATGACATCAGCAGATAAATTGGACTTCATTAAAAACTCTTATGCGTCAAACAAGAGAATGAAAAGAAAACCCACAGAATGAGAGAAATTCATGTATCTGATAAAACCTTTATCTAGAATACATAAAGAAATTTATACCTCAAAAATAAACAAACACAGTATCATATAACCTGATTCAAAAATGGGCAGAGGACTTGGACAACTGTCCAAAGTAGATACACAAGGGGCCAACAAAAGCACATGGGAAGATGCTCCACGTCCCTACTCGTTAGGGAGACACAGACCAAAACCAGCCCAAGAGGCCACTTCACAACCATGATGACGGCGGCTATCACAGAAAAACGAAAAACAGATTTTGGTGAGCGTGTGGAAAAGTCGGAACCGTCCTGTATTGCTAGTGGGAACGTAAAAGCATGTAGCCAATGTGGCAAACAGCTGGTTCCTCACAAGGCTGAACAGTTACTATGTGACCCCTCAGTTCCACTGCTGGGTGTGTGCTCAGAAGGAGTGAAGGCGGGGACTCGAGCGGGGACTCTGCGTCCCCGTTCACAGCGGCACTATGCCCAACGCCAGGAGGCAGAGGCGGCCCCGGCATCCATCAGCTCACGACTGGATAAACAAAATGTTTCGCTCTGTACAACGGAAAATTATTCAGCCACACAAAGGAAGGAAGCTCTGACACCTGCTACCACATGGATGAACCTTGACACCGTTATGCTCGGTGAATACGCACGACACAAAAGGCCAGACACTGCATGACCCCGCACGTGAGGGCCCAGAGCAGCTGCACTCAGAGACGGGCACTGGGGCCCGGGGACGTGCGTGGGGACCGACTGCTCGACCGCCAGCGCTTCTGCGTGCGCAGACAGGCGGGCTCTGCCCACAGACAGTGGGATGGTCGTACACACTGCGAACGTACTTAATGCCGCTGAATTAACTGTGCACTTAAAAGCGATTAAACCGGTAAATTTTAGGTTATTGGTTTTTTTCTCACAATAAAAGTAGCAAAGGGGGTGGAAAAGAGTGAGAATTTTCCTAGGAGGTGGAAAGGAAAGGCGGTCTCCCCTAACCCGCTGCCGCTTCCCAACGCTGGACGGACTCGCGTGCGCCAGGCCTCCAGGCCCCGTCCGGCGGCTGCCTCCCGCTGGGGCCACGGCTTAAGAGCAAAGAGATCTCTGCCCGCGGGAGCAGAGGCCCAAGGGCACAGCTGAGGAGACGCCCGGGCCACGGCCGCCGGGGGGGGGGGCACGTTCAGAGCCTCAGCGACGCCCGCCCCCGTCAGCACCCCCTCCGGCCCGCCCGCCCCTCTGCTCAGAGCCGAGGCGCCCTTCAGGCCACTGGGGGTGTCTGCAGAATGGAGGTGGCTCCCACGGGCTCGAGGGCGGGTCCTCGCGGGTGTGCCCGCCGCCGGCCAGGGCGGGGCGGGGCGGGGCCCCCACTCACCAGCAGCAAGCCCAGGGTGCTGAGCCGGCAGAGCTCCCGGTTGATGCTGGGCGTGTCGGTGTGCAGCAGGGCGGCCACGAGGCGGGCGCCCTGCAGGCGGGCGTTGCCCAGCGGCTCCTCCAGCACACCGATGGTGGTCAGGACCGCTCTTCTCTGCCAACACAGAAGCGCCGCCCCTGGAGCCTAGCAGCCCAGCGCCGCGTGGCCGCGGCTCAAGGGCCAGGGCTGCCGCCCCGGGACAGGCACGGCTTGGGGAGGAGGGAGTGGGGCTTCCTCAAGGCAGCCCCGCCTGCGAGAGGAAGGCGGGTCACAGAGTGCGTGAGGGGCCCAGGGCGCGCTGGGCTCGGCCTGCCAGCCACAGGGCGTGCGCCTTGGCGCGGGGCCGTGCGCGCGAGCCGCGGCCGGCACTCAGCGGGTGCCTGTAGGCCCCCTTGGGAGAGACTGACGGCAGGGCTGGGCTTGCCGGGCTGCACCCGGGTCCGTTGCGATCCCGCATGCGCAGCCTAACGCGCCCACCTTTTCATTAATGGAACGTTCCAGAACCCCTGCCTTTGGGAAGCTTGCTCCCCTAGGAGGGAGGCTGACAATGAGTGAGTTGACAGATGAAACAGTAGGCTGGATCCTGGGGGTGCTAAGGGGAAGTGCCACGGAGAGGAAATGGCTGAGACTGGGGGAGGGGCTGAGCTGGGCTGGGTGGCGGGGAGGGAGGGAGCCCCTGCAAGCTGCTGAGCTGGGCGGGGGGCCTCCGCTGGGACCCCGCCCTTGGCTGGGTGCCCCTGACTCAGAGGCCAGGCCAACAGGAACTCGGGTCCTCAGATGACCCATCTCAGAGAGCAGGAGTCGCCTGGCGGGGGCGGGACGTCCGACCCCCAGGCTTCCCCTAAGAACAGACGGCCACCCAGCAGGCGGGGCCCGGACAGCAGGTCTCTGGCATCTGCCCGGTGGTGCCCGAGTCGGGGTCAGGGAACTGCAGCGGGAGGGCGTTCCCCGTCCCGGGGAGACCATGAGCCGCTCTGCTGGTCCGAGGTCCTGACCTTGGGCGGGTGGAGCAGGAGCTGGTGGAAGTCCTTCAGCCGCGGCTCGATGCCGTGCAGGACGCCGCTGCTGACGGCGCACGGCCTCTCCAGTCCCTGAGAAAAGGAGTCCACCAGGCCCTCTGTCCTGTGGACGAGGGAGCAGATGGAGACAGGGACACGCCCAGGCCTCTGTCACGTCCCACCCACCTGTCCAACGCCCCCACCTATCGTCTCCGGAGTGGGGTGGCGACTGGCACAGGGCACAGAGGCACCCGTGGCCTTCAGGACAGGCCCACAGGCGACAGCCCAGAGCGCCGCCGCACGCGGCCCCAGGCCGGCTGGGGGCGCCACACCCCTGCCTCCCCCGACCCCCGTCCTGAAAAGATCCACAGCTGCCCTGCCTCTCGGCTGAGAAACAGGAGGCAGGACCGGCCCTCCGGCTTTTCCAAGCTCACTCCTCTTAGACTCAACTATAAAAGTGTTGCACGGCCACCACAGGAAAAAGGGTTGGCTGGCTGGGGTCCCCTCAGGGTTACGCTGCCCCCCCCGCAGCGGCCCCGCCGCCTGCAAAAGAGCCTGGGCTCCCCGCGTTCGTGAAGGTGCAAGCCCAATGTTCTGGCTGCTTAACTGGAGAAAGTCACAACAGCGTTGTAATTCTCTCTTTAGGTAAAAAACTAATGCATATGTACTGGTATCAGAGAAAGAGAGAGAGAAAGAAAGAAAGAGAGAAACCAATAATCTTACTACCAAAGTTAAGCCAATCTGTCATTTTCTTGTTCGTTCTTTCTTTTAAAACAGAAGCTGTCAGTGCCGGGCCCCCCTGAAGTCCGTCTGACACAAAGACACTCCCTGGGGCAGGGTGTGAGGGCCCACCAACCACCCCTGCTCCGCAGACCTGTCAACGAGCCCTCTGCGGGCGGGCCATGGGGGCAGCCTCAGGCCGAGCTGGGACTGTGGCCGACGGCTGGGCCAAAGGGACTGGCACAGCCTCGGACGTGCCTTTCCAACAAGCAGAGTCTACCCACAGGGTTAGGGGCACAACCGAAAGCCAGTGAAGAACACAGCACGCTGGATGGCGCCGGAGCCCGCCCGCCGCGCCCCCCGCCCCGCCCCGCCCCCGCCCCGCCGCCATGCAGGGCTCTCCTTGGGAGGGGCGCTCACCCAGCCCGCCGCGCCTCCAGCAAGGCCAGCAACACCTGAGTCCCACTGACGAGGCAGCTCTCGGTCTGGTCTCCATCAAACATGTTCCTCAGAAGCTGCTCCACGCAGTCCTGCCTGTCAGACACACACGGGTCACCGCCACGCGGAGCAGCTGCGGACAGAAAGGACGGTCTCCCCTCCCGGTGGAGGCGCTCTGCCAGCGCGGACGCGCAGCGCCTGCCTGGAGGCCCCGCCCATGAGAACAGGCCCGTCGGCGTGAGTCTGGGTTGGGGCGAGCATTTCACGGCCGGCCCGTCAGAGTGTGACTCGGAGGAGGTGGCTGTGTCTGCCGGGGCTCAGAGCAGGGCTCGGAGATGTCCTCGCGACTCAGAAAGAGGCCAGCGCCACCCACCGGCCAGGCCCGCCCGCGCCCTGGCCAGCACTCACGACTCCAGCACTGAGAGGAGGGGGTCCGGCTCCGGGGCCTCCGGCAGCTGCCCGCCCTGCTCCCTGCCCAGCCGGACGATGTCGCAGAGAGTCTGAGAAGCGTTGGACTGCCGCTGCAAAGACAGGGAGACCGCACCGTGTTGGGCCTGAAGGCCTCGGGGGAGCCCGCTGCTCGATCCCCGAGAGCGGCGGCGCTGCCTCCGCCAGGTCGCGCCCTGGTGCCTGGTCTGCTGTCCCGGCGCGGGGGGCGGGGCGGGCAGCTCTGCTCAGACTCCGGCGGCGGCACTGGCTTCCTGAGCCCAAGGGGCTCCATGCTGCCCAGGACCGCTGCTGAGCTACACTGCAAGTGACCACGTATTTTACCTTATTTCCTTACTTATTTCATAGATTGAGTTTAGAGAGAGAAACATCGATTTGTCGTTCTGCTTACTGAGGCATTCACTGGTTGATTCTTCTACGGGCCCTGACCAGGGATCAAACCTGCAACCTTGGTGTGTCGGGACAACACTCTAACCAGCTGAGCCACCTGGGTCTTTTGCAGGGTTATGTAGTCCAGCTGACTCCTTTTTATTTACTTATTGATTGACTGATTGATTGATTGTCCTCCCCCGAGGACACGCTCACTGACTTCAGAGAGAGGAGAAGGGAAGGAGAGAGACAGGGAAAGAAACATCCATATGAGAGAGAAACGTCGACTGGTTGCCTCTCACGCCCCCACAACCGGGGACCCAGCCTGCAACCCAGGCCGGGGCCCTGACCAGGAACTGAACCGGCGACCTTGTGGTTTGTGGGACAACACCCAACCACTGGGCCACGCCAGCCACGGCCCAATACTGTACTGTACGCTAACAAGGAGCTACCAAAAGAATGAATCCTGTGAGCTCATGAGAAAACAAACATTGCCACAGAGAAAACAAAGGGCGCACCTTTCAGGGAACCGGGAACCACGTGAAAATGGGGAACCAGGCTCAGTGCGCCCGCCGGCCCAGTCGGGCTTTCCCTCGGGCCAGGCGAGCGCAACCAGAGGCTCAGCCGGGCCCCTGTGGGGAGCCGCCGCCCTCGCTGGGCGCCGCGGGGCTCCGGGGAGGGCTTGCGCCGCCCTCTCAGGGGCGACGGCGGCCAGGCCGGCTCTGCGGCCTCGCGCCTGCCTGTGGGCCTGTGGTGGCCGGCGGGGCCCCCTGCCCACACTCACAGGGGCCCGGGAGGCACGGACACCGGCCCGGGGTGACGGGAGCAGAGAGCGGAGAGGCCTGGGAGCAGCTACGGCTCAGACGGGAGGCGGCACTGCTGCTGTCCAAACTGCTGAGGACAGCGCGCCTCTCCGGTCACGTGGAGAAAAGGCCTATCAGGAAGTGCCACAAACACTCCACGGTGGCCGTCACAGGGCGGGAGGGGCCGGCACAGGAAGCCCATCGCCCCCACAAGCTTCCCTGGGGGCCGCGGGGCTCCTTTCCAGCGCCCTCCCCCTCGGCACCCGGCCCCTCGGACGCGAACAGGCCGGAGCGAGCGGCGCCCTCCGGGGAGCGGACCCCCACAGTGCGGACACTCCCTCCCAGGGGGGTTTGCGGGAGAATGACCCCCGCCCCCGCCGCTGCTCTCTCCGAGGGAGGCCAGCGCCAGGCTGCGGGCTGCTCTGGGGAGCGGCGGCCCCCGGGGCACGGGGCTGAGGGCAGCCCCGGCAGCGAGCCCCCCCAGCTGAGGCCTGAGCACCCGCGAGGTCCTGGGCAGAGAGCCTGCGAGGCCACATCTGGACCCTGACCTACAGAAACACATTAAAGATACTTGTGGCCGGCCTGGTGACTCAGCAGGTGGAGCGTTTTCCCCTACACTAAAAGGTTGCGGGTTCAGTCCCAGGATGGGCACGTACAGGAGGCAACTGATTGCTGTGTCTCTCTCCCCTCAGCCCTTCCTCTTTCGTTATAATCAATAAACAAATCCTTGGGAGAGCATTTAAAAAAACCAACTTGTTATGAGCAGTTAAGTTTTGGAGTAGTTTGTTACTCAACCATGGAAAACTAGTACAATTCGGATCAGTTGTTTTTTATAATATATATGCATTATTTTTTAGTTAAAAAAAGAAAAGCCTAGAAGTCAGGGCTTGATTAAATAAAGAAAGAAAAGTGTGTCCCTAGCCCTCATCTGAGGACAGGACCGACTTGCCCCCAGACGACAGCAGAGGGCGCTGTCCAACAGCCCAGGCGAGGGGCTCCTGGGCAGCGGCCTGGTGGGTGCCCTACTCACATCTTCATCCTCACCCGGGTGGATCAGCTCCACCAGCCTCTGGATGATCTTCTCTTCGTTGAGCCACTGAAAGGGAAGAGAGGCCCGTCGATGACTCCGCTCGCTTCTGACTGTCTGGAAAAGAGCCCTCCGCGCAGCAGAGACCCAGGCGCCGGGTCCCACGGCCGGTTCTGTGCCTGACTGCGTGCCCAGCCAGAGCCAGAAAGAACAGCAGAGACCGGATTCTGGAGGGACCCAAGGTTTGCGAAGCAGGGAGACACCGTCCTGTTCCCTAGCGGAGCAGGAGCTCTGACGCGCGCGCGCGCTGTCCTTAGGGAACCGCGTGAGCACCGGGGCCCTCCCTGCGCTGGCCCAGCTCAGCCTCTGCTCCGGGGACGTCAGGGCCAGCAGGGCCCTGGGTCACGCGGGCCCCCCGCGCGGGGTGGAGCCCCGGGGCTGCCGGCGGGTGCGACCGACTCCTCCTGGGAAGGTTCCCCAGTGCTGCGGTCACTGCCCTAAGACTGAGCGCTGCCACCCTGAGGACCACTGTCCCCGGCTCCCAGGAGCTGTGGGCCGCCCCTCCCGCGGCCCACGCCAGTCAGGGCCGACGCGTGCCTGTGCTCCAGGGCCAATGGCAGCCGCTGTGGTCCCTGCACGGCGCCCGTGACAGCTCGCGCGCCCCTGCCCGTCCAGGCCGGCACAGGGCAGCCCAGCGAGCTCCTGCCTGCGGCCGCGGGGCTAGGCTGGGCGGACGGTGAGGGAAGTCGTTTCTGCTTCTCCACAGAGCAGAGGCCCGAGTGTCGGGGGGGGGGGAGCGGCTCTGCTTCCTGCTGCTCGACGGACGAGGACGAGGGGGCGAGCGCGGACCGGCCCGGGGTGCGAGCCGTGCCAAGAGCCCCGATGACCCCGACGGGGGGGACGCCAGGGCCGGGGGAGCTGGGGGTGCCCGGCGGCGCCGCGTCTGCAGGCACACCGGACGGCACGGCTCCGCGGGCGGGGCCCGCACACTCACCCGCAGCACTTCCTGCCGCAGCCCAGCGGGCTCCACGCAGCTGACCAGGCGCAGCAGCAGGTCCATGAGGGCCGAGGTGCCGAGGTGCTTCAGGACCAGGCTGATGAACGTGTCTTTCTTCTTTAGGAACACAATCACCTGAAGTCAAACACCCAGGTAAGCCACGGGGACAGACCCTGACACCAGCAGGTGCCCCCCAAAGAACCCTCAGGAGAGAAATTCATTTTCAATTACGTTAAGCAGGAATAACGGGAAGACCTAACGCAGCCGTGAGAGACCTCTGCCAGGACCGGCCGGGGCCCGCACACAAGACCATCCCAGAGGCTGCGGGGGGCAGTGCGGGGGGGGGGGCCAGGCTGGCAGGTGTGCTTGCAGGTGAGCCTCTGCGAGAAAGGCACACAAAGGGCCCCAGCGAGGCCACACAGGCTGCCGTGGACAGCAGCCCTCGGGACACAACAGCAATGACCGGCCTGGACAGAGCAGAGACAGCAGATGACAGTCACGGGTGACCACCGCTGGACCTGGGATGCCAACCCAGAGAGCAGAGAGCACACATGACAGCTGGGCACCCGCAGCTCTGGGAGCGGCTGAGTGGAGCCAGGACCAAGGTTTGCGAAAGAAGAGGCACCGATGTGCAGCAGGCGGGTGACCAGCGCCAAGGAGGCGAGAACAGCTGAGTGTGAAGCGTGAAGCGTGAAGCCACGGGGAGCGGGCGCAGCACCCGGCACCGGGGGCGGGTAGAGCGGGAGGCGGCCGCAGGCGGGAGTGCGGGTGGCGGAGGCAGCCGGCAGGCCCCTCCTGGGCTGCATCTTGGGCTGCGTCCAGCTCCGCTCAGCCCAGCCAGACACGCAGCGCCTGCACGCCCAGCCCCCGCCGGGAACAGTGCGGGCAGGGAAGAGAACCGCCAGCTGGGGGCCTTGGCCACACTCACACTGGGGAGGGGGGAGGGGCGCAAGTGAGAGAGAAGGGGGGGCTGTCTGAGGTGAGAGAAAGACGAGCGGGAATAAAACACGAGCGTCACTGCAGGCCCTACGGACACGCAGGCCGGTACGGGGGGTTATTAGGGACTTCCTGCCATTTTCGTAAATTCAGAAAAATAAGAAGTTTCCTTGCAAAATATACTCACCTAAACTGATGGGAAGAAATGAAAGTCCTGAACAGCCTAGAGCATCAAAAGACACGCAACCTGCCTCCCGCGAGACCCCTCCAGGCCCCGCTGGCCTTCGAGAGCGCGACCGAACGTGGCAAGAGAAGGGACGCCCGCCTCCCACACAGCCTCCAGGGACACAGCGCGAGGACACGGCCCAGGTCGTCGTGGACGGGCAGCGGACCTTCGATCTGAAAACCCGCCTAGGGCATTACAGACGCAGATCGGCACGCACCTCACTAACCATTTTAACAGAAAAGATGTTGTCTAGAAACACATGAAAGCATCAACTACCTCAGAGTGACCCTAAGGAAAGGTGCGTGAGGCTGCGGCCGCCAGGGAAGCGACACTGACGGAAGCCCAGCGGCCGAGCTGCGCCGCTGTCACCGGCTCTGTCACCGGCTCTGTCACGGGGACACACGACACGTAAACAAGCAGGAGGGGCCGTGCGCCGGTCGATTGTCATTTACAACAAAAGAGGTGACAGGCGGGTTTGGCCTGTGGGCCGTATTTTGTCAACCTGGACCTGCGGTCCACACAAGCCTTATCAAAATGTCAGTGCTTTGTTTTTTGGGGGAGAGGGACAGGGAAGAATGTGGAAACTGACAAACTTATCCTAAAATCTGCTAATTCTAAACTAACGCAAAAGGCAAAAAAAATAGTAAAAACGATCTTGAAGAAAACAGCAGCGAGAGGACCAACGCTACCAGATATCAAGACCGACGCCCCAGCAGCTCCGGGAGAGCGGTTCCCACGGACGGCGGGGGACTGCAGGCCAGAGGCGGGCACGGCCGCCCGCCGTCGCCGGACGGGTGCGGGGGCCTCCGGGAGGCCCCCGGGGGGGGAGGGCCGTACCAACGAATGGTGCTGGGTCAGCTGAATACGCATATTTTTAGAAAGTACTTCAACCGTGTCATTTACAAGAATCGATTCCAGGTGGCAGTATGAAAGGTGGAGCAATACAGTTTGGCCCCGGCTGGCGGGGCTCGGAGGCCTGAGCACCGGCCTGTAAGCCAAGGGGCCGCCGGTTGGATCCCCCGTCGGGGCGCAGGCCTGGGCTGCGGGCCAGGTCCCCAGTGGGGGTCCTGGGAAAGGCAAACACACACTGACGTGTCTCTGCCTCTCTTTCTCCCTCCCTTCCCCTCTGTCTAAAAATAAATAAATACAATCTTTAAAAGTTAAAAAAATTAAAGTCTTTAAAAGATACTACAGAAGAATATCTTCATGATTTTGAGGTAGACAAAGTTTTCTCAACAACAACAACACACCAACCATAAATAAGAAGAATTTTGAACTGGACTACATGAAAATCAGAACCTCTGCCCATTAGAAGAGTAAAATAGAAAGGCAAGCCAGAGTGGGAAAGGTGTCTGCAACATGAAAATTGACTACACACTTGTATCCACAAAATAGAGAGAATTCCTAGAAATTAAAAAAAATCCAAAAAACGAAGAGACAGCCTCACAGAAAATGGACAACAGACTTCACAGAAGAAAATACCCAGAGGCCAGTCACCGTAGGAAAAGGTGCTCATCCTCATCAGCTACGAGGGGGATGCAAACTAGACCCGCAACCCTCTAGCACAGAAACGCACGGAACAGCTGGAATAAGGAGACGGGAAACACGAAAGGCGGGGCAGGAAGCGGAGCGACGGGGGCTGCCGCCTCTGCTGCTGGGGCCGAACCGGCTCAGGCCGACCCGGCTCAGGCCGACCGCAGGCGTCCGGGTCAGGGACGTGCAATCGGCTGCCGCGAAAACCTACAGAGAGATACTGAGAAACACGACAGAAAAATCAAACTGAGAAAAGGTAAATGGTCAAGTGACCCACAGGAGGCAGAAAAAAAATCAGAAGAAATGAAAAATAGTGGGAATAAACAGAAAAACTACACATAAAATGGCAGCGATAAGCCCTGACCTACCAATAATGACATTAACTGTAAGTGGCCTAAAGATGGCAGTTACAGACAGTGACAAAGCAGCCAAAAACACAAGGCCAGAGATGTTTTTTCGACAAGGAACTCATTTCCAATATAACAAGCCACACAGAAGACCGGGCGCGGGTGCTCCCCGCTGCCTGGTTTGCCACCGGCAGATCCCGCGTGCGCGGCTGCGACGCCCTTCGGGGGCGGGCGGTCAGCGGGGCTGGGGCACCTCCACTCCGCACAGCGACGCGCAGCCTCGCGGAGGGACCGCGGCTGCGCCTGCAGAGCCCTTCTCCGCAGACACTCACCAAAACATTCACGTATGAAACGAAACGCTGCCTGGGACGGGGTTGGAAATGAGAGGCACAGGGGAAGTGAGACCACCCACAGACAAGCCACTGTCACCAGTGGGGGGGGGGGGGCTCACGGACCCCGACCCCGCGGGCGAGCGTGGGAAACACTCCAGGAGGAGGAGCCAGGCAAGTGCCACAGGCCCTGCTGACAGCGCGTCTCCCCGGAGACACAGGGGGAATGGTCCTGCAAGAAATGCTTGTTCACCCCTCCTTCTTGTTTGTTCCTGGCTCACAGACCCTGAGGAAAGCCTTGGAATTCCCCAGGGATCTCGGGAGGGGGCAGGGCGCGAGCGAGAGAGAAGCGGTGGGAGGGGGCTGCCTGAGGTGAGAGACAGGTTAGGGTGGGGGCTGGCCGCCAGCAGGAGCCGGCCCGCGGTCCCCGGTCAGAGGGCCAGAACTCCCTGTCCCGCCCCAGTTTCGGGGAGGGAAGGGGGCCTGAGGCTGACTGAGGGACCCTCGGGGCCGAGGACTCGGTCGCTCGTGAAGACATCATGAGGCCTCCCTGAAACCCAGAGGACACACCAGCCCTCACGTGGAGCTTCACAGGGAGCCAGGACACCTCCAGGCACAACGGTGCCAGGCCCCAGGCGCCTTCCTTCGGGACCTTGCACTGTGTATCTCTAACTGGCTGACGATTCGAATCTTTCAACGCCTTGGTAATGAACCTGCGCCCCTGTGAGGGCGCGGGCTGGGCTCTGTGAGACGTCCCCGCAAACCAGTCGAACCCCGGCCGCGGGGGGGGGAGCCCGGCCACCGAGGAGCGCTGCAGGGGGCTGCCTCCTGCATTTCTGTCCGGCTTCAACCGCTACAGACGTGTTACGATGGGCAACAGAAAAACCTATTTGAAGGGTGCGGCTCATATTACCGGGCAAGGAAAGAAGCAAAGCAGCAGACCTCAGACAACATCTGGGAGTGGCAGAGGCGCATCTGCAAAGCCCGCATGCGTGCAGGCGTGGCAGGCGTGGGCTGCAGGCTGGACGGGCCGGCTGCGGGGCCCAGGACCGCCCTCGGCGCTGGCGCGGCCCTGTCCCCGCAGCACTGTCGCTCCTGGGCCGCGACCTGCACCCGACCAGGGCGCCGCCGCCACGACTCTCCATTCACACGCTGCCAGCGTCCAGAAAACACCTGCGCTGACGGCCCTCTTCGCCCCCTGCACATCTGGGGTTCACAGGCCTGCGAAAGGCGAGGGCCCCTGAAGATCCACCAGAAGCAGACGGGGCTTCCTCCCCAACAACACTCTGCCTGGGGCGGCGGAGGGGGGTGCTGAACGTTCTGGGGGCTTCGGACACACACACACACGCACACACACGCACGCAGGTGCGTTCCCTGCCTGGACACTGCGTGATACCAGACAACTAGGGTGACTATTTTGGGGTATGGTAACGTAATCTGCTTAGCAAAGTCTTGTCTCCTCCTAGTCTCAATAGCTATTTTTAAAAGAAAAACACCCTTCTATTTCAGATGCCCACTGAAGTGTTCACAGCAACAAGGCACGGGCTGGGAGCTGTTCTGAGACCCGCTGGGGACGGTGGGCGGGGACACGAGGTGAGGGCCGGCCCTGAGCGGGTGCGGGCAGGGGTCTCCGCTCTCCCCCCGCTGGGCCCGCCTGCAGGGCGGAGGGCCTTGAGTACGTGCCAGGCCGGGGGTGGAACGGAGGCCACAGACCCCAGGCAGACCACGGTCAGCAGGGCAAACGGAGCCGCGCGCTGCCTCCCTGGGAGCGCCCTTCTCTGGCCTTGAGGCGGACGCCCGAGGGTGGCGCTGTCCTGCAGCCCTGCCACAACACAGGCACGTCTGGGGCTGGCGGGCAACAGGGCGGGCCGTGCCAGCCTGGGGCCCTGCCCAGTCCGGGGACGGCAAGAGGTGCTCCTCATGCCAGAGCTGGCAGCAGACAGACCTCCGGAGACGCCACTTTCTTGCTCCAATTCCACCTCACGCAGCGGCAGCCCGCCCTGCCCCACTGCGCCCACGACACAGACGGGAACGCGGGCCCCGCCGGCTGCTGACGGGCCGCACCGCGGCCGCGGGCACCGCCAGGCCGGCCACCCTGAGCCGCACGGGCCGCCAGGCCTTTTACCTGCTCCGTCTTCCTTGCGATGAGATTGCCGATGGTCTTGCTGAAAAAACTGGCGAGCAGGGGATTGAGGGGCGGCTCCTGGTCCAGGAAGTCGTACAGAAGGCCCAGCAGAGCCTCGTCGCCCCCCAGGCGGTCGTTGATCTGCGGCACGTCGCACGTCAGCAGCTCGCAGGCCGTGTTCGGGTACCTGGCGGGCACAAGGCCGGCGACCGGAGGTGAAATCGGACCGCTCCTCGCCGGGGCGCTGCCTGGGTGCCGGCCCCCGGGGGCAGGCCCGGGCAGAGTGACCCGCGGAGCCCGCACCAGCGGCGGCCCTGCCTCCACGGCGGCGCGCTCACCCGGGCGCTCGGCCCTGCGCGCCCTGCGCTCTCAGGCCGCGGGCCACATGCTCCCCGCCAGGCCGCTCACCTCCTGTTGCCGCCAGTCCCGGAGGCCAGGTCCCTTCGTGTCTGCCCTCCCCCCTCGCCCCCTGCTCCCTGTCCCTAACGTGTCGGACAGCGCAGGTCCAGCCCTGGCTGGCGGCTCGGTGAGTGGGGGCACCGTCCTGCACACCAAGGGGTCGCGGGCTCACTCCTGGTTGGGGTGTGCACCTGGGCTGCGGGTTCGCTCCCCAGCCGGGACCTGTGTGTGGGTCAACGGGTCAGTGTTCCTCTGTCTCTGTCTCCCTTTCTCTCTCCCTGAAGTCAGCGCACGTATCCTCGGGTGAGGAGTAAAAGAAAAAAAGCATGTGTCCGTCTGTTCCCAGGCTGAATGAAGCTTACCATGCAGTGTGGCTTAGGGGGTGCTATGCAGGCCGACTGTTACTAAATGACACCCACACATGTAAGTGATGTACTATGACCAGATACAGAATAGTCCTCACACCGTTACAAGGGACCCCACGACACCGCTAGCTGCGGTGTCACACAGCCTTCCTATGGGATACATGTGGGCTCGCTGCTGTGCCTGGGGACAGGCCGCCTACCCACCCACCTGCCGCATCCAGGACAGGGCCTGCGACCACAGCGCCAGCCATCACACCCGGTGCCGTGTCTGGGGACACACCTGGGATGCAGGGAAGGAGCCCGAGGGGAGGCGGGGACCGGGGCAGCGCGCCGTGGGCTGGCCGGCGGCGTGGTGAGGGGCAGCCGGCCTCTGTGCCTGGCGTCCTCCTCTGAATGCGGAGGCGTGAGCGCCCAGCCCCCCACAGGCTGCGTGTGAAGCCCAGCAGCGCCGAGGTCGCGGCCACTGCAGCCCCCCTGCCTGGCAGCCGCCAGCACGGCCCTAGCACAGGCCTCTGCCCAGTGGCCTCTGTGGATCCGCTGGGGGGCCTGGGTCTGAGACCCTGCAGGAAGGAGCTGCTGAGGCATGGAGGGACGGGGGGCCCCCATGGGGCTGTGGGGCGGTGTTCCCCATCAGCCCAGATCAGCGTCTCCTGGGCTCAGACAGTGCCGGGCGCCCGGCGGGCCTGGCTTGAGAGGGGCCCAGACAGAGGCACGGTCAGTCCCAGGGAGGGGTGGCTGTGCCCACCTTGGGGGGGGGGGTCGGGACAAGGATCAGACAAGGTGGCTCAGCACCGCTGTGCCGCACAGGGCGACAACCAGCGTGGCAGAGAGCACGAGGCCAGGGAGAGTGGCTTGGAGGGCGGGGCCGGGGGGCCAGGCCACAGCCCCGCAGCCTGAGCAGCGCCCCCCGTCAGCAGCAGGGAGGTGTGCACCGGCCTCCAAACACGGGAAGGTGCGCCAAGCGCAGGGCAGGGCGGACCCAGAGCAGCGCGCGCCCTGCTCCCTCCAGGAAGCCCTGCAGAGCCGCCGGGCCGGCCTAGTCCCGACGGCACGCACAGGCCCGCGTGTGCACACGCGGGGCAGGCGGAGCGACGATGCCCTGATCCCCTCAGGTTACGGCTCGGGAGAGGGACTGCTTTTATCAGTATTTTATGTGACCCGTCAAAAAAAGGGACTGCTTTACTAGTTGATAAAATTTATACAGGGAAGAGGAAGTTCCGTCACACACGAGGCAGGTCAGGCACACAGGCCTGTCACGGTTCCCTCTCGAAGTGACTCCAGTGACGCCAAGAAAACAAGGCGCAAGGGGCCAGGACGCGCGCGAGGCCTGGAGGCAGAGGGGCAGCAGCGAGGACGGCCTGCCGCCCAGGAGACCCGGGGGGCGGCAGCCACGCATGGGGCCTGGGGGGCGCCTGGGGGCTGCCGAGAGCAGGGACACGCGGGCCGCCCGTGGCGTGCTCCCAGGCAGGGGCGCAGGGGTGAGGAGGCTCATCCCCGGGGGGAGGGAGCCAAGCCGCCGGCGGCGGCGCAGCTGCGGAGGGACCGCCGGTCGGGAAACAGGGCGCGGCCCCGACAACACTGGGCGCCCGGCCCCTCTGCCCGACTCCCGGTGCTGGCTGGCCGACCTCCCACAGGCGGGAGGCGCTAGGACTCTTTTCTGGAGAAACTGACGGGACAGAGACACAAGTCAACCATGTGTCACCCAACCCAGTGGCTGGCACCCGTCACCCAGTGAACTGTGGCGAACAAGCCCCATGCAGACCCCAGCCGGGCAGGTGGTGGTTCCTCCCTCGGAAGGAGCGCAGGGCTGAGCGAACCGCCACCAGGGAACAAGGCAGGGCAGCGGGAGGCAGGGCCTGTGGCCACGAGCAAGCGCTGGAGGCTTGTACTTGACAGATCTGAGGAGAAGCAAGGCCGTTTAGAAAGTAAAATGATAAGAGAAAATTTTTAAATCAGCAAAGGGCAGGAAGATAAAATTTGAAGAAACTCTCAGATGTAAAACAAAAAGGCAAAGACAAGACATTCAGGGCAAAAACACGACAACAGTATCCACTTGGGTGACCTAACGCCACCTTGATGGCCCCGAGAGAACAGAGTGAAAACTGGGGCGTGGGGAGAAAGTGACGCAGCGAACACCACGAGGGGTTCCCTGCGCTGAAGGCCACGGACTTGCAGCCTGGGAGGGCTGTGGGGTCCCGGGCGCAGCGAGCGAGCGAGCAACCCCAACACCCCGCCTGGACCGTGGCCCGCAGCTGAGGGGCGTCCCCTGCTGGGCTGGCCCCTGAGCTCTGCGCGCCTGCGTCCCCCCGCGGCTCCCTCCCCAGGGCCAGCAGGCCCTCCTGCTTCGTCTGCTTCCTGTGCGCCTGCTGCTAATGCCTCCCAGACGCTCGGACCAGAAACTGCCCCTGCCGACCGGTGCTGCCCTGGGACCCTCGGTGGGACCCCGCTCTGCTCCCGGCGGACCTGTCGCCAGCGCCCTCTAGACAGGGCGACCACAGAGCCTGCCACCCAACAGGGTGCCCCGGGGAGGAGGAGGGGGGCAGGGCTGGCGGCTGTGGATGGCGGTGCTGAAACCACACGCGCTGACTGGGAGCACCCACGCACAACGGCCCCCCGCGGCCTTCGGCAGGCGTCGCTGGGACCTCGCCGGCCCCCCCGGCCCCCCCACGGACAGGCCCCGCCTCCCACAGGCCCGCCGCCCCGCCCCCGGCACGGCCCGTCGCCCCACTGCCTGCACGTCAGGGTCCAGCACACGCGGTGGAAGGGCAGAGCTGGGGACCTGGGGGCCTGTGGGCGCCGCGCGGGGCCCATTGTGCTCGTGCTCCCACAGAGACTCGACTCGGGGCAGTGAGCAGCACACGGGCGTCGTTTCCATGCGTGACCACCACGTAGAAGCACGGACCTGTCCTTGGCTTGCAAGTCCCACAAAACCAGGACGTGACCTGCGGGCCCCTGGTTTGCTGACCCCGTTCTCGGACCTCGCGCCCCGCGCCGCCGCGCTGCCTGTCTGCCCTGACCTGCCTGCCCAGGCCCCAGCGGGCACCCCGGGAGCCGGCGGCTGGTCCGCTCTGTCCGCCCTGTCCCCCAGGGCCCCTGTCCCCATACCCTCTGCCCTCATCCCAGCCGCTGCCACGCCACCCCTGCCCTTCTGTCATCTCCTAACAGACTGGTCAGCTGCCGAATGGAACAATTCAGGAAACACCGACGCTGGTCACTGACAACATGACATATTCCCACTGAGCCCAGGACCCCGGGGTGAAGTCCCCCCACGGCCCCCCCCACGAGGCACCTCGCCAGGCAGGGCCCGCCCCCCGCGGGAGCTGCAGCCCCGCTGTCCATCCACCGCCCGCTCGGCCGCGGCTCTGCCCTGGGGCCGCCACCGTCTTCCAGCACCTTTTCCCTCGAAAGAGCCCGAGGCACTGCACGGCCTCCTGGACTCGAACGACAGCCACACCCCCGCCACGGGCCTCAGGGACCCCGCTGCCGCCCGGCGGCACGTACTTGAAGCGGACCTTCTCCTCCATGTCCAGGGGCGGCTCCTGGGTGACGAGGCTCACCAGCTCCTCCATGCACTGCGGCCGACACAGGAAGTCCAGCAGCTTCCGGTTCTGAGCCTTGCACTCCTGCAAGATGTCATCCTCATCCATCAGCTCCCGCAGCGTCACGTCCTCCTTATCCAGCAGCTTGTCGACGTGGGATGTGGTGTTCAAGTCAAACTTCCAGAACATGGTGACGGCCACAGAGCTGCAAGAAGGGCAAGAGGGTCACCTCTCCCAGCAACCCTGCCCCCGAGCCCAGGACGTCTGTCCCCAACACGAGCCTGCGCTGCAGGAGGCCCTCGCCCAGGGCCCTCCCGGATGCGCCTCCCCGCGCCGGGCTCCCGCGCGGTCCTCGGGCGTCCCCGGTGCCCTTGCTCCCCGGCTCCGGAGCAGCTGTGCCTCCCTCGTTTCGGGCCTGGACGCCCTCCACCCCAAGACAGTGAGTGACTCGCACGCCCTGTCCCCAGCACCTGCCTCCTCCTGAGTGGACACCGGCCGTGTCTCCCCAGATGTCTCTGTATCGTGCACACTGTTAATTCCCTGCACGTGATGCTTTGACGGCTCAGGACACCTTTCTAGCTGGGGAAAGGCGCCCCTCCTGGGGCCGGTCAATTCACAGACAGCAAAGGGCCCGGCAGGAGCAGCCCACGGCCACCGCGCCGTCCACCCAGGGCAGCGCCTCCCGGTGCCGCGCCCCCGCCCCCCAGCACCACTGCTGCCTCCCCCCCAGGGCCGGCCAGGCCACCAGGGACCCCGCCGGGCTTGTCCACACTGGCCAACCCTGCTCCACTCACAGGCCCTGCCCCTCTTTCTCCGAGGCACCCCCATAAGGGCTGTGCCTGTGTCCAACACCTGCCCTCTGTCCAACACCCCTGGGGTGCCCCCATGTGTCCCTGCGTGAGGACCAGGCCTCCTGTCTCTAGGACCTGTGGGCACCTTTGTTCCTGAGCCTCTTCTGCGTCTCTCTCACGGTCACACCTGACTGAGCATTTCCTAAAAGAGCCGGAACACCTCACAAAACGCAAGCTCGGCAGTCACCCTCGGGCCCGCTGGTTTCGCTGGGCCCTCTGCTCCTCCTCCACCACCCCCTCTGCCGACGAGCCCAGGGTCACCCTTGAAGCCCCCACGCCCCGCACATGCCACTGGGCCTGAGGTGCTGCTGCCCACCTAGCCCCTCCTCTGCGCCCCACCCCCCGTCCGGGCGCCTGCTGTCTGCCCGGATGGTGCAGAGGGGACCCCACCCGTCAGCCTGTGGGCCCAGGTCCCCGTGTGACACAGGATGAAAAACGTAAAGCCTGGATCCTTTGCAAAGGGCATCTGTATTTATATGCTATGAATCTTGGCGATGTTATAGGAACCGTCTTTTGCAAAGCTATGAAAATGGATCCTCTGCGTTGGATTTAGAGGACAGGCCGCCCACGTGACAGGCTCCTCGCTCCGGCCGTGGCCCCGGCAGCCTCCGGCCCGCGGCGTAGACCCCCTTCCCTGAGCCGCCACCTCCTTCACCCCCCTCACCCCACTTCACCGCTGCCAGGGCCCCACGCCCCCCACGCCCCCGACGCCCCAGGGCGCGTCCACCGCTGCCAGCACCCCCCGCATCCTGCGCGGCTCTCGGCCCGACAGGCCCTCCTCTGACGGAACCCCACCCCCCACCGGGCTGCACTGGCCCCCGCGCACGCTGCCCCGCACTCAGAGGCTGGGCGCCCCGACGTGCCCAGCACAGGCTGTCCTCTGGGCCCCGGCCCTCGCGGTCTCTCCTGGGAGGAAAGGAGTGCACACTGGGTGGCGGGGTGGCAGCAACAGGCTGCGGGACCGGAGACCGCGATCCCAGAAGCACCTTCAGAAAGAGGCGGCCACCCCCACACACGCCAGCTGGCCCTCCCTCCCGAGTCACGCAAACACGTGGGCAACATCCAGTCCAGGGCAAGGGGGGACCAGAGGGAGACCCCTCCCTTCCAAGGCTTCTCTCCAAACGAGAACCTGCAGGACAGGCAGCTGGAGCTGGCCTCCGCGCCCTGCTGCAGCCACAGAGCGTGTGCCTGGCTGCGCGGACCACGGGCTCCCTCCCATCCGTCGAAAGGACTGAATCAACCCAAAAGAAGACCAAAGGATGAAAGGAAAAACAGGAAGTAAGGAACAAAAACACATGGGACAAATGGGGAAAAAAAAAACCCCAGCAAGATACCAGACATGAACTCAACTGTATCGGAAAGCGCGTTAATGGATCAGTAATTTAAATTAAAGACAGAACTGGTCAGACTACACTTTAAAAAGCAAGAAGTAACTACGTGCTGAGTTATAAAAAGCTTATTTTGAATAGAAAGACATAGGTTGAAACTTTTTTCAAACGTCAGAAGGACAGAGCTTGCGCCCGGCGGCCCCTCCCTGTGCCGCCCCCGAGCCCCGGGGGGCGGGGAGGCCGGTGCTGTCCCCTTCCTCCAAGTCCCAGACCACTTCTCCCTAAAACGGCTGACAGACGTCACCACGGTCTAAGGTTTTCTTGGGCGACAGTTCAAGTTACAAGCCCCCTCCTTCACAGGTCCTTTCTACTTCTGCTCGCTCCCATTCCGGTCACTGGCGCTGCTGCCGGGCCCACCAAACGCGGCTCCTCACACGCCCTGGGAGCCGCTAACGGCAGCCGTTTCGGTAACGGCGCCTCTTTCCTTCTCACGCGTCAGGAATGCCGATCCCCCTCCTCTTTTCCTTCATCAGTACAACTGAAGTTTATTAATTTTACTGGTCCTTTTTTAAATAAAGATTTGTTTTTTTAGAGAAAGGAGAATAAAGGGAGAAAGAGAGGGAAATACTCGTCTGCGGCTGCCTCTCTCACGCCCCCCACAGGGGACCTGGCCCGCAGCCCAGGCAGACGCCCCGACTGGGAGTCGAACTGGGGACCTCAGTCCCCTGAGCCACACCGGCCAGGGCTTATTGGTCTTTTTTCAAATAACCAGCTTTTGTTTTTATTTTTTCTCTAGTATTTGTACATTTTCTATTTCACTAATTTCCTCCTTTGTCTCTAATTTCCTCTACATTGCATACTCCAGGTTTAATTTGTTCTCTTTCTAGCTCCTTAAGTAGAAGCTTTTTAGATCACTGACTTTTTAGACTTATTTTCTATGATAAGCACGTAAAGCTACAAAGTTTCCTTCAGGCACTGCTTTAGCTGCATCTCACATATTTTGATACTTCTAACTTTCCTAGTTTTTCTGTGACTTACAGGTTATTTACAAGTATAATGCTTAATTTTCTAACTATTCCGGGACGTTCTAATTAGCTCTTCACAACGGACAACCTGACCTGTGCTGTGCTCGGAGGGCAGGCTCCCGGGGCTTCGCTCCTTCAAACGCACGGGCGTCTGGCTCATGGCCGAGCACAGGCGTCAGCAGGCCCTCCTGTGAAGAGCTAAACAGCAGTTACTCTCAGCTCTGCAGGCCATGTGGGGTCTCTGCTGCATGTTCTTTCCCTTCTTCCTCTTAACAGCCCTTTAAAACGGACCAGCCAGTCCTCGTCTGCAAGCCACAGAGAGCCCAGCAGGGCCGGCCTGGGGCACGGCCCCGCCCGTGAATGCGGCGCACGCGTGGGCGGCAGGGCTCCCTCTGCACCGCCGCTGGGCGTTGGCAAGTGAGGCTGGCTGATGACGATAACACCACGATAACAGGCAGAATCTGCTGTGTGGCCACTCCTGTCAAACGACGAGAGAACTGCCATCTTCGACTCTAGCGGTGGCTTTACTGGCCTCTCCTTTTGATGTGAAAGTCTGTGCCTCGTGCCTTCTGAACTTACTTTGTTATGTGGCTACGTACTTAGGGTTGTCCCTCCTTCCTGACGCACCGGCTGCTGGGCACGTCAAGGTGCCCCTCGCTCCCTCCTACAACACAGGCACAGCCTGCCCGGCTGCTACGAGCCGAAGGCCCGCGCAGCCCCGCGTCGAGCAGGCCCGGCGGCACCGCCGTCCCAGCAGCCTGTGCTCAGCGTGAGTCTCACGGTACCTCCACCCTCGTCACCGTTGTCACACGGTCACCGGGGTCTGCGATCGTGACCTCGGTTGACGTTACTACGGTACCTGCTTTCGGCGCTCCACAAACTGCGCCCACAGAAGACGGCGGGCTTCACGGATGAACATCAGGTGTTCTCACCGCCCCGCCGACCCCGCCTCTGCCCCTCGCCTCGGGCCTCCCGATTCCGAGACACGACGGTCCTGAAATCAGGCCAGTTATAGCCCTACGTCGGCCTCTCGTGCTCAAGTGAAAGGAAGGTCGCGCGTTTCTCCCTTTAAACCAACAGCCAGGCGCGGCGGCTTGGTGAGGCAGGCAGGTCGGAAGCCGAGGTGGGCCTCTTGCCCTGAACAGTGAGCCACGCTGTGAAAGCCAAGGACAAGTTCTGAAGGAAATCAGAAGCGCTGCTCCAGCGCACACACGGGTGGTAAGAAAGCGAAACGGCCTCACCGCTCGCGGGGAGAGCGCCCTGGTGCTCTGGAGAGAAGAGCAAACCAGACGCAACATTCCCTGGAGCCGGAGCCTCATCCCGAGCCAGGCCCTGCCTCGCCTCCATCCTGGGAAGGCTGGGAGGCGAGGGGGTTGCCGGAGAGGCGCCTGGAGCCGGCGGGGGGCCGGCTGCGGAGGCGCAAGGAGAGAAGCGGTCCCTGCGACGTGCAAGCGCCAGGGGAGGCGGCAGGCGCTGAGCTGGGAGCTGCAGCCCGTTGTCCAGGTCCCGAGACGACCGAGGAAGGCGGCCGCTCCTCGACACACCCACGAACAGCCTCCCGGTGTGGATGGAACAGCGTCACGTGGGAGGAAGTCGCCATCCAGGGCTTTCGAAGCTGGAGCGGCCAAGTCCCTGCTGGCTTCTCGGCGCCAGGGACCGGCGGGCTCTCCTGGGGGGGGCTCGTGCAGCCGGGACTTCGGGCTGAGCCAGTGCACACCGACCGCCCGAAAGTCCCCGGGCCCTGCGCCCTTGACGAGCGGCCAGCACGCCGGGGTGACAGACGCCGGCGCACAGGATGGGCCGCTGAGGGGCGGACGCCCGCTGCGCGGGCCCCAAGCCCTGCGCTCGCCGACTGCGCCTGGTCCCCCCAGAGCTCTCCGATGGGGACGGGCAGGATGAGTGTCGTTTTCTTGCCTTCCTGCAGCTCTCGGATCGAGGGCTAATCCTGACTTTCAGGTGTTGTTATTTAAGACGTACGTTTTGGAAACCGTAGCTGCCGTA